GACTATGGTGATCGAATTGGGTTTTTTTTGGGGGGGGGTGTTTAAACAAACAAAATACCGGACCTACCTTGAGAGTCTGTCCCCCAAGGGGTCTGTGTGTTCTGTGGGTATACTTCAGAGACAAATTAAGACTGGAACAAAGAAGTTCTGTCTGTATTTTGAAAAAAAAAATTTAAATTATCGGTAGAATGGAAACTTTGAAATTTCTAGAGAAACGGCAGATCCCCAAGAAGATATTTGGTAAACACTGGCTTATGTGAGATGCGCTCAACAAAATACATGAACTTCTTTCATCTGCAAACATTCAACCGTTTTGTCACTAATAAGGAATCGAATCGGTTGAGGCTGTTTAAAAGCCATCAAAGAATTAAGGATTTCTTGGGTGGGTTCTCATTTCTTGTCCCCCAAGGAAAGTCTGTTGGGAAGCTGGGAGTGTGGAACTTTGTAGTGATATGTTTGTGCTGGGACATGGGCCTTGGTGTGAACTACTACAGTTTTGTTCAGTTTCATTTTTTCAGGAAGACTTTATCTGGGACCGTAGGAGGCCAAGTGTGGGGCGTGTTCTGTCTCCCAATCTGCTGGTAGAGAGAGGCTCCTGGCCCGGGGAGACGCAACTTGAGATTGGTCATTTCATGTTTCTGAAAACGCACGTCCACACCCAGCCCCTCATCTGCTTTCCACCGACCACACTGAGACCACATGGATTAGTCCCACAAGGCAGGTGGCTCACACAGGGACACCCGGCCCTGGTTTGGGGCCAGGGCCAGGCCTTCTCGCCCACTGGGCATGGTCCCATCTTCCCAACCACATGTCTTGCCCATTATGGTCCTTCCTATTCTAGATGATGAGAAATATGAGCTACATGATGATCTTGAAAGTTCTTGAAAATGCGGCCCTGTCCTTTCCCTTAGACAAGCCGGTAGCCATAGGCATGGGATTTCCCGTGGGGGTCTGGCTGGGAGGGAGGGCCAGGGAAATGCATGTGGCCGGCCACTCTCGAACCCAGCAGGCTCACCCACAGAGCAGTCCAACCTTGGTTGGTAGGTGGACCGTCCCAGGGGCAGCCCTGCAGGGGGGAAGACAGACTTCTCTTGGGGGCCACTCGCAGGCCCTGACTCTGCCTCCCAGCTGATGGTGGCCAGTTTGTGTCAGAGCTCCACAGAGTTTTCTTCTGGTTTCCTTGTCTGAGAGCCGAGATCGATGCACACGTGGCTCCAGGCCTGCTCTAGGGCGAGCTGAGGTCACGGTGGGCGCTGTGTGGGGCTATGAGTGAGGCCGGCTTGCCTTCTAGGCTCCCTAAGTGGCGAAGGTCCCTGACCTAGGCCATCAGCCCCATGTCATGTGGGGCTGCCTTCAGACTGATGTGAAGACAGAGGCTCCAGGCAGAGCGTGACTGGAACACAGGATAGACTGACCCAGCCGTGGGTCTGCTCAGCAAACCTGGCTCTGGCTTGGCCATCTGGAGCAAAGGTCACATTTGGCTTTGGAGGAGGTGTTCATCTCTCCGAGACTCAGTTTGCTGGTCTGTAGAGTGGGTGTGATGGCTGTCGGCTCTGAGGCTCGGTCTGGGATCCCACTCATAAGTGAGGTGTGAGCAGGCAAAGCCAAGAGCCTCGGCATGGAGGCCGGGCTGCTTGGGTGCCCCACTTCTGGGCGGCTGGCCTGGACTCTGTCTGCAGGGACGTGGTGCGTGCTGCTCTCAGGCCCCGATGCCATTCAGCCCAACTTACGCTGTGGAGAGGTGAAGCTTGGGCTCTGTCCCCTTTGGCCACGCTGTCACCTTTCGGCCTTCTGGGAACAGAAGGATCCAGTTTGGGGCATGTGATCCTCAGATGTTCGTGTGACTTCATTGCCATCTCACAGTGGGGGGCCCCAGCCCGCAGGACACCAGCTTTGAGGACAGGAGCTGTTGCCATGTGAAAAACGGTTATTTTCCCAAACAGTGGACAATCCTAGTGACGTCATGGGCCCTGCTGGCGGACCCAAATCAAATCGGTTCTGGTGCTGGTACGGGCTCCCGTCACACGGTCCCGAGGTGATGACACAGCCTGGCCCCGGGGCCGGAGAGCACAGAGGGCCAGGGCCTTGCGTGTTTCTGGGGTCCCATTTCAAAAATGAAATCCACTCAGAGGAGGGCGGGGCTTAGGCAAGAATCCCCCAGGTCAAGGACCAGCAGAAAGCAGGGTCCGGTGGCACCCAAGGGCTTGTCCCCCCGCGGCAGCAGCCCCGGGGTCAGAGCGGGGGCGCATCTGGGGCTGAGGTCCTGGATCCCAGGGTAGAAGTACTGAATGAGCGGCCGCAGGAGGGGACCTGACAAAGCCCGAGGTGTCCTCCCCCATGCGCCCTCATGCCCGGATGAAACCCAATCTTCATTCTTGGGCCCTCATGTCACGGCCTCAGCCCTGGCTTCCCATCAGCCTGCTGCACTTGAGCCGTTCCCACTCTTCTCTTTTCCTCCAGAGGAAGAACCTCTGCTGATGAAGTCATGGGAATAAAAGCTCCCTTTGCCCCCGAAAACAGTGGGAGCCTGGCGTCAGCCTGTTGTGTGGCCTCTCCGTGTCCGGGCAGGCGATCTTTGCTGCTTACTGGAACCTTCCAAACACATGACATCATCTAAATCTCAAATCCGGTGATTATCCCCATTGCACAGATGAGGAAACTGAGCCTGAGATCTTGGGACTGGCCCAAGGGCACTGGTCAGGCCTTCGAAGCTTGGGGTCAGTAGTTCATGCAGTGAAGAGTGACTCATTCCTGCCGCATACCAGGCATGGGGCAGGAGCTGAGAATAAGCCACGTGCATCCTGGAGAGGTCTGTGGGCAACCTCAGCTCCCGGGGGAAGGGTCCTTTCTCGCTTCTACCCAGGGTGTCTCTTGCCTTATTCTCTGCTCATTGTTTCCATGCTTTCAATTAATTCACTTAAAAAAACAGACTAGGGGCAACTGGGTGGCTCAGGGGGTTAAAGCCTCTGCCTTCGGCTCGGGTCATGATCTCAGGGTCCTGGGATCGAGCCCCGCATCAGGCTCTCTGCTCAGCGGGGAGCCTGCTTCCCCTTCTCTCTCTGCCTGCCTCTCTGCCTACTTGTGATCTCTCTCTCTCTCTCTCTCTCTCTCTCTCTCTGTCAAATAAATAAATAAATAAATCTAAAAAAAAAAAAAAAAAACCAGACTAGTTCGCCTCTCAGTTTTAATGTAAGAGGGTAGATTTTGGTGATAGTGGCCCAGGCTGTGTTCCTTCAGCAAAGACCCCAGATCCGTGGCACCCTCTCCCTCCAACTCTCTGTCTGGAGGCTGCGTCCACTCCTTCCCAAGCAGAGGGGCGGAGGGCTGGTGACAGCTCCCCACTGTTGCTAGGTGCCCCCTGGAGGCCTCTTCAGCCCTTGCTGGACTCCCCCCACCTGCCCACACCTCGGAAGTAGCCCTTTGTTACACTGCCTTCTGTTACTCTATTTCAGGGGTCATCTGTTTCCTCCCGGGACCCTGAAGGACACAATAGGCCTGAGCCAATGAATGGGGGCAGCTCAGCGGATCCGATGAGGGGATCTGGCACCCAAATGTTGAGGACCAGGCCCTGGAGTGGGCTGAGCTTCCCCCACCCCAGACACTAGCCCCCCACCAATGCCCCCCATGCTGTGCAGGAGCAGAAGCCGGTCTTATTCTAGAATGCCACCTTCCAACCCATTCGTGATAAAAAGAAGTCCACGGACACGTTGAGTCTTTGTTTTGAAACAGTGTTTGGCTGAGTAGCTTCAATAACTGGAAAACATTGCAGGAGATTTTCATATGGAAAGATTCAGGGATCCCAGAAACCGTCATCTTCACGTCCGTCCACTCCCCCAGCTGACTAGACGGCCTCAGATCTGGGGCTCGTGCTTCTTTGGAAGCAGACCCCCAGGACGCCCTGCTCTGTCTAAGCCTTGGGGTGCAAATTCAATTCTCCCACGGGAAATGGGCATGAGGCTGCAGGTCTGGGAGCAAGGTGGACGTGGAGGGACCCCAGGATTTCTTCCTCGGAGCCCAGGGATGCCAGAGTCCGAGTCCCTGGGGTGTTTCAAGGAAGAGACTTCAAGGAGAGGAAACTCAGTCCAGAGGGAGGTGGGAGCTCCTGAGGCATCAGACGGTCAGTGCCAGAGCCAGAACCAGGCTGGACCCAGGACCCCCCAACTTACAGCCCTGTGTGCCTCCATGAAGCTCGCAGAAAAAGGGGAGGACCCCTTAGCACCAGTGCGAGTCCTTCAGTGGGATACCTCATCAAGGACCAGTGAGAAGGACCGGGGTGGGGAGTGTTGGCACCAGTTCTCCATGGGACCCCAGGCAGAATCTGGGGGCACAAGGGCAGCCCCGAAGCACCCTGAGTCACACCGTGTGCTCGTGGGGGAGCCCATGGGGGCACTGCTACCCTCGCTTAGGAGGCCACCTGGGAGTGAGGCATCAACCTGCCCAAGAGGTGTTGTCAGAAATCCCTGTAGGACCCCCACCTCTCCCTTCATGGGCCTGCTGCTGGGACTCTCATTCTTGCATTGGAGCAAATCACCCCGAGAAACAGGGGTGATCCTGGTCAGAGAGCACGCCTTCCTGCTCACCTCCCTGGGAAGACTTTGCTCACCCTCTCTCCCCTCAACCCCCACATAGGCAGCAGACCCCTCTCCTGACCCCACGCCCTGCTCTTCCCTTCCGGGTGTGTGATGTACATGGGGCCAGAGAGGGGCAGCTGCCAGATGTGAGCACACAGCTGTGGGCCAGGCAGAAGCGGGCTCACAGTAGCCCGGGGCCAAGCCACCCCAGGACCTTTGCTCTGGGTTGCAGTTTCCTGGACCACTCCTCCCTTGTGCAACACCTCCCAAAGCCACAGGTGGGACACACGGCTGAGGACGGCCACCACTGCGTCTCCTGGGCCACTCGGCTACTGTGTCTCAGGCCTCAGACCCACCAAGGGCAGGAGAGCAGCTTCTCCCTGCCATGCAGGTGGCGGGAGTCCAAGCCCTTGCTGCTGCTCAGTGCAGAGTTAGTGCGGTGGCTGCGGGGACTGAGGCTATGTCCTCTGATGTCCCCGGTGGCCTGAGACCAGCACTTAGTGGACAAGGAAGCCCAACCCCAAAGGGGGGCATCCCTCGGGGTCAGGGTGCAGCCAGGCCCGGCCCCATGGGACGAGGAGCTGCTCAGTGCTCCTGGGCTGGGCTGAAGGGCTGGGTCCACTTGGACACGTCCAGAAAGACGGTCGAGGCCCCGTGGTAGAGCCAGAGGCGGGGCAGGGAGCCGTGGCGGGTCCAGGCATCACGCCCACGGTCGTAGGCCTCCATCTCCACAAGGTAGTCGCCATCCATGCCCTGCCAGCGGCCGCCGGTCACGTACAGTGCGTCACCTAGTGGCACCAGCGCGCCGTTCTCATGCAAACTGTGCAGGGACTGCACCTGTGGAGGGGGGCAGTGGTCAGGGGCCCGTGGGGGGGTAGTGGCAATGGCCAAGGGAACCCTCAGGGTGGGGCGGGGCACAGGGGACATGCAGAGAGGACAGCCAGCACCTGGTTCTGCTCCCTGGGACCTCACCCAGGCTCCCTGTGACCGTCTCCCCCCAGGCCCTTCAGACTGTCCCTTTAGTGCTCTCCTCTCCAGCTCACATCTCCCAGGATGATGTGTCCAGGCTCCTTGCTCTCCTGGGCCCCAATTTGGCCATATGTGGAGTTGGGGTGTCAGATGGGGCTGGAGGCATGGAAGCCCAAGCCTGGAGCTGCTCCCCGGGGCAAGTTCTGGGCTGGGCCTCTGATTCACAGTTGTTCTCTTGCAGGGGACAGTTGTGACCTCGCTCTGACAGACACACACACACACATACACACACCAGAAGCCGCTCGTGCCATGGGGAACCTCACTTTGCCCCTGTACCTCCTGCCTCGACCCATGGCCTGGGCTGGGGCTATGAGGTGGGAGCCAGAGGCCAGAGGAGAGGTGGACCCTTCTGGAAGAGCCCAGAGTGCGTGGGAAGGTAAAGGCCTGTCTGTGGCCTACATGTGGAGACGGTCAGGGGCAGCCAGCCCCCAGGAGGCCTGGAGGCCCAAGTGGAGCCCTTCGTGGCCGGGAGGCCCCCCAATCAGTGGCATGGTCCCGGCAGGCCTGGCTGTGGCCCAGCTGGGAGGCCCCAAGAGAAAGTGGTGTCCTGGCAGGACCCACGCAGCACCTGTCTCACTGCAGGGTAATGGGGCCTCCCGTCAGCTGGGCGCTGACACGGGGGACAGCTGCAGGCGGCAGGATGGCGAGGCCCCACTGTGGGCCGGCCGCCCCGAGCCAGGGTGAGTGCAGGAAGCAGTCTGCCTCCTCGGGCCTCCAGGAATTGAGAATCTTAGGGCAGGTGGGGCAGGCCCGGGGTGTCTGGCTAGTGCTGAGGCCACTGCCATGGGCACTGGGCACCATCCCTCCTCTTTCTCCAGAAGAAACACACAGAAAGGCTCGGGCCTGAGGTGCCCAGCATCTGCTCTCTCCATGGCAGAAGAGGAGGGGGTAGCCAGGAGGGAAATGGAGCACCAAGATGTGGGCCGCTCCCACCCCACCCACAGCCAAGGGCTCCTCTCCCCTGCTCGGCCACCCCCTCGGGTAGGAGGTGCCCTCCCTCCGGGGCCTGGCCCACACCAGGCTGTCCCTGAAAGCTCCCTAGGCTGAGCCTGGTTTTGCCCCAGAGAAGAACAGACCACCCCGGGCCAGGGACAGAGCACCCATGGTGACCAGAAGGCCCCGGTCCTTGGCTCTCCTGTCTCCACGTGGGCTCCGGGCCTCATCAATCCTTTCACTGCGGTAACAGCCCCAGGCCCCACTGTCCCCAGGCTGGCTTTCCGCACTGTCAGGGGTCCTGGGTTGGGGGAGCCCGAGGCCCACCTTCTGCCACAGGTTGGCCCCGGGGTCGTACACGTAGACTTTCTTGGTGTTGTCGCCGACCAGGTAGAGGGCTCCCTGCAGTGCGGCACAGCGCGGAGAGGACAGGTACTTGGGGAGGAAGGGCGAGGCGATCACGCTCCACACGTCTGCGGGGACAACATGCCAGGCCCACTTTCACCTGGGGGCCTCTGCCTCTTCCCCGCCCACTGGCCAGGTCGGGTGACTAGGGGCCCCAACTGACCCTGGGTACTGTCAGTCTCCCATGGGACTCTCACACCGACCCTGCAAAAATGGGTTCTGTGATCACCTGCACTGTCCAGAGGATGAGAGGGGAGAGAGGGGGAGACACGGGAGACCCCCTGGAGCCCAACCCTGGCCTGGGGTCCGGAGCCTAAGCCAGCGCCCACCAAGGCTTGCAGGTCCGGGCCCCGTTCCTGGCCCGTGGGGCAGGTTCTAGGCAGATGCCTCAGCCGGCAGCTTTAAGACCCGGAGGTGGGCTCCCTGTCACCTGCCACCCAGCCCCTAGTCCCCATCCCCCTGGGCCCCCCCAACACTGCCTCATCCACCTCCAACAGGGCCATGGCCCTTTGTAAGAGACCTATGGCTGCCTGCTCCCTGTCCCGACACCCCACCCCCGGGCCCTGCGCCGCCCACCTGTGACAGGGTTGTAACACTGGAGAGCCAGGGCGTTGTACTTGCAGGCGCTGGAGCCCACCAGGTACAGCCGGCCCCCGCAGCCAGCCGCCGAGAAGTTGCTGACATACTTGAGGGCGGGGCGGACAGGGGTCCAGACGTCCGTGTAGGGGTCATAGCTCTCCACCTCCACCATGTCCAGGGTGGTGCCTGTCGGAGTGGGGGTGGTCAGGGCTGCCGGGGGCCAGGGACAAGGGAAGGGCCCCGGAAACGCAGGACTGGGGGCTTTGCAGGGGCAGCAGAGGGCTTCCTCAGAGGGGAGAGGAAGGCGAGGGAAGGAAGGCATGGCCTTGCGAGGCTTGTGACTTACCTCTTCCACAGCCAGGGAGTGGAGGCAAGACAGCTTGCCCAAGGCCACAGCGTCAGGTGGTGTGGGTGTGGACACCTGGACCCGGGAACACTTGAGTCCAGGCTGCATGCCAGGGCCCCCACCTGCCTGGGGCTCAGGACCTTGTGTGTGCTCCCTGCTCTTGGCCAGGGGCTGGCCGAGACACCTGGGGTACTCCCTGAGCACCCTGAGGCCCATCTGTCACCCACAGAGGTTTTGGGGAACTCTTGGTCAGCCACGGTCATTTTGTTTTTCAGTATCTGACTGACCATAGGGGTCCTGGGTGTGACTCCTTGCCACAGCTCTGGGGCATAATGGGGGTAAGGTGGGCCTCTGTGCTCAGGCTGGGGGCATGGCGGGAGTAAAGGGGACAGCAAAGGAGAAACCACTGGGTCCCCTCAACCCAGGGACTCCACAGAGGGCGTGACCCTGAGCAGAGGACTAAGCTACCTGTTTTGGGGATGGGAGTGTTCATCTCTGCTGGAAGCTCAAGGCTCCAGCACGCCCCGTCATCATTCTGTTTTCAGAATCCTTGCTGGAGCTCGCTATAGAGGCTCATGCCTGAGCCTCACTCCTGGACATCCAGGCGCCCTGGTGTGGGGCTGGTTTACCCCAGATGGCGAGCTCCTGAGGGCAGGAACGGGGGAGCATGTCTCTGTGGTCCCTGAGGCCAGGGGGCTCTCTGGTCCCTGGTGAGGAATGGGGGTAGGGAGCCACTGTTGCGGGACTGAGAGGCTCCCAGACTGCCCAGAGGTGGTGAGGGGCTGCCATGAGTAGGAGGCCGCTTGGGGCAGAGGGAGGGGGAGGCCTTACCGCCGATGGCATAGATCTCCCCATTGAGTGCGGCGCTGGCGTGGTTGGTGCGGGCCTTCAGCATAGGGGCCACTGGCTTCCAGGTGGCCTCCTTCAGAGGGAAGCTCCAGGCCTGGGTGGTTGACCAGGTGTCTGTCTTCGTGCCCCGGGAGCCACCTGTAGGAGAGGTACTGTCCCCTCAGCCTGGGGTCTCCAGACTAGTGGCGGCTGGGTACTGAGGGTCCTGTCTCCTTCTTCTCCCCATGCCAGGCCCCCATGGTGCCAGATGCTGGGCTGGGTGGTGGGGGAGACTGTAGGTTGCACAGCCTAGCTGTGTGACTTGGACAGGTCCCTCCCTACCCCGTAAACAAGGAGGACAATTTCTGTGGTTTTAGATCTTCACCCGTGGCACAGCTGTTTTCCTCAACCAAATTGTGTACGAGCCCCCAAGTTCCCAGATGTAAATGAGCAGGGTGACCCTCCCACCCGCCACACAGTTCCGTTGGGGGAGACCCTGGCTGCGAGAGCCTAACAAGTCTCCCCTGGCTTTCCATGTTGGACAGAACACGGGATGGTTCCCTGTACCCACACGTGGACCTATGGATTTTAAATGTCCTTGTTTCCACCTCATAGAAACGTCTAGAAGAGTCCCGCCTGAGCTGGAGGGGACAGCCGATTCTCAGTGGCTTCACGGTCATCAGCTCCCTAGAAGGCGCTGCTGGGAACCCACCTGTGACGTAGACTGTGTTGTTGAGCGCGGCGAGGGAGAAGCCCCATTTGTGGTAGTCGGGGAAGTCCGGGAGCGCCATCCACCTCTCTGGCAGGGAGAGAGAGGGGCAGAGGGTCAGGGTGGCTGAGCTTGCTGCTGCTGCCTCCCCTCTCCCCAGCACCTCTTCCCATGAGCAGGGGTATTCCCTCCTGGGGAGGAGCACGGGGCGGGATTCGGCTGGCTACCGTGGGGTGAGGTGGCGGTTGGGGACACCTCAGCTGCTCCACGTACCCCTGCCGGGTCTGGTTCCCCAGGGTTCCCACCTCCCCACGCTGCCCCCCGGAGCCCGGCACGCAGACGAGACACGGGACTGCACCCGGGGTGTGCAGGGAGGTGGCCTGGGTTCTGGGCCCCTGGGTTGGGTGCCACTTCTGACACAGGGTAGTATGTGAACGGGCCTGACCTCTGGTCCTTGGTGGGTTAGAACATGAACATCATTCATTCACTCATTCCTCATCCATCATTCCTTTCTTCTCCCTGAGCACCCTGTGGGCCATGAGCCGCCACGGGCGTGCAGGGGACATGGGGAGACGTGGGCCTTGCAGCAGCCGGGGTGAGTCCAGACCCCCGCTCTCATGCACCACTGTGGGCCCTGGGGACGCATAGCCTCAGCTTGTCCTCTGTCAAGGGGGCTAGTTCACCTCACTCGGAGGCAAGGGGAGCATGGACGACCCGTATCTGTCAAGGGGCTGCTACTCTGTTAGCGGACCTGGGGATTGTCGCCACAGCAGGGAGGGACAGAGCCATACACCCACTTCGGGCCCACCTTCAAGGAGCTACATGAGGGTAAACTGAGACAAAAGATGAGAAAAAGCTTGAAAAATTAAAAATGAGAGTCAGTGTGGGAGTGTGTGAGCAAACGGACACATTTTGGGTGCTCGTGGAAAGCTGTGAGGAAGACCCAGGCCTTTGGGAGGTCCCCTGGGAAGATTCTGTGTACTGTTGACAACCGGCTTTAGGACACGCAGAACTCTGGTCTTGCTGGGCACCTGCCCTCTGGGCAGGGACTGCGTGTCCCCCTGACTCATGTCTGTGTCACCCCAGGGTGGGGACGGCCCAGCAGTCACCAGGCCTTGGCCTGCCACTGTGCCCCCCGCTGTCCTCCCCTTGGGGTTGGAGGGACAGCTGTTGCCGGGTGGAGCCAGCAGAGCTCATTTCCTGACGTCAGCCCTCAAATCCCCTCATCAGCCCCTGACCTGGGACAGCCGGTCTCACGCTTCCTGGAGCCCGCCAGCCACTGACGCCATGGGGGTTGGCTGGTGACTGGCCCAGGGGGCCTGGGACATCGGCCAACGCTCCTTAGAGCTTTCAGAAGAGCTTTCCAGGGCCAGTGTGGCCCTCCAGAGATCCTGCCGTCCTCCTACTCCTCCCCATTTTCTGGGCAACCCTATAATGGGGCCCTGGGCAGGAGAGGCCCCTTCCATGCCCGTCGGGTCCGTGCGCTCACTACATGAGGAGTCCTTTCCACAGATGAGGACCGGCTTAGGGCGGTGAAGTGAGCTGCTAAAAGGCTGGAATTAGAACCCTGTTTGAGCTGACCTAGTCCTTGGATTCCTACCCTCTGGGCCACTGCTCCCCAGCTCCTCATTCTCCCCCTGGGGCCAAGGTTCCATGGGGCATGCAAGCCAGTGACTGTCCCCCCACACGGGGTGGGTTGGGCAGCAACACCATTTACCCTGGACTCCGGACCCCAAAAAGGCCAAAGTTGGGGGCTGTGGCTGGAGTGTGAGGAGGCCACCGTACCCCCGCTGTCAGCCTCCCCTCTGCCTGTGCTGACCTCGAGGCTCTCCTGCAGCCCCTTCCCTTGAACCCCTCAGTCCCTCCACCTGCACGGCGGACACGAGGGACTTGTGGGCCGCAGGGACGGCGTGAGGGCTACTCACGGGCCTTGCTGTTGTAGAAGGCGAAGTTCCTGGGGTGAGGGGCAGGCTCCTGGGCACCCTCCTCGTCCTCCTCCAAGGCCCGCCCACCCACCACCACCAGAACCTCCTCCAGCTTCTGCGGGAGGGCCAGCTGTGCCTGTGGGGGAGGAAGGCCGGGTTAGAGGAGCCGGTGGCTCTGTTCCCCATGCAAGGGGCCCTGGGGGCTAGCAGGCATTTTCTGGGGCTGGACTTTGGTGGGGCAGCTGTGTTGGTGCACATGCATGGGGGCTGTGAGCATGTGTGTGAGCACGTGTGTGTGTCAGCACGTGTGTGTGCACGCACCATGGTTGTGTGGGGCCAGACATGGTGGTAGACTCTCAGGGCGGGGAGAGATGGGACAGCAGGTGCATTTGTGTTTCAAACCTGAGCGCTGCTCCCTCCCCGCAGTCCCTGCACCCATCTTTGGGGCCAACCCTGACTCTGTCCCCAGTTCCTCCCCTGCGCCAGCATGCGGGTGCTGAACTTGGATGACCCTGGCTGGGCAGGAAATCCCAGCAGGGTTCCACCCTGGCTGGTAAGTGGCCAACTGCTCCAAGCTCCCAGGCCCCTGGGGCTCCCCATGTCTCTGGCCCCTCCTGCAGCAGGCCTGCACCTCCCACTCCGGCAGTTCCAAGGTGATTGCCTGGTGGGACAGGGCCTCAGTCTGCTGCCAGCACCAGGACGGCCTGCTGTGCCTGGTGGCACCGGACAGCAGCGTAGCTCGTACTTGGTCCCCTCACAGCATGACCCTGGCCCGAGCTACAGCTGTGTCCCCGGGCCTGGCTCCTGGGGGCTCCTCCAGAGCAGGGCTCTGAGCCGGCTGTCCAGCCACAGACAGACTCCTTTGCTGTTTGTCACTGTGTCCGGAGCTGCCCTGCCTGACCCTCTCATCGCAGCACCAACAGGAAACCGCAGCCCGTGAACACTCGACCCTGTCCCCAAGGGACAGGAAGGGGCCTGCTGCACTCTCGGCCCATGCTGTCTTCCTGCCAAGCTCCTTGCCCTGCTCTAAGGCCCAGCCAAGGTGCCACCTCCTCCAGAGAGCTCTCCCTGACTGGCTAGCTTGCCCAGGATGCCCCCAGCCCAGCTTTGGCCTTTCTCACAGAGCCTTAAGTCTGTTTCCAGGTTTGTCTGCACCAAGCTGTGGACTTTGACCAGGGAGCAGACAGTCACTTCTGGGCTCTCCTCCCCCTCACATCCGGGGTGTGAGATATAACAGGCGCCCTGGGGATGAACAGGGACGCCCTCACAGGTAACCAGCCCAAGGCAGGGAGAGCTGTGAGGTTTGGGGCACGGGGGAACAGGCTCCCTGTACTCCCCAGCCCCATGCAGGTCGGGGTCTCCGGGCCTCCCCTCCTTGCCGCTTGCTCACCTCATCGTGGCCCTGCGACAGGGCCACGCGGCACACCTCCGACTCCCGGATCAGCGGCTCGGTGGCCAGCAGCTGCTGCACACAGGGTCTGGGCACGGCGTCCAGGCGCACCAAGCGGAGCAGCTCGGGGAGGTGGACAGCCCGGGCTTGTGGGTCATGGCGTACCCAGCGCAGCAGGGCCTCCAACCGGCTCTGCTCCGGCTGCACCTGCAGCAGCTCCCCGGCCAGACAGGCAGCCAGCCGGTCCTGGGGCAGCTGCAGGAACTCGTCCTCCTGGGTCACGGCCTCGAAGTTCTCCCGCAGGAAGGCCCAGGCCTTGGCGGCCACGCCCAGCAGCCCCTGCTGCTCCCCGAACTCACAGATGCCCAGGCAGTTGGTGGCGTCCAGCTGCTGCTGCAGGTAGCGGCCGCACACCTTCTGCACGGCGGGGAAGTGCAGGCGGGCGGCCGTGCGGGTCAGCGCCTCCACATTGCCCTGTGTGACCGTCAGCCGGCCCGTGTACACAAAGTCCACCAGCTGCCCCACCACCCCGGGCTCCACGTCCTGCAGCTCCACGCGCGCCGAGAAACTCTCAGCAAAGTCGCCCGCGAACATGGCATGGAAGTAGGGGCTGCTGAGTGCCAGGAGGCCGCGGTGGCAGGGCAGCTCCCGGCCGCCCACCAGAAGCGTGACATCGGCCAGCTTGGGCTGTGAGCGCAGCCGCCGCAGGCCGTCCAGCATGTCCTGCGCATGCGACGGCACGTGGAAATCCAGGTCGTCCACGTTCCGCACCATGGCCACCCGCACCGGAGAGAAGAGCTGGGCCCCGCCTGCGATCCTGGGGACAGAAGAGGGCAGGGTCAGCCAGGGCAGGGCACGGCTCTTTTGCCCGAGTCACCCGTCCAGCCTGCCGCCCTTTCCATCTTCCACCAGCACTGGCTGAGCATCACAGATGTGCCAAGTGCCTTGTTCAGCCCCGTCGCCCTGCACAGTTGGCTTAGTGTTAGACCCATTTTATGGTGAGAAGGTTGGGGCTCAGAGAGGGCCAGAGACCTACCCCCAGCCAATTAAGCAGAGCAGGGTGACACCGGCACAGAAACCATACCCGGCCCCTTCCACAGTTCCGGGCTATGCAGAGCAGACCGTCTGGAGCCTGGGGATCCCTGGGGCCCCCCCAACTCCAAGTGGCTTCCTCTGTTTCTAAATCTGACCTTGTTGGGGAGGGTGATGAGGGTCTTTGGAAGTTTTCCTGCCCCACTGGTCCTCACTGTCCACAGTTACATGGAGCCTCAGGCTGCCATGACCTTGCTGGGTGACCTTCGTGCCAGTTTTCTCAACTGCAGATCCAGAGGCTGGCGGGGAAAGGACTCTGTGGTCACAGTGCTCCCCAGGGGCCAGGCCGCCTCTCAAGGGTGCGTGCCCTCCTCACGTGGGCTGCATGACACCCAGGGTCTGCGTAAACGTGGGGAAAAACAAGCATGAGAGACTCACATCCCCTGTTCAAGATCACACAGCTAGGAAGTAGGGGGAGCCAGGCTCGGGTCCCACGTGCTGAGCCCCAGGTTACAGGACCCTGGGTGTATGTTGATAAAGACAAATACGACTAAGGAGAACTCTCTGGGCAGTGATTTCGAATCCGTGTGCATATCATCGGATTCAGCAAGTGTTCTTCTGGCTTATTTAATTACGTGCATATTCTTTTATGTACTCCTGACATTTTACCCCAAGAAAGTTGCCCCAGATTTCCCCTGGAGCTACCTACCTACAATGGTTCAAAAAGCTGCCCCCCCGGACATCATCTGTCCACCAGGGGGCGCCTTGCAGAGCCAGCAAAGGGAAGGAAAGCAGGAACCAAAACCCTTGGTGAAATAAGTAACATCAGAATAACAAAGGCCTGTAAAGAGAACCGTGACCTGTGGGTGCCAAGGGGCAAGGAGGGCCCTGCTGACTTCGGTGCCGGTGCCAGGGTCGGTGGCAGGAGCTGAGGCCCTTCCCTACACCCCCTCTCCCAGCGCGCCCACCGTACCCAGGGAGCCCAGCGAAGACGGGACAGGTCGGGGCCTGGCCAGCATCCGTCCTGCCTGACCCCCTCCCAGGGAGGCCCTCTGGCTGAGTGAGGACAGAAGATGAGCCCTTGGCCACTGCCCCCCAGGCCTCACATTCCCGTCATTCCTGTGTTCCCTATGGCCAGCCGCTATGGCCTCAGGGGCAGTGGGCAGAGTTCCCACCCGCCTTCTCCCAGGGCCTCAGCTGCATTTACTGACACCTGCCACCCTGTGGTCCCGAACCAAAGGGGTGGGGGCTTCTGAAGAGCCTCAGAGCCTCAGCCTGGTGCCTGTCCAGGCCAGGAGTGAGGAGGGCTTCAGCGGGCGGGACACAAAGGGCCTAAAGCCAGCTGCCCCTAGGGACTGGACACTGGGGTCCTGGCTGCGGCTGGAGGAGGTGGTCCAGCCTCCCCGTTGCCCACCTTTCCAGCCAGGACGCTGAGGGGAGTGTGCCGGCTGAGCCCTCACCGTACCCCAAGGGGCCCAGCTTGACTGGGATTAGGGGTCTGTGTCCAAACACCCAGCACTGTGATCTCTATGCCCCGACAGGCTATCCCGCTCTGCCTGCTGCTCTCTGCCCCAAATCCCACCTCCCATTCCCCGATGTCCACACTCGAGAGTCCCTGGGACCCTACCTCTCAGTTGGCCCTTGGTTCTCCGAGAACTCAGGCTGAAGAATAGGACTTCCCAGCCAGCCAGGGGTACGGATGGACTGCTGGGCTGAGCTGGGCTGGGCACCACGTGGGGACGGACAGAAGGGTATTTTTAGCGCTGTCTGCTTTGGGAGGGAGCGGGAGAGGGAGGGCCTGGTGGGGGAGGGAGAGAGGTGATGCCCCTCCCAGGCTTCAGATCTGGAGGTCCACACTGGACACGTCAGGAGGGCTGAGGTCTCCCGGACCCCAGGGACCAGGACAGACAGCAGAAAGCACTCCAGGGGGATAGTGGAGGCTGGGCTGGAGATTCAGGGGGCGCATAGAGGCCCCAGCTCAGGGCCTGGGTGTGAGCAGGACCTGACGGTATTCACTTCTCTAATGGTCATTGACAGGTCCCCAAGTGGCCTTGTGCTCATCTGTCAACCGGGGAAAAGTGACTATCTCTAAGACATGCCGGTGGGTGAGCAAAGGTTTTCAGAATTTGGGATCTGAGGTGGTGGTCGGGAAGCCTTTGGTGGTTAAAGCAGTGCCCAGAGAGGTAAGGAGGCCTCCCTGAGGGCTCCCCTGGGCTGGTGATAGGGACGCTGGAACTCGAGGCCCCAGGTCATGGCGTGGCTTCAGCCCTGGGGCAGCCCTGGCGTCCTCCTTCCTTGTGAGAGCCAGAGGTGGTGAAGAAATGAGATCATCTAAAAATACAGCCGTGGGGGCATGCAGCCTTCCCCAGAGCCTTGGTTCACAGTGGCCACAGGGGAACCCCTCACAACAGGAACGCAGCCGTGCCCTGGACCCAGGCCACTGAGAGGGGGTCTGCGGATATCCCTTCTGCCAACGATCAGAGCAAAGCTTCCCAGCCGAGGACGTGCAAGTACATGGGAGAGAAGCCAGCAGCCGGGGAGGCGGGGTGAGTGCTCCACCTGTCGCCCCTCCTTCCTTCACCCATGTGGCCCTTGTTAATACCACCATTCTCCAGGCATGTGGGAAGTGGAGGGTCGGGGAGGGTCGAGTCTGATGGAGACACCGGGATGCTCCACAGGGACTGGCCTGATGCGGCTCCAGTGCAGGGAGGCTCTGGGGATGATAACCCCCACTCCTGGCGAAGTTAGGTGATTTCTCAAGGGTATTAGGGTATCATGACAGGTTGGGTCCTGGACAGGTGACCCTTGTCCTGCCAGTGTAGCCGCTGGTCCTGCTCCCTGCTTAGGGGATGGTTGTGGGCTAGGAGCCACAGTCCTGGTCCCACTGTGGACGCTGTCTGGTTAGAATTCAGTCCTTACACAAATTACTGCCATGGCTGACTAGGTAATTACGAGTTTTCAAGGTGCCTCCAAACTCTGCTCACTTGTGCTTTCTGATTCCATGCTGCCCTCCCCAGCCCTGCCCAGCTGAGTCACAGCCCAGCTCAACCTTCCCAGTCTGCTCAATTCAGCCCAGTTCATCCTAGCCCAGCCCAGCCCAGCCCAGCCCAGCCCAGCTCAGCCCAGTTCAGCCTAACCCAGTCCAGCCAAGCCTGCCCAGTCCAGCCCAGCCCAGCCCAGCCCAGCCCCTGCTTCAGATGGTCCCAGGGTCTGCACCCTGGCCTTCAGCATCAGCATCCTGTGGTCGCGGAGGGAAACGCTCATGGGCGTCTCCAGCTCTCTTACCCAGGACCATCCTGGGGACACCACTGCAGGGGGAACAGAGGTGTTACTCCTGTCCCCGTGCTTGTAGCCAGAACACAAACGGTTAATGTGCACCCAGCCCAGGCTGGAGGAAAGAGAACAGGGTATTCTAATGACGGGGCCCCTGTCACAGGGAGCTGCACCCCCCACAATGTGGGGAGAGAAGACATACCACCTCACGGCTCATGTCACTGCTCTGTCTGGGAAACTCGACACCAAGTGCTCGAAACAGATCTTTATCTCAGATTGGTGCAGAGCGGGGCAGTTTTTAAAAACACGTTGCTTGTTTCTTTTCATGATGATAAAAATAACACATGTTCATCCTGGAGTGTTTGGAAAACACAGGAAAATCCGAAGCAGAACACTTCGACCCGTAAAAGACGATCCCCATGAACACAGGGGCCTCTCCCCTCCAGTCTACCCTGCGCCAAAGGCTGCGGGATCTGTGCGGGTCCTGTTTTATCAGTTTATGTCACCTCCCCAGCATTTCTGATGCCATCAGTCTTTGAACGTATCATCTTGGATTTCATCATACTGTGACTATATCACACTTTAAGAATTCGAAGGGACATCCAGTTACTTCTATTAATGGACATGTGGGTCATGTCATTTTGGGCTCAGATAAATAACCACGGCACCACCTCCATGAATCAGAGTCAGAAAGTGAAGTCACGCATTAGAGTGTGTGCAGCCCAATGCACCTCCTGGCCGGTGGGCCTGGGGGCCGGCGTGGGTGACTGAGGCTTTTCCTCCAGCGGGAGGGGACGCTGGTCCCTATGCCTGGTCCGGCACCCGTGGGTAGTGAGGCCCCTGGCACACCTGACCTACTCGGGGGTTTTATAGCTTTACCTGCTTATGGTATCTCTTGTTCCATCTGGGATTTACGTGGGGCAGGGCTGCCCTGGGGTCCTATCCCCCCCACCCGCAAATAGTTTACCAGCACTCTGGAGACTGCTATCGACCATTCCGTCTTTCTCCCATGGATTAGCTGTGGTGTCTTTGTCTTAGGGCAATGTTTTCCGTGTGAAACATCTCAGATTTCTCTGCTCTGATCTGTTGATCAGAACGAAATATACTTTGGGGTCAGAACCACCTGGTCTGAGGGACTACCGCTCTACAATTATGCGATGTCTTCACGTCTGAAATGCCTCTTCCTCTTTAATCTTTTTGTTTACTGGATTTGTTATCTGTTGCTGCATAACAAATGACCCCACAATCGAGTGTCTTTTTTTTCTTAGGATTTTATTTATTTGAGAGAGAGAGAGAGCACAAGCAGGGGAACAGCAGAGGGAGAGGGAGAAGCAGGATCCCCGCTGAACAGGGAGCCCAAGGACCCTGGGATCATGACCTGAGTTGAGGCAGAGACCTAACTGACTGAGCCACCCAGGTGTCCCCCAAATCTAGTTTCTTAAAACAACAAACTTATCTGTGATCTCGCGTGGTTTCCTGGCTCTGGGAGCACCGTAGTGGGGATTCTGCCTCCGGATTTGTCCTTAGCTGGCACCATGGGTCAGCCAGGCCGCAGTCATCTGAGGGCCCGACTGGGGCGGGAGGCCTTGCTTCTCCCTGCATGGACTTCTCTTACGGTCCTGCTCCCAGCATGGCCCAGGGCTCTCCTCAGAGGTAAGGGAGCCACAAAGATGGGAGCCATTATTACCTACTTGAAGCAAGAGCTCTCTCTTCTGCCATATTCTGCCAAACAACACAGAGGGGCACACAGGAGGCGCTATTGGGACGGGGACGCTGGGGGCCTTCTTGGAGGCCGGCTTCACAGCTGTCCTTGTTCACCGTTCCTTTCAAATGAACCTCAGAGTTAGTTTAAAAAATAAGGAAGAGACTGTCTCTGCATTTAACCGGTGCATTGAGACGGGAAGAGTTGTGTTATTAGCCGTATTTATTTAGTCGTGAGGAAAAAGACTTGTTCTTTCAGCACCTTTGGTACACCTTCATTTTTCTTCGTGTTTGTCCTGCACACATTTATGGGCCTGGGAGAGAGATGGGGTGCCCTCTGTCCAGTATTTTGCTGGCTCGTTGGGGAGCTCCTGGGCTGGCACTGGGGACAAGGTCACCTCACTGCATCTAGTCCCCTCACTGAAGTCTGTAGCCCCAGATGCCTTATGGGGCTCTGGGGTTTTACCAACTGGATGACAGGTTTACAGGCACCAAACAGGCCTCAGAGCTGGAAGTATGGCCTTGCTGGGGTCAGCCTCAGACTCCAACAAGGAACATCTGCTCCCCACTGGGGGCTGCTAGTGGGCTGGGGGTTTCCAGGCCACTGAGCATTAGAATCACCCAGTACATCTCAGGAAAACACAGCTTTCCCAGCATCAGCCATGGGGCAGGGGCTCTGAATTCCTAGGGCTGCTGCCCAGACCCCTGGGAAACAGAGTCCGCAGAAGGCATCTGGGGAGTCACCCTGAGTGCCCAGCAGAGGTGCCTCCCCCCCCCTTCCCCCTCCCCCACCACCTCCAGCCTCAAACCTGGATCTGAGCCACCGCCTCACCCCAGGGCTTCCTGGAACCCAGGATGATTGTGGGGCGCCCCCTGCTGGCCTTGGTCTCACCCCACTGCTGAGAAAGTCCTGAGGCCTGGGAGGGACTTGCCCAAGGCCCCAGGGAATGCTCACAGACCAGCCCCTCAAGTCAGGTATGCTGGCCCCCTGTCCAGTGTTCTCCTGACCACCCTGGGCTGGACCACCTCTGAGGCCAGGTCTGTGTCTACTGCCCACCCCCGCAACACCCCTTCTTCTGTGGCCCAGCCCTTGGAACAACAAGATCCTGCAGATGGCACAGGAGGAGCGAGGGAGACTTCAGAGTATCTGGCACCTTCTGACACTCCAGCTCCCCCAGCCCCCCCCCCAGACCTGCCCCTCCCCTCAGGTCCAGGCAGTGACAGTGTCCTGCAGACCAGCCCCCGTCTAGCTCCGTCAGTTCCATCTGGGGACCAAGAGCCTGGAGGTGGCACCATACTCCTTTCCCCTGCTCCATCTCAGGACAGAGATCCCTCCCACAGGGGACTGGCACACCCCCTCCAGATGCCAGGGGTGGGCAGGTGCGGGACTCCCTGGGGCACAGGTGGCTCTCCCTTGCTGCGGGCACATGGGCAACAAGCACAGTCTTGAAGGCTGGCCAGGAACAGGTGCCTCTGGTGTCAAAGGACCACGGGGAGCCGAGCCGGTGCACCTTCCCTTCCCAGCACAGGCAGCCCCAGCTTCACCCCCTCCGGAGGGTCCTGGCAGGCTGGCTACGAGGGCTCTGTGCCCCCTCCCGCAGCCTGCCCACCACCCTCCAAGCTCTGCAGGCTTCTTTCCCGAGGAGGCGGGGCTGCGGGGAGGGGGTTCCCAGAGGAAGATCCTGAAAACTCCTGTTCACGCACCGCCTGTTGGGGCCACTGCACAGCTGAGCCATGCTTCTCCTCTGAAGCCCCCTGCTTTCGGGCCAGCCATCCTTGGCACTCATGGCCTGGGTGGGGACCCATCCTCTTGGCTATCATGGGGGCTGGAAACAAGCCACATCCCACGGCCAGCCACACAGGGCTTTGTCCCTAGTGCTCCTAGCGCCCTGTTCACTCAAGGCACCTGCGAAGCCCTCTGAGAAGATCCAGCTCTTTCCCTTGGTCCCCCTCGGAGAAGGGTGTGGACGACATTCAGGGCCACAGAAAGGGTCATACCTTACCTTTCCTCTCGGGTGTCTCTGCCCTGCCATGAGTCATCTGGGTCTAACAGCTCCCCTTTGCGGGGGCAGGGGCATGGGTCCAGCGCCCTGTGCTTGGAGCCCCTGCAACCACTGCTTCTCTGGGAAAAATTCTTTATGTCCCTGCTCTCCTGAGCCTGCAGCGGGGCCCTGGCACTGCTTTGAGCCCTGTGGCCCATGGGGCTGGTCAGCTGGATGATGGGACAGGAGGCCCACACGGAGCCTACCCTTCGGGGACCAGAGCCTCTGCAGTCCCTGGGGTGGGAACAGGGCACAGCAAGAGAGCTCGTGTCTGACAGTGGTTGGCTTCTCTGGCCGGCAGGCACCCCTGTGTGGGCCAGCTCTCTGACCTAGAGAATTTGGGAGGGCCTGACAGGCAGCTCTGACCACAGCTCTCCCATTTCACTGATGGGGACAGAGGCCAGGGGAGGGGAAAGAGCATGGCCTGAGGTCACCGGAAGGAGGAAGACAGGCTCTAGTCTTGGCTGGGGCCACCGGTGCTGGAGGAACAGAGGAGAGGGACAGCAGGTGACTTGGGCGCTGGAAGGAGGGCCCACGGGAAATGGTCTAGCAGCCCAGGTGCCTGCAGAGCAACAGGGTGGAGGGTCCAGAGCTGGGAGGTCAAGTCCTCTAACTCCAGGGCTGATGGGATTCTGGGTGAGGTTTCCGAAACTGAGCCGCACAGCCGAGGATGAGCCTGTTGATGTGGGACCGAAGGTGGGCGTTAGCACACAGAGTGTCTGCCAGCCTCTGCCAGCCTGGCCTTCCAGCTCAGCTGGCCGCCAGGTGAGTGACAAAGGGGAAAAGAGAGCAGAAAACATGAAATCACCCCAGAACTGCATTCCCAAAAGCAGGCAGCCTGCCTGTCTCACTCTCCAAAGCTGAACATCTCAGCTTCTTTCTCCTTCCAGAAGGCGAAGCTCCGGTCGATGTAGCCGCAGATGTCCTCACTGTTGAAGCTGCCCCGCTGGTGGCCAGGCCCCAGCCCTTGTGCTGCAGCCCCGGGGCTGCCACTAGCGGTGGCAGCATGGGGCAGGGGCCCAAGGGAGGTCAGGCCTGACTTGCGGCCAGGCTCCGGGTCCCAGGAGGGGCTCCGGCTGGAGCCGAAGAAGCGGGCTTTGATGTCCTCGAAGCCGTCGGTCCAGGCCCGGCGGCCGGCGGCCACCTCGTCAGTCACCGCCTTATGGAAGGCCCGAGCAGTCTCCCAGCCGTGGGCACCCAGGTGCTCGAAGACCTCGAAGCAGAGCAGGTGGCGCATTTTACGCTCCTCCGCGGGCAGGTCGCACTCCAGCAGCTGGAAGTAGCCCAGCATGAAGAGGTCCAGCGTCAGGCTGCCGTAGGGCACGGGCGCCCCACCCACGTGCGGCAGGAACTGCTCCGGGGACAGGGGCCCGCGGGGCCGCCGGCTTAGCCGGCGCAGCTGCCGGGCCGGCACGTGCGCCAGGATGGCCTTCCAGTTGCCCAGCAGGTGGGCGATGATGCTTCGCTGCTGCCACAGGTGGCCGAGCCGGGGGCCCGCGCCGGGCGGCGGGGAGGGCGGCGCAGGGCCCCCTGCGGGCTCCTGCGCCCGCGGTGGCCCCCGGCGGGCCTCCAGGGTCCTGCAGGCGGCCGTCTTGAGCGCCGGCGTGTAGGCCGACTTCTTCCAGTGGCTGAGGAAGAGCATGACGATGCGCTCCTTGCGCAGGTTGGCCAGGTCCGGCCTCGGCGCCACCCCCGCCTCCGAGGGGGCCTCCTCGCAGCTGATGCCGGAGTCGCTGGCCTCCTCCGCATCGCTCGGCCCGGGGGCCCCTCCGGCACGGGGCTTCGAGGCTGCGGGCCCGTCGCCTCCCCCGCACTGCCCCGGCCGGGTCCCCGGCTCGCAGGGACCGGGGTCTGGGGCACAGGGCGGGCCAGGGGTGGACTCGAAGTTGCCGCGAAGCGTCCGCACGGACACCCCGCACTCCTGGATCTCGCGCTGCGCCGCGCTCCCGGGGGCACTGGCAGGGGCCTCCCCGCGGGCCTCCTGTGGGGGCCGGACCGCGGGCTTCTCCTCGCCCTGCACCAGCCCGTTCATGCCCTTCAGCAGCAGGGACATGCTGCGCACCAGCCGGGCGATGTGGCCGCACCACAAGGGCAGGGGCTGCTCCCCGAACGCGGCCTCCGCAGGGCCCTGGAGCTCGGCCGCAGGTACGGGCGCCTCCTCCCCCTCTGGCGCAGGCCCCCGGGGCAGAAAGTGGCTGTTGACCGTGATGCGGACCAAGGGCGCGGGCAGCAGGGCCTGCACCTCGGCCGCCAGCCGGCCCAGCTCGCTCTCGTACTCCTGGCAGCGACGCCGCAGCTGAAGGTCCGCGATCTGCTTCTCCAGGTACACCAGGTCGTCCTCTGTTAGCAGCTCCCCGAAGGGGCCCAGGATAGCCTGGTGGGTCTGTGAGTACCGCCAGGCCGCCTGCCCCGTGGGGCCGACGCTCCCGCTGTCACCCTGGGCACAGGGAGGCTGGGTCAGCAGGGCCGAGGCCCAGGGTGCATCGCAGCTGGGAGAGGCCGTGTTCTGGCCGGACACAAGCCCCGGGAGAATGGCCTGGACCTAGGTGCCCCCTGGGAGACCCAGGCTCCTACACACCAGTGGGCCCTCACTGGGACTTAGAGCATAAACAAGGAGGTTGGCCAGCCCCAGTCCCGAGTCTGAGGCTCAGGGCAGCCACTCTGCCCTGTGGGGGCCCAGAAGACAGTGCCCCTGTTCTGTCATCCCCACATTCTCCTAATCTCAGCTCATCATTGTTCAGCCCAGAGGGTGTCTGTCCTCAGAGCCCTCCCAGACCCTCCCAGGCCCTCCCACCAAGCTCCAGAGCCTTCTGTGGTTGGGTAGCTGAGACAAAACAGGGTGGCTTCTCCCACTCTGCTCTTGGTTCTCCTGGTGGCTGGCCTGGCACGAGGATCCAGGCCTGCCCCCAGTGCCCACGGACTCTGGGACAGACAGACAAAAAGGAACCCTGCGCTGGGCTCCCTCTGGGCTGAGGCTCTGTGCCAGCCTGATTTATTATAGCTCAGAGCCCCCTGAGGGAGGGGCCCCAGTTCACCACAGCGGGACCCAAGCCTCCACCTGCTCACTCAGAGGCCCTGCTCTGCCCTGGTAAGTTCTGATTCCTTGGCCCAGCAGACCCAGGGCATGGAGTGTTGCTGCACAGGGACAAAGCCTTTGGCCAGGCTGAGATGCCACTTCCCTCTAGCTGGGGCCAGCACTGCCCAGCACGCTGGACGGTGAATGACACATAGCCATCAGCCACCCATGGCTACAGAAACGGAATGTGGCTTGTGTAACTGAGGAGCAGGAGTTTGGCTTTTGTTTCATTTTAATTAACTTAAATGGTCACAGGTGTCTGGCATGATTGCGTGGGACAGGGCAGCTGGGACCCAGGGCTGTAGAACACTCACCATTCAGACAAAATCCTATCCCTCTACATCCCGCAGCAACTAGAGGAAGCCTGCGACCACCCATGTCAAATCATAGCTTCTCTGCTCAGATTCCCAAAAGCTCCCCAGGGACCTGATGGTGAGCAGTCCTTCCCTCTCTTACCTCCCCTCTGCCCATCATACCTCATTCACTCCGCTCTAAGGTACCAGCCTATGCATACCTTAGGACCTTTGAACTTGTTTTCTCTGACTAGAATCACTTGTCCCAGATTCTCACAGCGTTCCTCTCTCATTACTTTCTGGCCCCCGCTCAGGGTCCCCTCCCCAGAGAAGCTGCCCCCTAGCACCCACATGGAATCCCTGCTCCCCTTTGCTCGCTCTGCTTCTCTCCCTGGCGCCTGGAATCACCTGGCCCGCCCGCACACACCCAGTGCAGTTGCCAAGTCCCCCTGTCTTTCCTGATAGAATGTAAGGGCTGGGAGGGCAGGGATGGTCCCCTTCACTGCCTAGCACGGGGCCTGGCACGAGGTAGAGGTGGGATGAAAATAGTTAAGACAAAAGAGCATGTGGATAGACCACCTCTGACGGGGATGGGGGGGGATGGAGGGGGTGGGTGAGGAGGCGCCCAGCTTCCAGATCTGGTTCCCCTTCATGGTCTCCCAGAGGAGGAAGCTGGGGCCACAGAGGGGCACGCGATGGGGTGCCCGGGTGTCCAGACTCGAGGTGTGGGCCCAGGTACCCCACCTTCCACGTCTCCTTGCCAGGACAAAGCCCCCCGCCCAGCCTCCGCTCTACCCAGTGGCCCCACTGCGTCCCATTCCCACCTAGCCCCACCCTGCCCTGCCCCACCGGGCCCCGCCCCTCTCCCGCAGGGCCCCGCCCCTCTCCCGCCCCGCAGTGCCCTGCCGGACCCCACCTGGACCGGGAGCGCGGGATCCTCGCCCAGGCGCGCCTGCAGCTTCCGCACCATCACTTGCCGCTTCCACTCGGGGATGGGCCGGCCGTGCTCGTCCTGCGTGGGCACCAGGCCGTCGAGGTCGCCCGAGGGCAGCCTGTCCAGCTGCAGCGCCACCAGGCAGTTCGGGGCGTCTTCCGCCGCCATCTCCTCTCCCTGTGCAGACTGGGGGTGGTCACTCAGGGCCTGGAGGGGATCCCGTCCGGCATCGGTGGGGAGGGCCTCACGGGAGAAGGGGTGGGGGGTGGGCCAGGGAGGGACAGGGAGAACCAGCCTGGTAAGCGTTGGCCTCTGAAGACAGGGATCCCCGTGTCCGCTGTGGGATCCAGGTATGTGCATGGGGGGATCGCTGGCTGGAAGAGGCAACCAGAGATTCCTCCCCTCTTCTGTACATGGCAGAGAGGAGGTTGCCACGTGGATGCACAAACTCGCTTCGGGTACAGTTACATAGAGAAAGTCTGGTGGCCAATTCTGAACCGCAGGACTTGTCAGAGCCTAATGTGTGCTCTGTAACTCTCCAAGAGAGGCAGCACCATGCAGCACTTCCCAAACTTGCACAGAACCTCTCAGGGGCTGAGAGTTCCCGGGACCCATTCAATGAAAGGGTGGGTGGGTTGGATTTATAATGGCCTCACGCCCAGAAAGAAAAGGAGAAAGAGGAGCTGGCCTCCTCCAGTGGGTCCTAGGCTGGGTGGGAGACCCTGAGGAAGGACGGCAGTAGACCCCAGGCCCACCCACCCATGGACAACTGCATCTCTGCCCCAGAAGTGACCTGGCCTGGGCACACATAGGACTCATGAGAGGCCAGCTGGGCTTTGCAGGTTGGTTGGGGAGACGGGGACACAGGGGTATGGAGGTGGGAGGCGTACCGTGGGGACGGCCATAGTGCTGGTGGTGACCCGTCGGGGAGCTGCCCAGATTGTCTGCTCCCTCAGAAGAGGCTGGTCAGGCTGGCCAGACCAGGCTGGGCTGGGAGTCACCACTGCTGGGGGAAGGGAAGCAGAGTCAGGGGGCTTCCCAGACTCTGAGAAGGCAGGGGAATGAGAGGAGAAAACCCTGGACCTGGGGCAGAACTGGCTTTCTGGAAGGACCACTAGACTTGGAGCCGAAGACCCAGCCAGTATCCCAACAAATGGCCCAGGACCCGGGACACTGATTTATCACCCAGCATCTCTGGGCACCTGCGGTTTAACCCATCCCCTGTTGAGCTGGCAAGGGCAGAGGGTTGGGCCAGCTGGGGACTTCCTGCAGTCCCATCAGACTGCAAAAGATCAGAACTCTCCTCTTCCTGGCCCTCCCCAGGACCACACCCCAACCAAGAAACACACCCTGCACCATACACACATGCACACACACGCACTCCTTCATATGACTAGGGAGACCTGTGCCACGAAGCGGGGCTTACTCTCACAAATATGGGGACTGCTGAAATTTTTTATGCTGTTCTATTTCATTTTGCTAAAATGGTCCCAAATCCTTAAGAGTCTGTGCCCGCCTTGGCTAGCCTTTGGATGCTCCACCTGCTGGGCTCTCCGGCCAGCAGCAGACCCAGAAGAGCCCCAGGCCCCAGAGACCTGACCTTCGAGATTTACCTCTGGACAAGCTGAAGTCCCCGGAGAGGGGACCAGGCTGCCAAGGATCACACAGGCAGGACAGCCAGGCCCTGGGGGTTGGGACCTCACACAGGGACCCTGGAGGGGGGAGCAGGGGACCACTGATTTGTAATTACAAGCATGTGTCATGGAAAATGTTGATCCTCACTTTAAAGAAGTAACCAGGGCAATGAAGGAAATGTGGAAGCAGCTGAGGCTGGGAGACAGGAAGGATGGCTCCAAATCTGTCCTCACCGTGTGGCACGCCCAGCGCCTGGAGTCAGCTGTTCCTGCAACCCACCCCCTTGAGGGACCTCTGAGCTGAGGGCAGCAGCACCCACTCCTGCCCTCCATGGTCCAGGCCAGTCCTCCTTGGAGATGTGTACTCACAGGTGGGGCTCCTGAGACCTGAGCCCCTTGTTCCTTCCTCTTGGGAGTGCCTTGCAGCGGACAGCGGAGGAGGGGGGAATGGAGGTGGCGGTGGTGTCATCAGGAGTGGCACCTGGGGGCAGAGGGACCCGGTCAGCAGGAGGCCCAGGTGGGCCTTGACATGGGCAACGAGCGATCCCGCCGGGGCGGTGAGGAGGGCACAGAGCAGGCTAGCCCTGGCCCAGTCTCCCAGGGGTGGGCTGGGGAGTGGAAAGCTGCCATCAACACCACTGCCAGGGGAACTGCACCCTTTATCTAAGGGCCTGGCTCCCGGCCTTTGGAGGTGCTGGGCCGGGGCTGGTGTCAGCTTGGCTGACCTCTCTCTGGCCTTATGAGACACGTGCGCACCCATCACACACACACCCATGCATGTGTGTATACACACGTGTAATGGATACAACACACGTGTGCATGTGCACATGCACATACATACACATACACACACATACACACACACACACATACACACACATACACACTCGTACACGTCCACAGCCCTCCCTCGCTGTCCTGGACTTCTGTGCTGAGACAGCCGGCCTGGAGAGGAGCGGGGAGGGAGCATCTTGAGACATCCAGAACACTTCTCAGACACACCAGCAGGGGCCGTGTGGCTGTGGCCACACCTCAGAGCGGGGTGCTGTGCCAGGACCCACCAGGCAGTGTCCAGGCCAGCCCCCTCCCCAAGGCCACTGGGAAACAGAGATCACCAAGATCGGACCCCCGGCACTGCAGAGACCCCCAGAACTCACCCCTGCATCCTGCCCTACACCCAGGGCAAGGCACAGACCCGACTGTGGCCACCTCTCCTGCCTCCCCAGGGACACTGGTTGCAGCCAGGAGGAGCCCTGGACCTGGACGCATGTCCCCAGCTCACCCTGAGCAGCCTCAGCTCTGGGGACTGACCACCCGAAGCCAAGACTTCTGGCACGGCTGACCTAGCAAGCAGGGGCTGTGAGCCGCGGGACCGCACTCATCTCTTTGTGTCCCACCGCATGTAGCAGAGAAATTCTCCAGGACGACACCAGAGACAGGCTTGTCACTTTTTGGCTGAAAGCTGAAAGTTGAAGTCGGGCCAAGCCCATCTCAGAGGGCAGACTCCCATGCTCCCTGCTCCACTGGTGTCACCGTGATGCCCTTCTCCTGTGGGGCTGCCCCCACATGCCTCTCCAGCTCGCAGGGCCACAGCTGCCGGCCGTCGGAGCACCTCAGCCTGGCTGTCAGAGGGCAGCTCCTCACCCCTCCTTGCTGTGGGTGGCAGAGGGAGGATAGGCCTCCAGGCTGGTGCTGGAGAGAGCCCTGAGCAGGACATGGCTGCCTGGCATGGGGCTGGGACCACGCTGTCACTCAGTTTCCTGCTCTGCTCTTTCTGCGTTAAAGTGCTTCAACATTTTGCAATAAGAAGCCCAGCGTTGCTGTGGCCGGTCCTGCTGGGGAAAACCGCTCGGCCACCCTGAGTGTCCCCGCACTCAGTCCCACCTCCCAGCAAGGAGGCACAGATCTTAGGGAGCTACTGGAGCTTGGGGGCACCCTCAGGAGAACCCCTGACCTGCACCCGCTGCCTCCAGCCCCTCAATTGCTCCCCTACCCAGGACCCTCCGCCCACCATGGCCACTGGAACACAGCCTGAAGCCCCGTCTGCCAGCCACCACGCACCTCACACGTCAGTCTTTCCAGGAATCTGGTGGAGAGCCCAGGAGTCCCGGTGCTCCATGGGTGGGGGAGTGTCTGCCAGCCCCTGGCCTGGGGGAGACCCACAGAGGCAGGGGCTGGGTTGAGCACAGGGAGCTGCCACAATACTGGGCTGTCAGGGCTGTCCCAACTGCCGCCCCCAGGAGCGGGAGGCGTCGCATTAATATTTGAAGACTGAGGTATCAGGTGGCCAGGCGGGCTTGGGGCTGGGTGCCGGATCCCTTACCATGGTACCTTAACCCTTCATGGGGCCGGGGCCAGAGGAGCAGACCCTCGGGATGTGGGCGAGGCTTGAGATCCCTGGGTCATGGGAGAGGGAGAAGCTAGCCAGAGGAAAGCCCCAGCACTGGACCTCCAGCCCCAGAGTAGCTCCCAGGGCACAGACAGGGAAACCAAGGCTCGCTGGGATGTGGGGAGAGCTGGGATCAGAATCTTATTTAAGACCCCCAGTCCTTGCTCCAGGAACCCCTTGAATCACTGCTCCTTGGGTTTGGGGGCATCAGCAGTGGAGGAGAATGCTGATGGGGGATGCCTCTGGAGTCTGGGAAAGCCCTGACACTGGTTGGGTTTCTTGCACTCCCATTGAGGATGCAAAACCCTGGCTACTCTTTATGTGGCCATTTCTCAAGGCTGCATCTGGAAGGAGGGACCCAGAGGGATCTCACTGCTCACTGTAAAATGGGGGTTCCCCAAGCTCAGGGGTTCTCAGCCGTGACACCAAACTCCTGTGGGCACAGTAGCCATCTGTATCCATATCGCGTTATGCAGGGACCTGGGGGGGGGCAAGGGGATCCAAGCAAACATAACACTTGCTCTCTGCAGTGGTCTTGGACAATAGTGTCTTCTTCCAGCGTCCGTGACACAGACCTTTGCTGGCTTATGAGCTTTAAGCAGGACCAAGTCAGACCCTGGAGCCTGGGGCCTCCCCCTGCTATCTCCTACCCCTCTTCCTAAAGGAGTCGGCTCTTGGGGTTAGGGGCAAGAAGCTCCCCTCTCCCGCCAGAGCGCAGGAAGTTGGTTTGGGGCTCAGGGGAATGGACTTGGGCCCCAGTGCTGCACCCGCAGCCTGGGGGAACTCATGTCACTCTCCTGGCCCCAGCTGCACCCTCCCCCACCTCTAAGGAGAAATGAGGGGAAGTCACACCTAGGGCCTTGGTTTCCCCTCCTGTAAGTCAGGAAGATGACGAATTACGGGAGGTGCCTGACGGGCCAGCGTAGGGGGCTCACACCTCATCGGCGTGTTCTCACCTCTGAGCTCTACCCGGGCCCTGTCTGCTGTGCTGTTTCCCTGGCGCCAGGAGAAGCCACATCCTGACACTAATCAAGTCCACAAGGAGTTGAAGGGGCTCAGATGTGGGGCTCCGACCTCTGGGTCCTGACGGCTGGGCACATGCCCCCCCCCGCAATTGAGCAATTGCCCTGAGGTCAGTGGTTGGCTCAGCCCTTTCCAGGGCCTGCCATCTCCTTTCCTGTGTTTTGGTGAGATTTGAGCAATGCTGGGTCTGCCATGCATTATACATCGAGGACAGCTGTGGCGAGCCGGGTTACAGGCCTGTAATGCCACCCGGGCTGAGAAAATCATGACCCACAGATGGGCGCCGGACACCAGTCACCACGGCTGAGATTCAATTACTGGCGGCACCGCCAGGCCCCACCCCTCACCGGAGAGGAGGCTGCCCCCGGGGAGTCTCTTGCCCTCTCTGGGCCTCAGTTCTGCAGCAAAGACAAAAGGGTCCTGGGGCCCTTGTGACCTCGGGGAGGGAATGAACACCCGCTGGAGGCCTCAGGAGCATCTCCAGCCACCACTCGTCCCTCATGTTTCACAGATGAGAAACTGAGGCTTGGAGATGCCACGACCTCACCAGCCAGGAAGAGCCTCTCCAGCCCTGGTGGGTACAAGTACAGGGCCAGGGCCAATAAGACAGGCTGGTGCTATGGTGGGGGATGAGGGGCTGCCCCCCACACACACACCTGTTTGGAGGGTCAGGCTTGCCAGCCAGGGCTGCTGTTCCCAAATGCCACCACCTGGCGGGGACCTCACTCAAGCCCAGGGCCCTGCAGCCAGGAGCCCACCCCATCAAAGAGGCCCAACCCTTCACCCAACCCTGTGCAGAGGGGGCCCGAGGGCCAGGTAGTAGGAAGACCCGGCAGCTGGACTGAGGCAGGGCTTGGCCTCCCCGAGCCGAGGGTAGGTCTGGGTGCTGGGCAGTGTGGACCCAGGTCCTGCAACCTAGTGGCACAGCCTGGCTCCCCAGGCCACCTCTCCTGAGACCCACAGCTCCCGGGGGCAGGTGCGGCCGCCCTGTATGTCTTCCACCACCTCCCCTGAGCCTGGCGTGGGAAGAAGCCGGCGCAGCGACCTCTGGATATTACGTTTCCATCAATATTGCATAAGGTGCCCGGCACCCCCCTCCCCAGCGCCTGGGCCCACAACCGACACCCCGCCCTCCCGCTGAGCCAAGTCTGCATGTGAGGCAGGTGGCCTGGGGGGGACCCACACCCCCCACTGCCCTGGGCGCTCACTGAGGGAAGAAGGGAGGCTCCAGGCCTAACCCCAAGTCCCACATGGGCTCCCCAAGCTCTCTGTAGACACAGCAACAAGCCTCAAAAACCAGGGCTTTGTGGACACGCTGGGCCCTGCTGGTCACAGGCTGGGGAGCTGGGGAGTCCTGAGAGAACAGAATTCTGCCTCAGATCCTATGGCGACACCAGGGACACAGCGAGGACAACCCGAGATGGGCCACTTCTTCACGGCCCCAGGGCCGTCAGGAGAACACCCAGAACCCCTCCCCTGGCCGCTCAAGCTGGGCCAAGTGGCCAAAAGGTTCTGACAGATGTGCCGGGGCCTGGGGATGGAGGGCTGAGGTCAGAGACACTGCCCAGACAGGAGGCCCAGGAGTGGCTAGGCTGGGGACTGGCCGGGACCTACCTACTGGCAGCAGGGCCACGCCCACCCCCCTCCTGATCTCAGCTTCCAGGTCGGCCACTGGGACCACCGAGGGGCCAGGAGGGACCCAGGTGGCCAGGACATTCCCAGCCTGTAGACTCTGGAGCTCTGCCCGCTACACCAGGAACCTGTCCAGTCCCACAAACTCCTCACACCCGAGCCCAAAAGAACAATCTTTTACCAAACAGTAACCAATGGAACGTCTCGTACATAAATCGTGTCATAAAGAAATGACTTCCAGCAGTCAGGGCAGTCCTCAGTTCTTAGACCACGACATCAGCACACCCCTGTGCCGCCCCAGGCCGCAGCAGGCTGGGAGGCAGGGCCGGGGGAAGGATCGTCCCACAGGCCCAGGACCAGGGAGGACTGCAGCTCTGCCTCAGTTGGCCCGGGATGCTCCTGAGGGAAAACGAGGCACAGGAACCCCTCGGAGAGACCTGGCATGGGGGGGGGGCATGTCACATCTCCAGACCTTGGTGCTCTCACCTGGAAATGGGGCCACATGATCCCAGGGAAACTTTCCAAAAGGGTGGCCACTAAATTGGCAAAAGCTGTGGCTGGTTGGGACTAATTTGTCATAGCAGCTGCCTCGGACCTGGAATGGGGATAGGGATGGGTGGGAGGACGCTGGGGGTCCTGGTTCGATGCAGACAAGACATCACCCATGAGAACGTCCGTCCACCTGCCCACGTGTCTGTGTTTGTTTACTTGCTCACATGCCCATGGGTCCTCTCCATTCAGCACATGCTGTGGCCTGTTGTGCACAGGGGGCTGGGGACAGCAGGACGGATGGGATTCTTGTCCTTGTGGATGGGAAATATCTCAGTGAGGGGTAAGCCACGAGGGCCACACCCAGATGGGAGTATGGGACCAGAACTCGCTGCCTTCTGGACAGCCATGTGACTCAGAGCCCTGCTCCCACCCCCGGGGTACCCTCAATCTGACCGTGTCACCCCACAGGCGCCCCAGCCATGGTCCAGCCACAGGCCAGCCCTGCTCCCTGCCATAGCCTGGCCTAGTCATGACCATGGCCCTTGTCTTGACCCCTGCCACTGCCGCTGTGGGAGCCCCAGTCAGGGCCTCTGTCACAGTCCCAGTCATGGTCCCTGTCATAGTTCCAGTCACGGTCCCTCCCACGGCCCCAGTCTTGGCCCCTGCCATGGTCCTTGTGATAAGCCCCAGTCATAGCCCCTGTCACAGCCTCTGTCACAGCCCCAGTCACAGCCCCTGCCACGGTCCTCGTGACAGCCCCAGTCATAGCCCCTGTCACAGTCCCAGTCGTGGTCCCTGTCACGGTCCTAGTCATAGCCCCTGTCACAGCCCCTATCACATTCTCTGTTACAGCCCCTGTCACATCCCCAGTCAAGGCCCCTGTGACAGCCCCTGTCACAACCCCTGTCACATCCACAGTCAGGGCCCCTGTCACGCCCCTATCATGCCCCCATCCCAGCCTCTGTCACCGCCCCTGTCTCAGCCTCATCACAGCCCCAGTCACAGCCCCTGTCACAGTCCCAGTCATGGTCCCTGTCACGGTCCCAGTCACAGCCCCTGTCACAGTCCCAGTCATGGTCCCTGTTACGGTCCCAGTCATAGCCCCTGTCATGGTCCCAGTCATAGCCCCTGTCACAGCCCCAGTCATAGCCCTGTCATATCCTCTGTTACAACCCCTGTCACATCCCCAGTCAAGGCCCCTGTCACACCCCTATCATGCCCCCTGTCCCAGCCTCTGTCACGGCCCCTGTCCCAGCCTCTGTCACAAACCCTGCCGTGGCCCATCACAGGTCCTGCTGCAGCCCCATCATGGCTCTGTCATGATCCTTGTCACAGCCCCTGCCGCAGCCCAGTCCCAGAACTGGGCCAGCTGACTTGTGGCACTGGCTCTGTCCTGGCCCAAGACCATTTCCCTGGGACACCAACCTGGTGTCCATAATGAGCTTTCCCCATAACGTGCTGTCAGGGTTGCCAGGGACCCTGTCACCCCAGCCTCCGGGGCTGAGGGGTGGGCACCGTGAAGCTTACCGGCCCAGCTGTCTCCCGCAGGAACTGGGCACAGTCCTGGTGTCCATGGTACTCTGCCAGGTCTGCCGCCGTGTAACCATCTTCATCTCGTAAGGAGGGGTCCACATGGTGGGAGACCAGCGTCTGGCAGCACTGCAGGGAGGGGACACACGTGTGACCACTTCATCACCTGCTTGTGCCCACAGCATTCACTAGGTGTGATGGAGGGCAGGCACCGTGCTGCCCCATCTCACAGGTGGGCAACTGAGACCACAAACAGTTAAGGAACTTAACCCAAGACCCTGCTGTTGTTCACTGCAGGGCCAGGGCTCGAATTCCCAAGGCCCACCCACCACTGCCCCATCCAGGCAGCAGCAGCACCAAGCTCCACAGGCACCAGCACACAGTCTCAGATGGGAACAAGGCACCCGCAGTCAGGAGCTGCCAGATGCTCAGCTGCTAGTAGGTGGTACAGCTGACACCCTGGCTGGGCAGCCTGATCCTGACCTTGCCCTTGTAGTCCACGCCACAGGCTCTAAAGGCAGAACTGGTGTCCGTACAGCAATGCTGGGAGGTATGTGTGTCATTTTCACAGGAAAAAATGGGAAGATAGAACCATAGGCTGATCACTGCGGGATTTGTGAGCAGGGGGTGAGTGATTACAGATGACCAAGATCTTCGAGGTGACTATACCAGAAGCAAAGCAGGTGGGCGGGTGGGTCCCATCAGGGACTAGAGTAACAGGTCCCCAAGGACAACATAAAATATGCATTAAATGTAAAGTCACCTTCCTAAAGCATCAAAGAGGCAAAAAGGAAGTGAGGAATTACCAAGCCAAGCTCAGGAGTCAGGGAAAATCTGGAGGGATAAACCTATCACTCAGAAGTGTTTCTGCACTGACAGCACAGCCTCACAGGACTAGGGAGACCAGGAAAAGCCCAGGGTCCTCCAAAGGTGAGGGCTCCAATTTATCACCTAGCACTGTAGGCTGAAGGATCTACCCTCAGAGTAAAGGTAAACCAGAAGCCAGCCAGCCTCTGCTTCCCTTCACCCAGTGGCCCAGGGAACCTTGAGCCTGGAATGTGCAGTGGGAAGGTCCTGGGCTCACAATTCCCATGGATGCCTGACAACCAGAGGCAAATAAGGTTTCACCCAAGGCTTCACATGACTCCCACAAATTGTTTTTCAAATATAAGTTCCAGCATAGAATCAGACAAAGCCAGGAGCCCAAAGAAATAAGATACCAGAACAAGAGCCAGAAGACCCAAGTCACCAGGAAATAGACCCACAAGGACCCAAGAACTAACAGAACACAACTAGGCTTATTATTTTCAAGGGAATAAAAATCAAGCTTGAAAATTTATGCATGGAATTATCAACCATGAAAAGAGACATGGTGCATTTAAATGATGATGGTTAGTAGGTCAGGAACATAGAAATATACCTGACCACGTGAAAAACTGAAGCTGTAGGAAAAGTGAGCAGAAAATCAGTCAGAAGCAGCCATCCAGATGCAGCACAGAGAGACAAAAAGCTGAAAGCAGAACCTGTCTGTGATACCGTTTGTGGCAGTAAACCCAGAAAGAGGAGAAACAGAATGGATGCAGAAGTCACATCTGCAGGGATAATGGCTGGGAATTTCACAGAACTTAGGGAAGCACCAAAGCACAAATTCAAGATGCTCATGCAATCCCCAGTGGGAGAAATAAAGAGCAATCTGCCTCATGTCATCCCCATAGTAAAATTGTAGGAAAGCAAAGACAAAATGAAAAACCTTAGAAGTGACAAGAAAAAGAATGATTATCTTCAAAACAGTGGCTCCTCTCAGCTGACTTCTTTGTAGAAGCCACCAGGCAATGAAAGAATGACATTTTCCCAGCACCAAAGGAAAATACGTGGAAATTTCCAAGCAACGATTCTATACCCAGCAAAAATACCCTTCAATAGTGATCATGAGATAAAGCTAAACAAAACAAAATGAAACAAAGAATTTGCCAGCAACACTCCCACACTAAGGGAACATCTGAGGCATCGGCTTCAGACTGAGGGGAAGAGATTCCACAGAGAAGGCCAGAGATGCCAGGAGGAATGAAGATGACAAAGTAGTAAATTGTGGATAAATTCAAATAAGCCTTTATTTTTTGACTGAATAAAAAACAATAATGTCAGATTTTTTTTTTAACTGCAGAAATAAAACACATTAAAAATGGTACGACCCCATCAGCCTCATCCCCACCCTGCAAGCTTTCCTGCTCCCTTCTTCCTTGCCACTAGCCTCTAGGCTGTGCCTTGAAAGGCTTAAGCCCATCACAGGAAGCTGGGGGCTGCTGGGGACCATTGTGCTCACACCCTGGAGGCTTGTCTAAGAGATGGGGAAGCAAGTCCTTCCAATACCATTCTGGAGTAACACGTGGACCACTCGTTCAGCCCCAATGTCACCCTGTGAGGTTTATTACTGTGCCTGCGCTACACAAAATGACAAGAGGCACGGAAAAGGACGGGAAGCCTCCCCAAGGTCATCCTGCTAGGAAGTGGGGCAGCCTGGATTCAGAGCTGTGGCTCTAGGAGCCCGTGGTCTTCATCACACTCGAGACAGGAGCATCCCAGGACAACACAGGGCTTGAAGGCACCTCAAGGATGAGCTGGTCCAGGATCCGCCCTGCCATCAGTCCCAATGCCCTCTTTTTTTTTTTTTTTTTTTTTTTTTTGCAAAAGTTTCCTGACACTCCTTTTGCTCTTCTGGCATGAACACAATTGATAATACAATTGCCTGCACACATAAATTTAAAATATTATGCTCTAATGTAAAGGAGAAAAAAATAGTTTATAATTTAAAAAATATGCATGTTACTATGTGAGTATTTGGGCATGGCTGCACCAAAGACAAAGTCTGCTGTCCGTACCATGAAAAACAAAGGAAGGCACTCCAACAGACAAAGCAGATTACTGAGTGTCCTGCTTACACTTCCGGTTATTGTCCTTTTCCTTCACTACCTTAGAGCCAACTACTCTGCAAAGTGTATAAAAATGTTCGTGTTATAAGGGCTCCGGGTGGCTCAGTGGGTTAAGCCTCCTCCTTCAGCTCAGGTCATGATCTCAGGGTCCTGGGATCCAGCCCTACACCAGGCTCCCTACTCCGAGAGGAGTCTGCTTCTCCCTCTCCCTCTGCCTACTGCTCTCCCTGCTTATGCTCTTGCTCCGTCTCTCCCAAATAAATAAAATCCTTTAAAAAAATGTTCAGGGGGCTCAGTCAGTTGGGTGTCTGCCTTCAGCTCAGGTCGTGATCCCAGGGTCTTGGGATCAAGCCCCACAGCGGGCTTCCTGCTCCGTGGAGAATCTGCTTCTCCCTCTGCCCTCCCCATGTTTGTGGTCTCATGTACATAGGCGCTCTCTCTCTCAAATAAATAAATATGTTCATATGATAAATGACTTTTGTCCAGGGAAAGCCTAAATGCAAAATGTGTACATGGAATGCAGTCAATGATCTCCTTTGTCAGTACTGACTGGTTTTGCATCTATTTGGGAATTCACGTCATTATTCCTTGCTGGTGAAATATTTGTTTTATTTTACTCCTGGTTATATGAATTACTTGCTTTCTCCTTAATTAATGAGGTAAATAAAAATCTTTGACACAGGGCGCCTGGGTGGCTCAGTGGGTTAGGCCACTGCCTTCGGCTCAGGTCATGATCTCAGGGTCCTGGGATCGAGTCCCACGTCGGGCTCTCTGCTCAGCAGGGAGCCTGCTTCCCTCTCTCTCTCTCTCTCTCTGCCTGCCTCTCTGTCTACTTGTGATCTCTCTCTGTCAAATAAATAAATAAAAATATTTAAAAAAAATCTTTGACACGGGCTCATTTTATAGTTGAATGGGCATCATGATTATGAGCACTTTCAAAAATTATCGCTGAAAGGGGCGCCTGGGTGGCTCAGTGGGTTAAAGCCTCTGCCTTCGGCTCAGGTCATGATCACAGGGTCCTGGGATAGAGCCCCGCATCGGGCTCTCTGCTCAGCAGGGAGCCTGCTTCCCCCTCTCTCTCTGCCTGCCTCTCTGCCTACTTGTGATCTCTCTCTGTCAAAAAAAAAAAAAAGTTATCGCTGAAAGTACCTACATGTCGAATCACTACAGATCTGACAGTAACACACAAGACGGGTGTTGCCATTGGTGATGCCATTTTTCTCAGCAAGTGGTTTGTGGTAAAGTGAAAATAAAGCAAAATACTATCTTCCCTCACCATGTACAGTAGAATCATTCTTGGAAAAGCCTTACATATATTGACACTATGAAAAATACTGGGGTGTGTATATACACACAATTGAATTTAGGTTCTAAGCTTAATTATATACACTTGGGAATAGCAGGTCCCCTTGTGTCCCCTCCACCACAGGTGCCTCAATCACTGGAAAACCAAACAGTCCTGAAATTTCCGACACCCACTGCAGAGGGTCCTGCCCTGTTGAGAACCAAATGCTCTTGTGGTTCTCGAATCCTCGGTCGTGTCCTAAGCAAGTGTGTTCAATAACTATGTGTCAGAAGAGTGAGTATCTGAATGGAGGAGAGTGAATGAGTGGACGTCAGAGGCTCTGACGATTAAACAGGCCTTCACGGCACCTCTCATAGGAGCAGAAATTCCACTGAGGCAGTCGTGCTCCCAATACCTCTAGTAATACTCTGTAGTAAGTTCACTTCTTGAATTAGAGGTCACAGTAAGTTAGAGTTAAAACTGAGTTAAAACCACTCATCTGAACCCTGAGAGTCTTATTTACACCTGTCTTCTGTCGTTTCCTTTTCAACCTCATCAGCAAAGCCCCACACGACACCCCATCATATGGCAACTTCCTTCTCCAAACAGCCATGGCATCTCAGACCCTCCTCTCGAGATTTCCCAGCAGTCTCTTAACTCAGCATTAAACTTAGTTCCATGCTGTCACCAGCAACCCCTTACGGCCAGCCCTGGCTCCTGCTCTCTGTTCTGTTCTAGAAGCGGACTGTGTCTCGTCGTCTCTCCCTTGCCAAAGTCCGGCTCCTTCTCCTGTTCACACACCACTGTAAGATCCACTGTCTCTATGAATTCTTTCTAGATTTGCTGAGCCAATGCTATTCACACAGGTAGTTCTTGAAATTGTACATCATAATGCCCTGGCGCGTTTTAGAAGTCCTGATACCTGGGGGCCCCACCCAGAACCAATCAAATCAGGATCTCTGGGCAGGTGGAGCCCAGGTGTTTGGATACTTTAAACCTGTCCTGGACACTCCCAGAGCACAGACAACCTTAAGAACCACCACATAGCACTAATCACTGCATCTAAAATCCCAAACAAAAAGTTAGCTATTAAATTCAGCTATGTAGAAGAGACAATTTATTACGGTCAGTTTGCATTTACTCCAGGAATGCAAGGGTGGTTTAACATTTTAAAAAGTAATCAGAGTAGAAAGAAAGGTCTTGAGATGTTTGCCCGCCTATGTTCACTGTGGCACTGTCCACAACAGCCAAGTGCGAAAGGCAATCCAAGTGTCCCCTGATGGATGAAAGAACAGAGGCAATGTGGGTCCATCCACACAAGGGAATGTGACTCAGCCTTAAAAAGGAAGGAAATCCTGTGTCCTGCTACACCATAGTTTAACCTTGAGTATATAACGTTGAGTGAAATAAGCCAGTCACAAAAAGATAACTGCTATCTGATTCTACCTTTGTGATGTTCCTCGAGTTGTCAGACTCATAGGGACAGAAAGTAGAAAGTGGGTTCCCAGGGCTGGGGGATGGGGAGCAGGGAAATGTTTCATAGGGACAGAGTTCCGGTTTTGAGAGATGAAAGCTGGGAGGTCTGCTGTATAACAAGGCATATAGTGAACATCACTGCACCATACACTTAGAAACAGGAGGAGAAGTTGGCGTTTTAAAAGATTTTATTTATTTGAGAGAGAGAGAGAGAGAGAACTAGCGCATGAGGCAGGAGGGGCAGAGGGAGAAGCAGACTCCTTGCTGAGGGGGAGCCTGATGTGGGGCTCGATCCTGGGACTCCAGGATCATAACCTGAGCTGAAGGCAGACACCAATCAACTGAGCCACCCAGCTGTCCCAGGAGGGTAAGTTTTATGTAACATATTTTTAAACTTCAATTTAAAAAGTAAGCAATCGGTATATTTCACACCATTCAAAGAATAAAGATTGTTGATATAGTAAAACAAAACATGTTAAACAATCATTGCTCCCTTTGGAGGCTGCTGGGACACCAGCTCTTTATTCTTAACTTTTATTCCGAAAAATGAGGGGAATCTGTCCCAGCTAAGGAGCCTATGGAGACCTGAAGACTACATGTAGTGTGGTATCCTGGAGGGAATTCTGGAGCAGAAAAAAAGACATAAGGTTAAAAACTAAGGAAGTCTGGGGGTTGTCTGGGTGGCTTTGTTGGTTAAGCATCCAACTCAGTTTTGGCTCAGGTCATGGTCTTGGAGTCATGAGATCGAGCCCCAAGCTCTACACTCAGCATGGAGTCTGCTTGTCCTTCCCCCTCCCTCCCCTGCTCATGCTCACTCTTGAGCACACGCCCTCTCTCTAAATAAATAAATGAATAAATAAGTCTTAAAAAAAACTAAGGGAATCAGAATAAAGTATGGACTTTGGTTGGTAACACTATCAGTTTTGGTCCACTAATTGTGACAAATGCACTATGCTGATTAAGTGGTTAATGCTGGCAGAAATGGATGTGGGTCTTTGGGTTCCTCTGCCTGTACTAGTGTCTCGATTGTTCTACAATCTAAAATCATCCTGAACTACTCTAAAATAAGAATTTATTTTAAAGTTGCAGGGGAGATCAAGCATTATCCTAGGCTTCCGGGACAAAGCAGATTTCTGGAACTGCAAATAGATTAGCAGATGCAGCGGACAAACTAGTAGTGTGCGGTTCCTGTTTGGCCTCCGAGTCTGGTGCAATCAGGGAAGTGGATACTGGACGCTCTGGGCAGGCTGGCTCAGAGATGATAGTAGGACCTCACTATGAATTATTGTTAGGTGTGATACTGGTTTGAAACTGTGTTAAAAAACAAAGGGGGGGGGCTGCCTGGGTGGCTCAGTGGGTTAAAGCCTCTGCCTTCAGCTCAGGTCATGATCTCAGGGTCCTGGGATCAAGCCCCGCATCGGGGCTCTCTGCTCAGCAGGGAGCCTGCTTCTCCTCTGTCTCTGCCTGCTGCTCTGCCTACTTGTGATCTCTATCTCTGTGTCAAATAAATAAATAAAATCTTAAAAAAAGAAAAAAAAACAAAAGGGGTCCTTATCTCTTGGAGATGTGGGCTGAAGTATTTCTGGATAAAATACTGTGAAGTCTCTAGTTCACTCTTGAATAATACAGCAGCCAAGGGGGCGGCGGAGGGCGGGGCACCAGCCAGGTTCTCAGGCTCTCCCGTGGATTCAGGATTTCCGTCAGAAGAAGACTGAAAGCATATCTGTTCTGGCTGTGTGGCCCGAGTTATTCTATTTCCATATGCAGAGGGGGTGAGGACCCACAGGCTCTGGGCTTATCTGTTCAACTCCTTGGGCTCGTAATGAGGATTTCATTTGCAGAAAGCCACGGCTCCAGCCGCCTTCCTGAGAGGGTCCCTCAGGACTTGGGGTCCCCTCACCACCTCCAAATCTTCTGTTTCCCTGCCCTCCGGCCCGCTGCCCCCCTCCCTGGCTAGGAACGGGTGGAAGCTGGGGAGACAGAGCTGGGGGAGTGAGCCTGCAGGGTTGAGTGGTGTCTGAGGAGGAGAGAGGGAGTGTAGCTGGGGTGGGGAGTCCGGTGAGTGATGAGTCAGAGAAAGAACATTTCACAGCTGCTGTGAGCTGGGGTCCCGTCTCCTTTGCCTTCTTCCAAAGGAACAGTGCCTTCCCGTGACTGTGCTTGCTGCAGTTCATTTTACCTGACTCGGCTGACACTGGGCCACGTGGGGCCCCAGCCCCACTTGGGCTCCAGCTGTGAACAGCTGTCCGGAAGCAGAGAGCCCGACTGGGGCACTCAGCTGCGATCTCAACAACATCCTCCCTCTGGACTGAGCTGCAGGTGGGGCTGGGGGAAGCAGATCCCTGTTGGGGACAGTGCTCCGTGGGGCTGGGTTGGGGAGGCAGAGGAGGAAAACTGTGTTTTGCTCTCAGACTGGCCTTGCCTTTCCGTGAGGTCAGTGTGCAGGGGTGCGTGGGGCAGGGGCCCGGCCGAGGGCTGGGTCTATTCTCAGTGTTGGACCCTGAATATTTAAATGTCACCCCTGCTGACTCTGGGTTCCTCATGTTGTCTCCTAGGGGCTGGGTCACGGGAGTCCCTGAGATTTCTTGGATGATAGCAACAGGGCTACCCTCACGCCTCTGAGCGCAGCAGCCAAGGGTTCTCCTGGGACAGACGACACACCCCGGGGGTCTCTGTGCAAAGGAAGGGATGTGCACGGAGGGAGAGCCTGAATTTGGCCCCCAGGTAACTCAGAGTCTGGGCCCTGGGCAGTGACTGCCGTCTCAGCCTCACTTTACCCACCAGTATAAGGGGAACTGTGACTCCTCTCCCACTGGGCTGCTGAGCGGGTTGAATTATTTCTGCAGGAAGTGCGGGAAGGGGGAGCTCCCAGGCCTCCAGCTTCTGGGGGCTCCCAGTCTCTACCTTCCACCTTGCTGGCCTTACCTCCATGTGCCCGTTCTCAGCTGCATCATGGAGGGGGGTCCCTCCCCAGGAGTCTGTCGTGACAGGGGCGCCCATCAGCAGGAGCCGGTCTAGAATGGGTGTGTGGCCGCCTTGAGCTGCAAAGTGGAGGGCTGTGGCCCCCTCATTATCCCGTGCTGTCAGGCCAATGTCGGTGAAGGTGACCTGGGGAAGGTGGAGGAGGAGGACCCTCTGAGGAGGTGACCCCTCGTAGGGAGGCAGACGGGGCAGGCAGCGAGCTTGGCACAGAAGCGGAAGGCAATCCTCCCCAGAAGCCAGTGAAACTCCAGGGGCCACTTCTAGGAAAATTCTGCCTTCCTAATGGAAGGGGCTGGTGGCTGTGGTGTCACCCTGTTTCTCCTTCCTCCTACATTGATGTAGCCAACTTTCACCATAAGGGAGAGGCTGGGAGAATGCAGAGATGCAGCCAAATGGGGCTGGGTGTCTGACCCAAAGACAGCAAAGCCTCCTGCTGCTCCTATACTCCCACGTGGGAGGGACACTGGAGGTTCAAGTTCCATTGTCACCTGCAGCCCAAAGCGTGCTGGCTGATCTGATAGTCAACTGTGTCTGCTGGGAAAAGATCAGTGAGCCGGGAACAGAGGCCCTCCTGTCAGCTGACCCCCCTGAGGGGGAGGACGCCCCGCTCCGGAGTCAGGGACCCAGCTGGGAGTCTGCAGTGGGAGTCACGTTGGAAAGGCCTTTCTGGCCCTGAGATCCCGTGGCCCTGGCTGCTCCTTCCTTTTCCCTGGGATGAGCTCCCATAGTGCTCCCTCCTGCGACCCTCCCTGTTCCCTTGACTCCCCCAAACTCTGACCTGCTTCTCCCCCAGCACACCCCCATGGCTCAGTGCCATGTCCAGAGACGCCCGGCACTCACCACCCCAGGGGCCAAGAATCCAGGTGTGGAGACAGGTACATTTCTGGGGGGCCCACAGTCTGAACCGGACGGGGTCAGAACGACAGGAGAGGGAACGTGAGGACAGCTCCATGGGAAGGCCAGGGTGGGGATGCTGGGCTTTCTCCTGGGAGTGGAGCCGCTCTCAGCAGGAGAAGGGTGGGGAAGGGTGGGAAGGTGGCCGGGGTAGGGGGGACCAAGCCTCACAAAGTGTGTGTGTTTGCCTCTGGTGGGGTCTCAGGGGTGAAGGGCCAGCCTGGGTGGGAGAGGGGCCAAGGGAAGCTGGAGACCAGTGCTGGTGGCTCAATGACCAAGGCAGGTGGCTGGATTTCATCATTTGTTCCTTGGTTCATCAACTTGCTGGGTCAGTGTCTCCAGAGCCCGTGCTCCGCGCCAGGCCCATGGACGCGGTCTTTGCCTCCCAGAGGAAAATTTATAGTCTATCAGGTGCTGGTGCCATGGAGGGAAGACAGAGGACAGTGGGACAGAGGGCTGGCTGGAGTGGCGCCATCCTAAACGGATGGGCAGGGAGGGCAGTGGAGGAGGGGCTCTGCGCCCTGGGGACACTGCTGGGGAGAAGGCCCCTCGGGAAGTATGGGAGGTTCTGAGCAAGGAAGGGTTTTCTCGTCCCCCCCAGTGGCCAGTGTGGCCTTCAGAGATGCCAGTCACATCCTGCTGTTCTTGGCTCAGGGCCCGGCAGGAGCTCCCAGCCCCTCAGGAAAGAACCCTGGTCCTCTCGGGGCCTCTGCCTGTACCCACTCCCTCTGCCCCTCAAACCAGGCTCTCTCCAACTTGGATTAAAAGCTCCTCATCTGGGCAACCCCCCCTTGCCCAACCACTTCCTGCGTCTCCTCAGGGAGACCCCTCTGACTCTGAGATCTCCCCTGGGGCTCCGTAATGAACTCTCCAGGGTCCCAGAGACCTGGCCTAGTCTGGTTTTCTGTGGTGGAAGCAGGAAGTCCCCAGCCCATGCTGGGAAAATGCACCCCCCCCCCAGCCACTATGTGTTCTTGGGTCTCAGGGCTTCCTTCCGGAAAGAGGCCTGAATGCCCCTTTCCCGGGTCCAGAAGGGAAGAGACCGGGCGTCGCTTGGGGCTCTGAGACATCAGAGCAGGAAGTGGCTGAATGCGGGGCCAGGAACAGCCAGCATCCGCTGGGGGCCACCCGCCCTGAGGGCTCCAGGAAACACCCCAGGACTCCTGGGAGAGGGTCACGAAAGTCCTTACTGTCCTGCAGGGGACACTGCCCATCAAGGCTGCACTCCAGGGCCCAGCCTGGGCCTGTACACATGGGTGCTCACAGTGATGCCCCGGGAACATCTGATCCCCCACAGCCTCAGGGGTCCCCAGGGGTCCTGCAGGCAGATGGAGATCCCCCACCCCAGCCAGGCCCTGCTAGCTTGGAGGGGGCTCTGGGACCAAGGAGGGAGCAGGTGCCAGCCGCCTCCGACCTCCCATGCCCCCAGCACCCTTATTGCCCCCTTACCAGCCAGACGACCAGTGAGTAGTGGCCGCAGGCAGCTGCGGCGTGGAGCGCACTCATGCCATCGAGGGCTCGCAGGTGCACATCAGCTCCACAGTCCTTCACCAGAAACTGGGCCAGGTGTAGGTGGCCCTCCTGGCAGGCCAGGTAGAGTGGGGAGGCCCCAGTGCGCGTCTGTCGGTTCACACCACTGTGGGGGAAGGGGAGGATCAGAGAGTGTTTGGGGGTTCTTGTAGGAGGCAGAGCTCCTCCAACCCCCCAAGGCCCAGATCAAGGGGTGGAGAGACCCAGCCCCCCTTACTGGCTGAAGGGCCCCCTAGCGGGTCACCTGCATGGGTATACAGATTGTATACAGCCTTCTTACCCCCGACCCCACTGCCCCCAACCACTGGGACCCTGGAATCCAGCTCTGCACACTCCCTTTTGAGTCGACCAGCTATTCCCAGGACTGGGGCTTAATGGTGGGTGAACAGCCTAGTGGAGCGGGTGGTGGGCAGGTCACTGAGCCTCCAGAGCCCAAGGCCTGCTCTGCAGGAAAGGGGCATTGTGAGCAGTGCCTGCGCCTGGCATCCACACTCCAGGCTCCAGCATAGACGGACTGGAGGAGGGTCACAGGACTCCCCTGATCCCGCTGTGTCTCTGAGCTGCCACGGGGCCAGGTGAGTTCTTGGTCCCCAGTGGAATTCTTCAGGGAGGGACAGTCCTTGACCCAGACTGACCCCAGCCCCTGGTGATGCAGACTTCGCCTGTGGCCCCGTGGTCGGTCCAGGTGGGAGTCAGGGTGCTGGGCACGAGACGCCACACACTTGTGTGTTTTCATGTGAAGTCTCCAGGTTTTAAATGGTAAAAAAAGACTTTAAAAATGGAGTCTAACGGACCCTCTGTGGCTGGCCCGGCCCAGGGCGCCCCCAGTGTCTGCAGAAGCAAGTCCCAAAGACCAAGGGGGTGGGCTGAGAACGCCGGGGAGAGAGAGCTATTCCAAAGCTGAGCTGTTAGGCCTTGTCGGGGAGCAAGTGTGGGGCAGCCGGAAGAGCCATGCCCCCAGCCAAACAGGAGGCCCCCCCAGGAGAAGAGGCACGACTGGAGGCACGTAGGTCATCAGGGGGAAAGGCTACGTCAGGTGAGGGGTAGACACTAAGTCCCACACCCAGCCAGGCCGGCAGTCCTGGGAATGGGGGTAGGGAGGCCATGAGCATGACGTCCCCAGATGGCCCATCTCGGTGCCCACAGCATCCTCTGTGTGGGCCAAGGACTAGACAGACTCTCGGGATGAGGAATGGAAGCCAGGCTGCCCCCTTCCCCAGCTGGCCCCATCCCATCCCTGCCACAACCTGTGTGCCCAGCACCCATTCTGGGCAGCAGACATAGGGCCACAGGCATGAGACTGGCTGCCCTGGAGGGGTTCCCAGTGCCGGGGTCCCCTGACTAGGGCCTCAGGACCACCTGAGGGCACTGTAGGCCTCTGCTCATGACTGGAAAGCGCGCACCTTCCCAGCTGGGGTAGCGTGGGTCCTGACATGGCCCCAGGCAGACCGGGAGAAGCCTGAGTGGGGGGGGGGGGCTTCCTGGCCCCCCATTGCCCCGCCTCTGTGCAGCTAGACACTGCCCTCGGCCTATAGGATCAAGGTCCTTCCCCCTGGTCCTGAGTCTCATGGGCCCTGTCCCCCTGCACTGGCCCCACACTGGGCCCTCCCTGCTCCCCCAGCCTTCCTGGGGTGCACTCTGGGGGACAGCCCGCAGGCGGTGTTCTGGCGGCTCACCTGCCGTGGGCTGCAGCCAGGAGCTTCAGGCAGGTCAGGTCCCCGCTGACGGCGGCATGGTGCAGGGGCAGGGCCCCCTCCAGGGTCTCCAGGGTGGCCGCGTGGCCCTCCCGAAGCAGCCACTGCACCAGCAGAGGATGCCCGAAGCGGGCGGCCAGGTGCAGCGGGGAGACGCCTGAGTTGTCTTGGTCCTACTGGGCAAAGAAGGGCAGGTGGCCTTCTGTGGCCGGCTGGGACCCGTCCCGGCAGGGCAGTCCCAGCACCCAGGAGCCCACCGCCCTGCCCGCATGCTCTTCCCTCCCTGCCGGCTGAGCCAGGTGGCCTGCTCAGAGGGAAAGGCATGGCAGGGATGCAAGTTCAGGTCTTCCGAGTCCAAACCCATGATCCCACTGCTCCCGGGCCCCTCTCTCAAAGGCAGTCACAGCCCTTTCTGCCCTCGGCTCGCAATGGGAAGGGCTTCCATGGGCCCAGCCTTGTCCATGTCGGGCTCTGTGGTCTGCTGCCTGTCCCAGGGCCCTACCTCTGGGCCTCTGTCTCTGACCGCTGCTGAGCACCCGCCTGCCAGCCACGAGTCCTCGCACTGGAAGCATTCCCACGGCAAGCAGCTGGCAGGCCTGGGCATGCCCCCAGGCACAGAAATGGGCACCGCTCCCCCCACCCCTCTTCCCGGGTTGTGGGAAGAGCCGATGGGACCCATGTGTCCTCCCTGTCTGGGACCCAACACCCCTTCTCGGAGAGTGCCCTTACATGCCCCATTGGAGCTCGCCCACTGTCCCACGTCCTCCAACTGCACAAAGTGACCCCAGGTGGGCAGGAAAAGGGAGAGGGTGGGCGCTGCTGGAAATGCCATTGCCTAGATGATCCCTGAGCCTGGAGACCCTCCTTCTTCCCACTGCCCACCACAGCAGGGCCTGGGCTGTCAGGCACAGAGGCCTCCAGCTGTACAAGCCGGGCCCCCAGCTCCTGAGCCCGTGTGCCCGCCATGCTCCTCTACATACTCCTGTGTGGACCCTTTGGGAAACAGGCCCCCAGATCCGGGCTGATGGGAACCCTGGCAGACCCCACTGGCCAGGTGAGGCCAGGCGCTCTGACCTGGGGGAGGGCAAGGGGAGAGCTGTTCTGTGCCAGCTCAGGAGTTAGTGCTGGTTTGGGGGCAGGCGGGAGTGCCCATGCCATGCACACCGAGTCCCTAGGACTTCCCGGCTTCCGTTCCCTCAGTCCATATGGACATCAGCTCCTCTCACGGGCTTGCCCCACTCACCTGCAGCCCGCAGCCTCCATCACGCACCAGCCAGCAGAGCTCCGCCAGGCTGCCTGTGGCCGCGGCGTCATGTGCCGGGGTGGCCCCGTTGTGGGCCCGCTGGTTGCCGGGCAGCTTGGCCTGCTGCACCAGGAACTTGACACAGGCCAGGTGCCCAGCCCGGCTAGCATGATGCACCAGGCCAGCCCCCAGGGCGTCAACGATGCCCGGGCCCAGTGCCCCAGCCTCCAACAGCCGCTTCAGGGTGGCCAGGTCCCCGTCCTTGGCAGCCGTGAGCGCCCGCTTCTCCTCCATCCTCCAGCCCAGTCCACCGGTGGCTCTTGGCGGCTTACGCACAGGCCCGGGCTTCCTGTTTCAGGCGTGGACGGAGCTCCCAGCTCCTGTTACCCGATAAGCAGTGCACAGGGCAGATGGGAGACGGCGGGGGGTGGGGGGGCACGGGGTGGCGGGCCTTGGAGCCTGGGCCTCGCAGCCCTACCCCAGCCACTCCCCAGTGCCCAGGGCTGTGGTGGGCAGAGGGCTCGGGGTCTGGGAGCAGGGTCTGCCCTGGGGTCAGGTCAGGGTTGGGTGCTGGCCAGCAGATGCTTACTGTGACTGGGCTGGGCCTCATCCTCTTTCCGAGCAAGCACTGGGGAGACGTGCCGTGTCTCTCACCCTGAGAAGGACTTCCTGTGTCTAGTGGGTGTTTATAGTTCCCAGGATCCTTCCAGGAAGGCAGTAGGCTCCCCAGCAAATGCTTCCTCTCGTCTGGGCAGCAGCCCCGAGAGCCTCTTCTCACAGGGGGAGACCCGTCCACGGAGGGAGACCCGTCCACTGGGGGGCCCTCTCTGGGGAACTGACGACCACGTGTGCTCGAGTTCCGCGAGGTCTTCACCCCAGGATCCCAGGGCCCACCTGCCTGCTGACGGCGCTATGCGGGATCCTGGCCCTCGGCTGGCCGAGGCCCCAGGAGCTCCACGAACGTCTGAGGAACAGTGGCTCGCTGGAGCCAGCTGTGGGCCCAGGGCCCTAACATGGGAGAGGAAGGCTTCCGAGGTGAGTGAGGGTCTCTGAGGCTGTGGCTGAAGGTCAAGGGGCTTCCTTGAGGGCAGCCACACCTCTTTTCCCAGAGTCTTCCCTTCAGTGGTGCTGGGCACCCATGGCTTTTTCCCGGGCCCACTGGGATCAGCATGGCCTCTGCTTGGAGGCAGCAGGATGCTGACTTTAGTGACCCGTTTTCTAGGGACTTGCAGAGACAAAGTCTCAAGTGAATTTCTTCAGCTGAAGCCTGATCGTCCAGCGATAAACTGGGGTCACTACGTGCCCCTCCCACACCAGCTCAGACACACCAGTGAGCCCCGGAGAAGTGCCCACTAGACAGACTGTCGACGTCTAATACCAGCATTGGAATATTTTATTAGTTCACTGAATTTCTGACAGTGGTTTCCTCAGAGTAATCATGAAGTTCTTGGCACCTTAAAACCACATGTTAAAAGTGTTCAGCTAAGAAATTGATCCTATGCAAAGGGTCTCTGTGAGTCACGCCCTCTGAGGTGCATCGGGATGTCACAGAGGACATCACATCAGGACGTCACAGAGCCTTGGTGAAGACAGAAGAACCCATCTGGGAACAATATTATGATGGAGTGGAGCAGGGGATGGGCAGATTTCCCACCACAGGAGCCACCCGGGGTCACGTAAGCCTGGTTGCCTCCCGACTCCCACACCGGAGCTGGAACCCTGAGTGAATGACCACAGGAAAAAGGCAGGGGGGCTTGGGGGCTTTGGGGGCTCTGGGTGGCCACCAGGCTGAGTGAGGAGGTCAGGTAGGGTGGACACGTTGGGGGATACGGAGCAGGGGGCTGACCTTGGTGGCCCCTCTGTGGAGGAAGGGCTTGGGAAGGGCAGAGTGAGATGAGAGGGCCCAGGGGTAGACGGACCTCAGCGCCAACAGGCAGGGGAGGCCATGACTGCAGCAAAAATCGGGTTTCCTATGTTCATGGTAGCAAGTGACAAGTGACGATGGTCTACAATACTAGGATTTTATCTTCCAGGGGAAATGCTCCCTTCCAGGAGGGTGGCGCTCCCAGCTCCCCACAGGGGATGCTTCTGCTTCAACCTGCGCCACCAGGCGACGGGGACAGTCCCACACAGGTGTGTGCGGCCCGTGGGGTCTGCCTGCCCAACAGACGGGCTCTCTGCTGACCTGGGGATGGGGGACAGGAAACGGGGAGACGGGGATGGGGAATGAGTGCACCCACCACCTGGCACCATGTCAGACACTCTGGGACAAATTAGGAGGAGAGCCGTCCTGGCGCAGCACTTGGAAGGGCTTCCTCTGGGGCGTCCTTGGCGCTAGGCCTGGCACTCCAGCCGGGCCACGGCCTGTTTCAGGTCCTGCACGACGAGGTCCACCTCGGCCCTGGTGGTGCTGCGGCCCACGCTGAGCCGGAGCGCGTTCCTGGCCACGTCAAAGGGGATACCACAGCTCAGCAGCACTGGGGATGGCCTGAGGGGTGGTGAGAGCCTGTGTCAGCTCTCTGTGCTCCCCGGGTCTCAGAGGAGATGGAGGTACAACCGAGGGCGCCGCCAGTGTTCCTGGCAGCTCTGGCACCCTCCCCCCCACCACCGCCGCCAACCCTAGCAGGTGTGCAGATCAAGGGCCAGCAGGCACCCAAGGTGCCCACAAACACAGGCCCCGGGCAGAAGCAGTGCAGCCAAGGTCTCTGTCACATTACAGAGCTCCTGAAAGCCATCCACACAAACACCCCCCTCCCCATGCACAGGGCTAGGTGGGAGCAGGGACTTTCATCGCTGCGGTTCCTGAGGGTCCGGGCCAGAGGCCCCTGCAGAGCAGGGGAGAGAAAGGACAGGGACCACAGCTCCTGGCCCCCTGCCATCCCCTGAGTGGGTGGTCTCATTCCTATTCCAGGGGGCACGCCCCCTCCCACCCTCGCAGGGGCCACATCAGACACCCGCCCCCACCCAGCTACGCCCCCAGCCCCTCCTCCTGCCCCTCCTACCCTCCCCTTCACCTTGTGGCTGGTGAGACCACAGACTACACCTGCCTCAGCAACCCTGCCTAGGAAACGGGCCAGACAGATCCCTTCTGGAAGGTCGGGGGAGCATTCTGTGAGCGCCCTCCTGCAGTCCACACTCGCCCCACCTCACTGCCCCTGACAGCCACTTGGCCACCTGCCGGCTCCTGGCCTCCCCCACCCTTGTGCAGCCCTCCCTGACAGAGCTCTAAGCCAGGGCCTGGTCATCCCAGCCCAGCCCTCGGACCCTGGGAGCCCCCTGGCCTGAGGGGCTCACGCACCACACCAGCCAGACTCCCGGACAGCCCACTGCTGACCATGGCCTGGCTCCTTCTGGGGTTCTGGCGGCCTCACCCAGCACCACACCCAGCTCTGCAGGCCCCCTGCTCATAGTGAGTGAGAAACCGCGGCCCTGTTCTTCCTCCACCAGGGTCAGGCCAGTCTCGGGTGCCCGGGCTTCACATCCTCCCCTCCTGCCCTGGCCACGGCCACTCAATGGGGCTGCTCTCCTGGGATTGCCCTGCACCCGGCAGGGCCACCCGGAACCAACCTGGCCTGTTACAACCCTCCCAGAGCCTCTCACTTTCCCATGACAGAGGGAGCTCCTGCAGCCTGCCTAGCCCCTCCCAGCTGACCCCCACTGAGGCTGCAGCTTCCCCTCCTCCCCTTGGAAGCCCCAGGCCCAGCAGCCTCCTCTGGCCACCTGGCAGACAGGCACTGGATACTGTGGCTCAGGCGCGCGGCACTTACCGGTCCATGTGGTCCGAGTGGCACGCGGCCCCCACGCTGGCCATTAGCGTCCTGCACTGGGCCAGCACTGCACGCCCTGGGGAGACACGGCATGTGGCTATGGGTGGAGTGTGCCAGTGGGGCCCCACCTGTCCGCCTCCCCTCTGCCCTGCTGCAAGTTTGGAGGCTCCCTCCCTTGGGCCCCCTGGGGTTGGGAGGTGGCCCAGGACCCAGGCCGTCTCATCCCTGGGGGGTGGCCCAGGACCCAGGCCGTCTCATCCCTGGTGACAGTGCAGCGGGATCCAGACAAGATGCTTCCTCCTAGACACGATTCCGCCCTAAAATCTGGCCTCGAACATGTTATTTCCGGTCAATGGCCGAAGAAGACCCCAGAACTCCCATCGGCTGCCTTACTTCCTACTTTGTTGTCCCAGTCATGACACTGAAACTTAACATCTGTGTTTTCTAGAGGTGGAGACACGGGGGGTGCTGTTTTGGTTAAGCTGGAAGGCACGTCCCTCTACTTTCACAAGCACAGATACTAGAGTAATAAAGCCACTGGCCTAATTAAAAGAATCTGTCTCATTTAAATGGACACGGGCCTCACCGAAAACAATACATCTATCCCCACAAAAACAGGGATGAGGACTTGATGTGCTCTTCTTCCCACAGCAAGAAGAGCCGGAGCAGCGGCCAGCAGCGAGGCGGCTTCCCAGTGCAGGGTCCCATCCCCCGGCACAGTGACACCTGCCCAGGGCCAGTCTGTGGTGCAGACACACAGTGCTCCCCGCGCCATCCAGGGAGACAGAGGGAGCAACCCCCTCTCCCCTAGGAACTTCCCCAAACCGCTCTGTGCTCTACAGACGTGCTTCCCTCCTGCTCAGGGCACTGAATCTCCTCTCGGTGGAACACTGCTGGTCAGTGCTCTGGGTGAGCCGTGTTTTGTCTTCTGGATTCCAGCGATCCTGCTGGTCCCCAGCCTGGAGGCAGTTAGCGCAGGAACTGAGAGTCCCACAGGTGTGCACGTCATCCTGACTCTGAGCCAGATTTTAAAGTTGACTGCCTCTCCTCTCCCTGGTCCTCATCATGTTCTGTCAAACTTACTGACGGAAATGGATGAAGGAGCCCAAAATTCAGTCTCATCTTCCCTCTCTGCTTCAGTGCCCACAAGTGCGGGGCACAACGGCAAGCCCCCCCGCACCCACGTGAAGAGCCAGGGCAGGGAGAGCAGGAAATGGCCAGATCAGCCCCGCCTTCTGGGGACACCCAGGGAGCCGCTCTGCTACCTCTGGTGCCCACCACCCTACACAGGGACCAGGAGACCCTTGTCACCTTGAAGCTGGGGTCCCCGGATGGAAAAGTTGCATGTGTTGGGGAGTCGCTCGGTCCCTGGAAATTGGCTGTTCAGATGGATTCTCTGCTTATCAAATTCAGCCTGAAAAGGCAATGAAGACTTCAGAGATAGTTTCAAAGCACACACGGGCCTCCCCACTCCCCACCCACAACTAATGTCTAAGCTTGAGCCTTTTCTGGAAAACAAAATCTCAACCTTGACACATAAATTAATTAGTTCATCCATAAGCATCTACCTATAATAATTACAGGGACTCCCTAGAAAGCAAAATTATTAGGAGAAAAAATTCCAAATACGTGTGACCCTCCACCATACAACCACCGAACACCCAAGCTCGGGTGTATTCCTAACATGCCTCTTCGAAGATGAGCCACTTGTCCAGAGCCCACTTTGGGGGCTCTGGGGGGGGCTCTCCTGACTCAGTCTTCTGTCCTCTAGCCTCTACCCTGACTGTCCCCAAGGTCCCCGGACCGAGTTCCAAACAACCCCCACCCTCATCCTGCCTGCTGCCCGGGGCGGTACCAACCCTGACCCTCAGCTCGCGGAGGAAGCATGGGGCCCCCAGACTTCAGGCCACCCCACTCCCGCAGGCCCAAGGCTCACCACCAGTCGCTCCTCCAGGTAGTCTCGAACATCTCTCATGTGGGCCTCATAAGCCTCGCAGTTCCTGGTCACCAGCTCAGCGGCCTGGGGACAGGGACGGCAGCAATGTGAGACAGCATGTTCGACTGTCATAAAGCAAGGAGAATAAAACAGCCTTCCAGCGCAGAGGTGAGATTTCCTGATGATAGAGAAGTGACATTTCCTCAACTGCTCTCTTCCTGGAGCATCGGGGACAGTTGGTATTTACTGAGTGCGGCCAGGAGACGGGGGCCTTGATAAGAGCCTGAGAAGGGTTATCTTCCCTCGTTCAGCAGGAATTTGCTTTACCAGGTGCTTCCTGCTACCTCCAGGCACCAGAGATACTGCCCGTGATGCAAAGAGCACTTCCAGTTCTCAAGGCACAACCAGCCCAGAGACCAAGGGCGGAAGGGAAGAGGGAACAGCATCATACCGAATGAGGAGAGTGCTCTGGCGGGTGCACGGGGCACGCGGGGCGGGCGTGAAGCTGACAATGCATGAGCTAGGGTGCTCATGGCCGTGGCAGAGGGACAGGCAACTGCGCTCCTGGGATGGAGTGACTAAGGGGGACAGGGCCCTGGCACCCCACAACAGGCGGGGTCAGGTACGAAGTGCAGCAGCACAGATGCACACGGGTTTAAGAGAGAGGTGAGATGCCCTGACTTGCACATGTAAGGATCACTCTGGATGCTGCGCAGAGAGTGGAAGGGACCACAGCAGGTGTCCAGATTGCAGATGGGGACGACCGGGTCCAGAGTCAGGGGCCACAGAGACACAGAAGACACAGACCTTGACATCTTGTGGAGACAGGACAGACAGATTGTCCCAGACAGACTGCCTGCTCATCAGTGAGGGAGCCAAGGACCAGGTGGGACTGAGGCACTGCCTATACTTCCACAGTGAGGTCCAGGATGGCAGGAGGCAGCATGGGGAGGGAAGGGAACCAGGGAGGAGACGCACACACATCCATGGGCCCAGAGGGAATGTCCAATAAGCAGGCAGGGACCTTGGTCTCTCAGAAGAAAGGTCAGGACCTGCCCCGAGATGCCAAGTTCAAAGCCCTGAACACAGGCTGGTAGAGCTGCAGGACAGGGTGAGTGCCACGAGGGAGCAGCTGTGGCCAGGAGGCTCAGACGGTCCTGGGAGGCCCTTGGCAGGTGAGGAGGCCAATGTCTGGCCAGGGCAGAGGAGAAACTAGCCGGAGTGAGGCGCATGGTGAAACCTGGTACTTAGGCCTGGAGTCTGAGCGGGGCTGGGCAGGCCAGTGCATGGGCCTGAGCCCTGACCTGTGGGCTCTGACGCCATCTCCAGGTAGCCAGTGTCAGAATCGAGTTCAAGAGTGGGATGCCTGGCTGGTGCCGCAGACCTGCCCTGTGGGAGAACCTACCCCCTACCCTATGTCCGGGGTCGGGAGCCCTGTGCGCCAGGCGGACAAGTGGGAGTAAAGGAGACTGGGCTGGGGGAAGACTCCAATTCTCCCGCACCCGAGACAAAGCGCCTGCTCCATGAGCCCCCGCTCACCGAGGCTTACCTTCCCGAGGCCGGCAATCATCGGCGTGTTCTCTGTCCTGCAAGAGACAAGGGAGTTAGTCCTGTTTCCACGCAGAGCAACAAACCAATGTCCCAAGATGGAGTCTGGTCTGTTAAAGTCATGAGTTCAGCCGGAACCAGAATCACACATGCACCTTTCCCAGGCACGGGCCACATGCTCGCCTCTGTGGCGGCAGTGGCCCCCCAACCCTCCGATGCCAAGCTTCCTGGTCCAGGTACCATCGCCATGGCCCACCTGGGGCAACCCTGGAACAACCCCTGGGTGTCCTCAGGGATGATTCTGTCTGGACCCTTCTCCCGTGCAGGAGAAACCCCTCCTCCAGCTGCAGAGCCCAGGGCCCCCCTGTCAAACCCGGCAGGGGTCAGAGAGCCCAGTTCCACGATATTCCCATCAGCTGGCCAATCAGTTGCGCTCTTGACTGTCACGTGGGATGAATCGTGGGTTACTAGACACTGTGCATGTGCAGGAAGGGGCTGGGGGACCCCTGCAGACCAGAGGCTCACACTCTGACCTAACAAGCTGAAAACACAACTCTTCACTCTATTTTCAAGAAAAACAAAATAAATTGCTAACACCATAATTTTCTGAATTTTCAGTTTGGGCTGAAGTTTGCTTAAACCTTTGGAGCTGGCTGCTGCTTGCTGACCAGCAGATAACAAGATAAGTGAACAGGAACACAGGGCATTACAGGTAACATGATCCTGCTGATCTCCCTTTGACAAGTTCATTGGTCAGTTCTGTTCCTGGAGACGGGTTCTGGCACCTGGGGTGGTCTGGGGAAGAGCAAGGAGCTCTGCATGGAGAATCCAGATGTCTGAGCTTGTCCTACACATGGAGTCCTAATGTCATACCCTCTCCGCATCTCACATCCCTCATCTGCGGGATAGCACGGCCAGACCAACAGCATCTCTCAAGGTCTCTGCCCTGTGAGTGCCTGGAGGGGCTGCCCAGGTGGAAGAGCAGGGACCCTGTGTAGAACCCGGCACCTGTCCCATCCTCCCTCCCCCAAGCATTTGGTCAGCCACCTCTGCCTCCATTCTGGAGTTGTGCAAACCCTGCTTCCCACTCCTAGTCCCCATACTGAGCTACCCTATTAAGGTCTCCTGAACACATGGTGTTCTACTTTTTTTTTTTTTAATTAAGGATGATATATATTCATATGTGATTAAAAGAAATAATACAGAGACATCCCGTGTACCGATTACTCAGCTTCTCCCCAGTAACGCTGTGGTAGAAGATCACAACCAGGATAATGATGAGATATAGAACATTTCCACCCCCTCGAAGTTCCCTCCTGTTGGCCTTTTATACCTAGACCCACTTGCCTTCAGCCCCACACCTTCCTTAGCCATGGGCAACTGCTAATCTGTTCTCCATCTCTAATTCCATCATTTCAAGAATGTCGTATAGATGGAACCCTAGTTATCATTTGGGGGGACAGGCTTGTTCCATTCTCCATCATTCTGTGGACACTCCTTCCAGGCTGTTGTGCACATCAGCAGCTAATCCCTTTCCATTACTGAGCAGTGTCCACACAAACTGCCACAGCCTGTCAAGTCTCATTAAAGGACATCTGGGCAGTTGGCGGCCATTGCCAATGAAGCTGCTAGACACACTTGTGCGCAGGCTCTTGTGTGAACGCAAGTCTGCATGTCTCTAAGTGTCCAGGAGTGAAATTCCTAGATGTGATGGTGGGTGCATATCTAGTTTTAAGAGAAAATGCCAAGCTGTCTTCCAGAGCTGCTGTCCCATTGCCATTCCCATCGGCCACATTTGAGTGAAATATCTGTGTCATCAACGCACTCCGCTTTATCTCTGGTTTTTATTTTAGCTGTTGTGGTAGGTGTGATGTCTCACTGTGGTTTTAATTTGCATTTCCCTAACAGCTAAAAATGTTCCAGGTCTTTTCACATGCTTATTTGCTATATGTCTATCTTCTTTGGTGAAATGTCTGTGACTGTCTTTTGCCTTTATGTGACTGAATTGTTTGGGGGTGTTGGCTGTTGAATTTTGAGAGTTTCCTTTATGTACTCTAGATACTAGTCCCTTGAGGATATATTCTAGTGCACAGCTTGTCTCCTCTTAACAAATTCTTTTGCAGGGTGAAAGGTTTAAATTTTGATGAAGTTCAAGTACCAATTTTCCCTTTTATGGATGTTTTTGGTATCAAGTCTGAGATCTCTTTGCTAAGGCCTAGAGCCTGAGGATGTTTTCCTGGGTTTTTTTTTTTTCCCTAAAAGTTTAAAGTTTTTTGCTTCACATCTAAGTTCACATGTATCCTGAGTTAATATTTTACAAGGTGTGAGACTTGGGTTGAGGATCGTCTTCTGCCTGAGGATGTCTAATTGCTTCAGTGCCTTGGTAAGAGTGTCTTTTCTCCACCAAATTGCTTTTGTATCTTTGTCAAAAAATCACATGGGCATATTTCTGGTTGTATCTATTCTGTTCCACTGGTCTGCTTGCTGGGCTTTGATAGAAATTGGGCTAATCTGATTTATCAATTTGGGGAGAACTGACCTTTACAGTATTGAGTCTTTTGATCCATGAACATAGTATGTCTCTCCATGTATTTCGATCTTTGCTTTCTTCTAGCCACATTAGTAGTTGTCAGCTTGCAAGTCCTATATCTGAATATTTCTGAGTGATTATAAATCATACTGTATTTTAATTTTGTTGTTCAGATGTTCATTACCAGTATACAGAAATACACTCAATTTTTGTATGCTTCTCTTATAAACTGTGATCTTGCTGAATTTACTCATCAGTCCTAGGAGTTTTCTTATCTGTTCCTTGGGACAGAGACCATCATGTGATCTACAAAAAGGGGCAGTTTTACCTCTTCCTTTCCAATCTGTATTCCTTATATTTCCTTTTCTTGACTTCTGCACTGACTAGAACTCCCAGCCCTGCTGAAAAAGAAGTGAGAATGGACATCCTCATCTTGCTCCATAGAACATTCAGGCCTTTGCTATTGAGTGTGATGTTGACTGTAGGCTTTTTTTTGTAAATGCTCTTTCAAAGCTGAAGTTCTCCTCTAGTCATACTGTGAGAGTTTTTAATGAATGAATGAATGTTAAATCTTATTAATGCTTTTTCTGCATTAAATTATGTTATTTTTCTTCTTTTTTAAAGTAGGCTTCATACCCAGTGTGGAGCCTAGCACTGGGCCTGAACTCACAATCCTGAGATCAAGACCTGAGCTGAGATCAAGGATCAAACAACGGAGCAACCCAGGCACCCCAATTTTTCTTCTTTAATATGCTACATTACATTGATTGATTTTGAAATACTGAAACAGCCATGCATCCTTGGAACAAACTCCCTCATGATGCATATATTATTTTTATATATTGCTGAATTCCACTTGCTAATATTTTGTTAAAGACTTCTGATTCTAAGTTCATGAGAGATATGTGGTTCATAGTTTTATTTTTTTGTAACATCTTTATCTGGTTTTAGTATAAATTGATAAAATGAACCAGGGAAATGTTTTCTCCTCCTATTTTTCTGGATGAGACTGCAGAAAAATGGTGTTAATTCTTTAAATGTTTGGCAGGATTTTCCTGTAAAACTATCTGGACCTAGAGATTTCTTTTTGGGGAGTTTTTAAATTACAAAATTAATTTCCTTTTCCTAATAATTATAAAGCTATTTAAATGATCAAGTGTCCTATTAGGTAAGTTGTGGTAATTTGGTTTTTTGATGAAGTATTCCACTTCATCTAAATTGTCAAATTTGATATTGGCAATTTATTTCTTCTTTCCTTTTTTTGTCAGTCTTACTAGAAGTTTATCAGGTTTTAAAAAATTATTATTAAGTTTTTCTTTTCATTCCAGTGTAATTAAAATACATTGTTATGCTAGTTTTAAGTGTACAATATAGTGAGGGATTTGTCAGTTTTCTTAATATTTCTAAAAGGCTATTTCTTCATTTCAATTATTTTTTAAATATTATTTTTGTGTTCAGGGTGTCTGGGTGACTCAATTGGTTCAGCTCCTGACTTTTTGATTTTGGCTTGGGTCATGATCACAGGGTCATGGGATCAACCATTCCAAAAGACTCTGCACTAAGCAGAGAATCTCACCCTTTGTCCCTCCCACTGTTCTCATTCTCTCTCACTAAAAAGAAATAAATACAATATTTAAAAATTATTCTTGCTTTCAATTCCATTAATTTCTGTTCTCTAGTATTTCCTTATGTTTGCTTTGGAGTTATTTTGCTCTACTTTCTCTAAGTTTTTCAGGTGAAAGGTTATTGACTTCAGAGTAATCTTCTTTAAAAAAAATTTTTAAATTAAGATTTAAATTAAGATTTATTTATTTATTTAGAAAGTGCTTGTCAGTAGGGGAGAGGGAGCAAAGGGAGAGGGAGAGAGAGAACTCAAGCAGACTCCCCACTGAGCTCAGAGCCCAACATGGGGCTTGACCTCATGACCCTGAGATCATGACCTGGGCTGAAGAGTCAGATGCTAAACTGACTGAGCCACCCAGGTGCCCCAAGAGTCATCATCTTTTCTTAACACATACATTCAGTGCTATAAATTTCCCTCTCAGCCAGGCTTTAGCTGTCTCACAAATTTTGATAAGGAGTATTTTCATTTTCATTCATTTCGATGTATTTAATTCTTTTGAGTCTTCTTGTTTGACCCATGGTTTATGTAAAGGGAGTTGTTTGTTTCTAAGTTTTTGGAGATTTTCCTAGTACCTTCCAGTTATTGATTTCTCGTTTGATTTCACTGTGATGAAAAACGGTCTGTATGATTCCAGTTCTTCAAATGTAATGGTTTGTTTAATGACACAGGACATGGTCTATCTTAGTGTATCTTCTGTGACTCTTGTAAAGAATATGTATTTTGGGGACACCTTGGTGGCTCAGTCTGTTGATTATCTGCCTTCGGCTCAGGTCATGATCCCAGCATCTTGGGATCCAGTCCTGCCTCAGGCTCCTTGCTCAGTGGGGATCCTGCTTTCCCCTCAGCCTGCTGCTCCCCTTGCTTGTACTTTCTCTCAGTCTCTCTCTCTCTCTCCCTGGATCAAATAAAATCTTAAAAAAAAAATACATATTTTGCTGTTGCTTGATTCTGTTGTAGGGTGCAATGTTCTAAACACCTCAGTTAGGTCCTGTTGGTTGTTGGCTGTTAGTGAGTTCTTCCATATCCTGGCTGATTTTATCTAGTTGTTGTATTCACTGTGGAGGGAAGGGTAGGGAAGTCTCTATCTGTAATTGTGGATTTGTCTGTTTCTCTTTTCAGTTCAACGTTTTTGCCCCACATACTCTGCAGTTCTGTTGTGTACCCCATCACCATTTAGGATTGCTAGGCCTTCTTGGTGGACTGACTCTCATCAGTATATAATGCCCCTTTGTGTCTCTGGTAAAATGCTCTGCTCTAGAGTCTCCTTTATCTAATATATAGCCATTCCCACTTTCCTTTGATTGATGTTTTTTTGACACATACTTTTCCAGTTTAAATTTTCAACCTCCCTCTATCAATATATTTGAGGTGAGTTTCTTATAGGTATCACATATAGTTGACCCCTGAACAACCCAGGTTTGAACTGCATGGGTCCACTTGCATGCAGATTTTTTACAGTACTGTAAATGTATTTTCTTCTCCTTACAATTGTCTTAACATTTTCTTTTTCCTAGCATACTTTGTCGTGAGGATATAATATATAATAAATATAACACACAAAATAATGTGTTAACTGATAACTTATGTTGTCAGTAAGGCTTCCTGTCAACAGTGGGCTATTAGCAGTTAAGCTTTATGAGGTTAAAAGTTACACAGAGATTTTCAACTGTGCAGGGGTTTGACACACTAATCCCTGTGTTGTTCAAGGGTCAACTGCAGTTGGGGCTATTTTAGTTTTTTAACATTTATTGGAGAGAGAACAAGAGCATGCACACACAAGTACAAGTGAAGGGAGGGGCAGAGGGAGAGATTCTTAAGCAGACTCCCTGCTGAGCACGGAGCCTGATGCAGGGCTCAACCTCATGACCCATGAGACCACAATCTGAGCTGAAACCAAGGGTCACACGCATAACTGACTGAGCCACCCAAGCGCCCCAGTTGGGTCAATTAAAAAAAAAAAATCACTCTGTCGATCTCTGTCTTTTAATTGCTGTATTTAGACCATTTACATTTAATGTAATTAATGTTAGGGCTTAGGTCTCCCATTAAAAAAATTTTTTTTCCTGTTTGTTCTGTTTTTTGTTTCTCTGTTTTCTTCTTCCCACCTCTCTGTGAGTCATTTGAACATCTTTCAGAAGGTGAAGTGAACAAAAATCTTATCTCCTTTTACATAATTTTAGTCCTCCTCCATTTAAAATTATCTTAAATATTTCTTCGACATATTTTTTGAACCACACTCAGTGCTATAATTTTTGCTTACACCATCAAACATAATTTAGAAAACTTAAGACAAAAGCCTGTTTTACTTACCCATACTTTGCTTACCCTGCTCTTTCTTTCTTCTGATGTTCAAGTTTCCCTTTTTTTTACTACTTCTTTTCTGTTTAAAGAACTTCTTATAATCATTTTCAGCATAGGTCTTCTGGTGGAAAATTCTGTTAGTTTTTCTTTGAGACTGTTTTGATTTTTCCCTTTATTCCTGAAGGATATTTCTGCTGTGTATAGGATTCTGGCTTGACAAAGCTTTCAACACTTACAATTTATTGTGTCACTTCCTTCTGGCCTCCAAGGTTTCTGATGAGAAATACACCGCTATTTGAATTATTTTTACCCTGTAGGAAAGGTGTCATTTTTTTCTTCTGTCTGCTTTCAAGATTTTTTTCTTTGCCTTCCATTTTCAGAAACTATGTGCCTTGGCATGGATTTCTAGTGGTTTCTCCTGCTTGAGATTTGTTCAGTTTCTTGAGTCTGTAGGTTTATGTCTCTTGCCAAATTTGGGACGTTTGTAGCCATTATTTTTTCCAAGTTCTTTTTCATCCCACCTTTTCTCCTCTCTTCATAGGATGATTGTTAGATTTTCTGCTACTGTCCCCACAAGGTTCCTGAGGTGTGTTGTTTATCCTACCGCCCCCCCCCCCCAGTCTAGTTCCTCCCTGTTGCTTAGATTGCATAATTCTATTGTTCTCTTCCAGTTCAAGGGTTCTTTCCTTGAGCTGCTCTGTAGAACATCCACTGTGCTTATTTTAGTTGCTGTAGTTTTTAGTTCTAAAATTTGCACTTAGTTCTTCTTTACATTTTCTTTGTCCTTGTTGACACGTTCATGCATTTCAAGTATGTTTATAATTGCTCATTGAAGAATTTTTCCTGTGTCTGCCTGAGAATCTTTGTCAGATAATTCTGACGTGTTTGTCATCTCAGTGTCAGTACTGGAATCTATTCTCTCTCTCGCTCTCTTTTTAAAATTCAATTTAAGATCTTTTTTGTTCTTGATATGTTGAGTGGTTTTCGACTGAAACCTGGACATTTTCATATCATGTTATGAGAGTCTGGATGTTACTTAACCTTTCTGTTTTAGCTGGCTTCTTTTGATGCTGCTGTGGCAGGGGGAGGAATATGCCAGTTCATTGCTTCCAGGTGGAGGTTCCCTACTCAGCCTGTGTCAACACACAAGGGGAGGACACACCTTGGCAGAAAAGCTGTGGGTGGAAGCCCTTGTGGTCTCCACTGACCCCACAGTGGGGATACCTTGTTACTGGCTGGCAGGGGTGAAAGTCCTGGCTCCCTGCCAGGCCCTCTCTGACACACCTGGAGTGGGTATGGGAACATCTTGTTACAGGCTGCAGGTGAAAGTCTGGGCTCCCTATTCTGCCTTTGCTGGCATGGGTGGGGATGGCAACAGTTTACCATGTGGTGATTGGCCAGTGGAAAGTGGGTATTATCTAAAAGTTCTCTGAGTGCTGGGAAATGTGTCAGCCTGACAATCCACAGGCCTGTATCCCTGGGGCTACTAATACATTATATGCTAATTTAAAGAAAGGTCTCTGTCTGGCTAAGCTGTCCTGCTCCTGGTCCACTGTCCAGAGAGAGTTGGTTTTGGTTGGACATTTTTTTCTGTCCTCAGTGTATTTGAGTTACAGGCTTCCTCAGCTCTTAGTCAGGGATAAAGGAGGTGAATGAACACCCAGGGGACCCACTACCATGTTGTTCCTGTTTCTCCTTGTTGGAATGTCTGATAAAAGGTGTGGCCCTGGCACCACCTCATTCCCCGGGTACAATGTCAGCTTATATCACAGGGACACAGGAGCTGTCAGAAAGGAAGCCAGGTGCTCCTGTGCAACTCTGCTCATCCCATCATCATGAGAACAGCAGCACATCTCAGCCAGGAGGCCTCCAGCTTTGAATCATCCCGACAGAGACTGAAGATCTGTAAATGTGCAGAACCCATCAATGGAGCAAATTCAGACTCAGCAGTGATGTAGAAAGTGCCATTACAGTTCTTCCAAGAGACAAGGGAAGGTTACCACCCTCCAAGCCAACAGTTGGGCTGGTAGGTCTGAGACCTCATTAAACATCTATCTTACCCTGGCCTGAAATTCCGTTCTTGTCCACCTCCAAACAGCATAGGGTACAGAGGTGTAAGTTCACCAAGCCCTCGGACATAAAGTGCTCCAATCCTGGGACCGTAGAACTGAAAGGAAAAATCAGCCATTTATTCAACAAGAACCTTCTGAGTTCCCACTTTGTATGCACTCTGAGTGCTTAGAAGCACACAGAGAAAGATCCTGTACTGTATGGGCCCCACAGCTGTGCTACCTGTCACCACTCCAGACACGTCAGAGTCACAAACCTTGAGGGTGCAGGGCAGAGCCTGAACTCTTGTTCCTAGCCCGAGAGGGTTGACTGCACATCACAGAACAGAATTTGTAAAAGGAGATGGGCTGGAACTTGAGACTGTCGAGGGCTTTTCCTGGGTATGACTCCATGTTTTCAAACTGACACTTTACAAAAATCATTAAGTGCCACAGTGTCAGGTCAGCACACAAACTCCTTCGGAAACTAGCTGAGCACCATGCCTCAACACAGAGAACTAAAAATATTTCAGGTCCTAGTCAGCTGCCAGAAAGATGAGCAAAGTCTCAGAAGGGTCTTCACTCTTGTTTACTGTTTCCACTACCACCTTGGAGACGAGAGCTGCTAGAACCAAAACTTTGCATTCAGAAGCTGCACTTTAAATCAAGTTAGAGAAAGCAACATCTCGAGTCTCTCATCTTCTGTCCTGGGGGTGGGGCCTGTGAGTGGGCTGATGAGAGGTCTACAGGCACTCTGCCCAATACAGAGAATGCTCAGTATCTGGCTGAAGTCACCTGCCTCCCGTCTCCCCTGAGGCCTCCACACCCCTCCACAGCTCTGCCTGGCCACCCCCCTCTTGTCCCAGGTTGGGTTACTGCTGGTCTCTCCTCCTGCAGCTCGTGAGGGTGTGGGCTGCAAGTTTTGTCATTTCATCCCCTGAGAGCACTGGACAAAAAATGGATGATTGCTGGTGCTGTGGTTCTGCTCTAAGGTGAGCCTTGAGGTCATGGAGAGAAGGAGGCTTCTGTGGATGCACCTTGTGCCCCACGATGGTCAGGAAGTCCACGCCTAGGTCCTCCACATCCACGCGCCGTTTCCCCAGGGCCTGTGCCGCATCTGTGTGTAGCAGAATGACAGGCAGCCCGGAAGTTGCCCGCTTTTGGTTCAGGACTTTAATTCGCTGACTGATTTCAGAGATGGGCTGAAGTAGGGAAAAATAAAGAGTTGAATATGTTGCTTTAATTTCATGAAAACTGAATGAAAGAAATCAGGAGTCATTAATGAGGAGAGGAGGAAGAAGAGGGAAGAGGAGGAGGAAGGAGGGAGGAAAAGGAGGGAAAAGAAGGGAGAAGGAAGGAAGGAAGAAGGAAGGAGAAAGGAAGAAGGAAGAAGGAAGGAGGAAGTAAGAAAGAAGAAGGAAGAAGGAAGGAAGGAGGAAGGAGGAACAATGAAGGAGGAAGGAAGAAGAAGGAAGAAAGAAGGATGAAGAAAGAAGATGAAGACAATGACAAAGATGAAGATGAAAAAGATGAAGACGACAAAGACAATGAAGATAAAGAAGAAGAAGAAAAAGAAGAGGCCTCAGGAGAGATGCATGAGAATATCAAGTAGAGCCTGGACCCCCTTCATTCCTCACTAGACTTTTTTCCCTCCTCACTAGATTTTCTTAGAAGGATAACTAACTCAGGGCGCCTGGGGTGGCTCAGTTGGTTAAGTGTCTGTTTTCAGCTCAGGTCATGATCCCGGGGTCCTAGGATCCAGTACTGAGCCAGGCTCCCTGCTCAGCAGGGGGCCTGCATCTCCTTCTGCCTGTCACAGCCCCTGCTTGTTCTCTCTCTCTCTCTCTGACAAGTAAATACATGAAATCTTTGAGGGAAAAAAAAAAAAAAAAGGATATCTAACTCACCATGATGACTCCCGTCTCGTTATTGGCCAGCATGATAGTCACAAGGCACGTGGCCGGGCGGACAGCTGCCAGGATGTCCTCAACCTCCACCTGACCATTCACCTTGGACACTGGCACAAAGGTGACCGCTGAGGGAAAAACACATAAACCAAGGTTAATCTTATAAAATAACCTGTTTGGGAAGTTCATTTAGATACAGCCTAAGAAAAGCATTCTCCACATTTTAAAAGTAATTTATTGTAAAAGTTCAGGAAATGGTAAGGGCCCACAAGGAGGTAATACACTTTTAGTTCATGAGAGCATCTATTTAAATTTTTTTTTTAATTTAATTCCAGTATAATTGACATACAGAGTTATATTAGTTCTGGGTCTACAATATAGTGATTCAACACATCTATCCATTACTCACTGCTCTTCACGGTAAATGGACTCTTAATCCCCATCACCTATTTCCCCCATCCCTCCACCCACATGCCCTCTGGTAACCATCACTGTGTTCTCTATATTTAAGTCTGATTTGGGGGTTTGTCTCTTTTTTAATTTGTGTGTTTTCTTAATTAAATTTCACATATGAATGAAACTATATAGTATTTGTCTTTCTCTGACTTATTTCACTTAGTACTATACTCTCTAGATCTATCCATGTTGTTGCAAACGGCAAGATTTCCTTCTTTTTTATGGCTAAGTAATAGTCCATTATAGATACCACATCTTCTTCCATCTATCAATGGAGACTTGGGGTGCTTCCACGTCTTTGCTATTGTAAACAATGCTGCAATAAACATAGGGGTGCATATATCTTTTTTCAAATTAGTGTTTTCATATTCTTTGGGTAAATACCAAGTAGTGTGATCACTGGATCATATGATAATTCTACTTCTAATTTTTTAAGGAACCTCCATACTGTTTTCCACAGTGGCTGCATTCAATTTGCATTCCCACCAATACACAAGTGTTCTTTTTGCTCTACATTCTTGCCAACCTTGTTTCTTGTGTCTTTGATATTAGCTATTCTGATAGGTGTGAGGTGATAGCTCATGTAGTTTTGATTTGCATTTCCCTGATGATGAGCGACACTGAGTATATTTTCGTGTGTCTGTTGGCCATCTGGATGTCTTCTTTAGAAAAATGTCTGTTCGTTGTTTTAATTGGATTATTTGGGTTTTTTTGGTGTTGAATTGTATGAGTTCTATGTATATTTTGGATATTAACATTTTATCAGATGTCATTTGCAAATACCTCCTCCCATTCAGTAGGTTGTCTTTTTGTTTTGTTGATTATTTCCTTTGCTGTGTAAAAGCTTTTTATTTTGGAGTAGTCCCAACAGTTTATTTTTGCTTTTGTTTTTCTTGCCTAAAGAGATGGATCTTGAAAGAAGCTGCTATGCCAATGTCAAAGAAATTACTGACTGCTCTCTCTTCTAGGATTTGTATGTTTGGGTCTCACGTTTAGGTCTTTAATCCATTTTGAGTTTATTTTTGCATAGTTTGTAAGAAAGTGGACCAGTGTCATTCTTTTGCCTGTAGCTGTCTAGTTTCCCCAACACCATTTGTTGAAGAGACTGTCTTTTTCCCATTGCATATTCTTTTCTGCTTTGTTGAAGATTAATTGACCATATAGTTGTGGGTTTATTTCTGGGGTTTCTATTCTGTTCCATTGATCTATGTGTGTATTTTTGTGCCAGTACCATACTGTTTTGATTACTTCAACTTTGTAGTGTATCTTGAAATCTGGGATTGTGTTACACCTCTGGTTTTGTTCTTCTTTTTCAAGATTCCTTTGGCTATTTGGGGTCTTTTGTGGTTCCATACAAATTTTAGGATTGTCTTTTCTAGTTCTGTGAAAAATGCTATTGGTATTTTGATAGAGATTGCATTAAATCTGTAGATTGCTTTGGGCAGTACGGACATTTTAACAAATTTGTTTTCCCAATTCATGAGCATGGACTGCCTTTCCATTTGTGTCATTTTCAATTTCTTTCATCAACTTTAGTTTTCAGAGTACAGGTCTTTTACCTCTTTGGTCAGGTTTATTCCTAGGTATCTTACCATTTTTGGTGCAATTGTAAATGAGACTGTTTTCTTCATTTCTCATCCTGCTGCTTCATTATTAGTGTATAGAAATGCTATGGGATTCTGTATTTTGTATTCCACAACTTTACTGAATTTGTTCATCAGTTCTAGTAGTTTTTTGGTGGAGTTGTTAGTGTTCTCTATATAGAGTATCATGTCGATTGCAAATAGTGAAAATTTTACTTCTTCCTTACCAACTTAGATGACTTTTTTTTTTTTTTTTTTTTTTGGTCTGATTGCTGCAGCTAGGACTTTTAGTACTGTTTATTTTTTGCATACCTATACTGGTTTTTGATTTGTGGTTACAACTAGGTTTAAATATAACATCTTATGCATAATAGCACTTTGTAATAAGTTGATGGTTGAACTCATTCTTAAATCACTAAATTTTTCCTCCTCTCCCCCACACATTTTGGGTATGTGGCGTCATACTTTACATCCTTTTATTTTATGAATCCTTTGACTGGTTTTTATATATACTTAATTTACTGCTTTTGTGCTTCCTACTTTTCTTATTTGTATTTATGGTTTTTCTTTTCTACAAAGAGAGTCTCCCCCCACCACCCTTTAAAATTTCTTATAGGGCTGGTTAGGTGCTAGTGAATTCTTTTAACTTTTGTTTGTCTGTGAAACCCTATCTCTCTTTTTATTCTGAATAATAGGCTTGTTGGATAGAGTATGTTTGGCTGCAGGTTTTTTTTCTTCAGCACTTTGAAGGTATCATGCCACTCTCTTCTGGCCTGCAAAATTTCTGCAGAAAGATCAGCTCACAGCCCGATTGGGTTTCCCTGGTATGTAACTGTTTCATCTTGCTGCTTTTACAATTACCTCTTTATCACTACTTTTTTTGCCATTTTAATTGCTATGTATCTTGGTGTGGACCTACTTGCATTGATTTGGTGGGAGCTATCTGTCTCCTGGATCTGGATTTCTGTTTCCTTTCCCAGATTTGGGAAGTTTTTAGCTATTATTTTTTCAAATACATTTTCTGTCCCCTTTTCTCTCTCTTGTTCTTCTAGAATTCCCTACAATGCCAATGTTATTACTCCTGATGGTGTTGCTGAGTTCCCTTAATCTATGTTCATTTTTTATTATTCTTTTTTCTCACTTATGTTCAGTTTGAATGCTTCCCATTACTCTGTCCTCCAGGTCACTGACCCATTCTTCTACTTCCCCTAGTCTGCTATTTATCCCCTCTAGCATATTTTTAAGTTACTGAGTTTTTCCATCTCCTCTTGGTTCTTTTTAATGTTTTCTCTTTATTGAGGGTTTCCCTGAGGTCCTCCACGTTCTTCTCAAGTCCAGTGAATACCTAATGACCATTACTTTAAATTCTCTATCAGGCATATTATTTATTTCCGTTTGATTTAGCTCTCTTGCTGTGATTGTGTCCCGTTCTTTCCTTTGGGACAGATTCTTCTGTCTCCTGATTTTGTCTAACTCTGTCTGTTTCTCCATTTCTGTGTGTCAGGAAAGTCAGCTATGTCTCCTGCTCTTGAAATTAGTGGCCTTATGAAGGACAAGTCCTGTAGTGCCCTCCTATGTGGTGTTCCCTATTCATTAGAACCTAGAGCTTCAGGAGTGTCTCCTATGTGCACCCTGCTATTGTAGCATTTGCCTTCAGTCCCAACTGTCTGCAATGGCTGTCTTTACCTATTGTAGACAGGGTTTGGTCCCTGTGTTGTTAATGCATGGGTCTGCAGGAAAACATGGCGGTGGGACATGCAGTGCCAGAAAGGTCTGCACCAGTCCCCTGCAGGAAGGAAACTGCTGCTGCCCAAGAAAACTATCCAGGCCAGGATGGAGGATGTAGATCCACAGAAGAGTGTGGGGGTGGGGTACACTGCTAGCAAGCTAGGTGGAGAGTGTTATACTATACTGGTTCCCACAAGTGTCCATGTATCCAAACTGGGGGATGGAGGAGGGAAATGGCTCCCACCAGCTCCTTTGTTCTTGGAGAAGTCTCCCAAAAGACACTACCTCTCCAGCACACACTCTGAGATTAGTAAATAAATCTCCTTCCCATACACCCAAGGAGTTGATCAAACTGCTGTTTCTATACTATATCTCCAGGAGGGTGTTAGCTCTACTATCTCTGTAAGGGCAGGGCCTCAGTTTCCTCTTGGGTCTCCTAGCTCTTCCAGAGCCAAGCCTGTTGATTTTTACAGTTCTAGGTGTTAAGCCCCACTGATTGTAAGAACTCATGAAGTGAGGCCCCTCTAGTTTTCAAAGCCAATATTATGTAGATCCATCTTCCCAGGGCAGGTTCTTCACACCTGGGGTGCCTGGATGGGGTCTGCTCCTCTCCCCTCGCTGAGCCCATGTTGTCCCTCCCCACCATGCAGTTCCACGGGTCCATCTGGCTTCCAACCGTGTCTTCACCTTTCCTACCCTCTTTGATGTAGCCTCTTCTCTATGTTTAGCTGTGGAGAATTTGTTCTGTCAGTCTTCAGGTCACTTTGGGGGGTATCTACACTGATGGGGATGTTATCTAGGTGGATCCATGGGACAAGGTAATCCTAGGATCTTCCTAGTCCACTATCTTTATGAGAACACCTTAATGGACCAAAGTACTTAACCTTCACTCACTTGACACTTAGCATTCATTAATCACCTACTAGGTTCTAGGCACTGCTCCAAGCTCTTATAATCTCATCACCTCAGACGAATAAATGAAGGTGATTGAATCAAGATTTTGGTTCAAAATGATATAAGATAAATGTATCCCCTCTCCCCTCAAGATCCAAAATGAGAGAACAAATATTTTCTAAATTAGGGGTATCCTCCTGTGGGCAAGGAATTTTGAGGAATTCCCAGAATACAGAAAGATGATAGCATTAGATTAATAAGAATAGGAAAAAAACACTCAGAACAGTAATAGGCGAAAACCATGACCAGATCTAGTGATCATCCAAGTGCTGGGTGCACAGTGTGGAGTGTTGGGAGGGAGAACTGCGTGGCAGTCAGAGGCTGGGTGTCATGACCTAGCTACCAGCTACCTCACAGGTGGGCAGCAGAAGCACTGGCAGTGACTGAGAAAGAGCACACGTGCCCAAGAGAGGACCGGCAGGCCAGGGCGGGCTCCAGGGATAGGGCAGAGACCAGCAAGAGAAGGGTGGAGCTCATGTATCCATTACAAGACTCCAAGGAGAGCAAAAGAAGGGCCACTCTGGCCAGGATTACTCGTCATGGGGATGCCTGGGTGGCTCAGTAGGGTAAGTGTCTGCCTTCGGCTCAGGTCATGATCCCAGGGTCCTGGGATTGAGCCCCAGGTCGGGCTCCCCGCACAGTGGGGAGTCTTCTTCTCCCTCTCTTTCTGCCCCTCCCCCTGCTCATGCTCTCTCTTGCAAATAAAAAAATACTTTTTTAAAAAAAGTATTACTCATCTTCTTATTAAGCACATGAAAGGATGCTTAACATCCAACCATCAGGGTAATGCAAATCAAAACCAGGAGATACCACTGCACATCTCCAGGATAGCGGCAATAAAAGATAATGACAATCGCAAATGTTGTCAAGGATATGGAGAAATAGGAATCCTCGGGTCCTGCTGGAAAAACATCAAAGGGTGCAGCTACTTGGGAATACAAAAGTCAGCTCGAAAGGTTAAACACAGAGTTAACCTGTGACCCAGCTGTGCCTCTCCTGGGTGTAAGTCCAAGAGAAATGAAAACATACATCCACACAAGAACTTGTACACAAAGGTTCATAACGGCATTAGTCATCATGCCAAATGATCGTCAAAGGTTCATCCACATAAATAATGTATTATTTATAGAGACTGGAATTCACATAAAATGGAATATTATAAATCCATAAAAAGAAATTAAGTACTCGTACATGCTCCATCATGAATGAACCTTGAAAACATGCTAATTGAAAGAAATCAGTCAAAAAGACCACATGTTCTCTGATTCCATTCTCACGAAAGTCCTATGAAATAGGGCAATCTTTAGAGATGGACATGGATTAGTGGTTGCCTGGGGGTGAGGCAAATGGAGAATTACAGTGGGTGGGCACAAAGTTTTGGGGGGTCATGAAATGTTCTGTAACTGATTATGATGACGGTTACTCAAGTGGGTGAATTCACTAAGAACCACTGAATGAGAGAGGGAGAAGCAGAATCCCCAGTGAGCAGGGAGCCCCATGCAGGACTCAATCCCAAGACCCTGGGATCATGACCTGAGCTGATCGCAGCTGCTCAACCGATTGGGCCACCCAGGGGCCCCAAAATCTGTGTAATTTAAGCAGGAGGTTAAATGCAACAGCAAATAAGAATGATTCATTGCTCTTCCCTGTAAGTACGGAAAAGTAAGAAAGACGGGGGATAAAAAGGCAGCAGGGATTGAAAGGAACAAGAGCTGAAATAAGAACGTCAGATTTGATCTCTCTCTCTCTTTTTTTTTTTTTTTTCAGTTAATGTAGTGCATCTAGGTAAGACCAGAAAGAGAAAAACTCCTATAGTAGTCGAACAGGAAAACCCAGAAAGGCTTCACAGTCAAATGGAGCACTATGGTGCTTTAATCTGGGTGATAGAAGTACTTTCCCTCGATCCACTTTTAGGTTTCCAAGCAGATCAGAGAAGCTGAGGGGAAAGTCACTTTGCTTCAAGGAAAGCATTCACCTCGGCTATCTTGGGCCGGGGGAAAGGGCTCTTAGTTTTCAAAAGTCCGTGGTCTGTGCCCGGTGTCTCGAGGCTTCCTCGCATGGGAAAAGTGAAAGGTCAGAGCCACTGCTCTTGCCCACCAAGCTCGGCCAACCCCTCAGGCTGCCTGTGGGCTGTCTGCCCCTGCGCCCATTGGCGAGAACCCCTTCCTGTGCAGAGCTGAAGTCATCCAGCAAGAGCACATTTATTCTGGTGTTTGCCCCCTGACGCTGATGTCCACCCCTACTGCTGATGTCTATCTGACCCTTGTTCTTCCCACCCGAAGAAGTGGAAGCCAAGACTTAATCCTTAAAATCCAAATGAAAAGCACTGTGTAGCATTTATAGGCTTATTATTTCATGCGTATATATTCATTATACACAAGAATCTGAAGTATCATTCATTCAGTTGCTAGATCCAGACTAGACTAGAGCTGCATGGTGATGACCCATTTCTTCCCTAGGGGACACTCTGGCAGCATTCCCAGCTCCCGTGTCCGGACAGGCTGTGTAACCCTTGCACCTGCTGACCTCCAGGGAGGCTGCGAGTGGAGGGTAAATGATTCACCAGGTCCCGGAATCAGTGTGTGGCGGTAGGCGGAGCTGGTCACTCACCGGCCGCTCCTTCTTTGAGCAGGTGCTCCAGGGGTAGGCGGATGGAGTCGTGTTCCACGGTGCAGGTGATAAGATGGGGCGCGGCCCCATCCAGCGGGCTGCACAGCTCGGCCGGGCTCCCCGCAGAGGGGCGGGTTTGGTGGAAATGTTTCACCATGGAATGGATTACTAAGTTGTTGGACTGCAGAGAGCAGAAAGAGCATTTACGAGACCTGGGCTAAGGGGAGGGCCACGGCGACACTTTCTCAGCCTTCATTTTCCTCGTGGCTAATGTTTAAAAAAGGGAAAAATGGTCTCAAAGTCATACATCTTCCAAATGGCCAATGACAAAACCTTCCAAAAAGGTCAGAATTCATTTCCAGTCAATTAATGCCTGTCTTATTAAGCAATGTTATGAATTTTTCAATTTTATAAATTGAAAAAGCAGGTACCCACTGCTGATGGGAGTATAATCTAGCATATGAAGGGCCATTTGGTGTATCTGTCAAATAAGCCCTCTGACCCAGCATGTCTGTGTCTTGGACTTGATCCTATCACTACACTTGCATAGAAGCAAAATGAGATACAGAAAGGTCCTTATTAGGTATAGCACTGTTTGTAATAACATTGGAAAGCCCTTCAGTGTCCACCAATAAAGGGATTTGTAAGTGCCCAATGGACACCAAGGAATAAACATCAAGGAAAAGCTTTATGTGTAGAGACCCAAAGATCTCAAATAGAAATATACTTCATAAATAATAATACAAAAAAAGGTTGCAGACATTATATACAGTATTCTACCCAATTTGTATATAAAGGGGGAAATATAAACGCATTTGCTCCTTATGCAAAAATATCCTGGAAAGGGTACACAGGGAAGGAGATTAGAATATATAAATCTACATAGTTATTTGCTTTTAACGCAGAGACTCTCTGGAAGACACCAAGAAGCTAACAATATTGGTTTCCTATAGCCAGAGTGGATAACATAAGAGTACAGGGTAGGAGAAGACTTTAAAAACAAAACAAAACAAAACAAAACAAAAACTTTTCTCTTATTTTAAATTATAACATATATACAGGAAAGTGTATAAAACATAAACCTAAGTTTAACAGAGAAATGAGGCAGCGAAGACTGAATGACTGTTACCTGATCAAGACAGTGGACACTGCCCCACACAGAAGCACCCGGGGGGTCCTCGCAGTCACTGTCCCCTCTCCACCCCCGCGGAGCTGTCTCCCACACTGATATGTACGGAAATCATTCCCGATTTTCTGGATACTCTGACTTCCTAAGCAAACACCTGTAAACAGTACTGCTTATTTTGTCTCTTTTTGACCTTGGCACGAGTAGAACTGAACAAACTTTTTCTCGGTAAAGATCCAATCCCTTGGAGCATTTGGGGGACCCCACAATTAGGGGGACAGAGCCTGCACTGGGCTGAAGCGCCCACGTGCTGCTATTCTGCATGCAGAGGACTTAAGACAGTATCCAGCTGGGGGGGGGCACCAAGGCAGCCCACGCTGTGGCTCACTGATGGGTGACATGTGGGATCAGGTAACAGGGAGGAGGTGGTCAGGGACCCACAACTCAGATGGGTTTCTTCACCCAGTGGCAGCTTCCGGAGAGGTCCCGGGGCACATCCTTGTGGGAAACACTGCTGCCCCATACAGCCATTCTATCCAGAAGACAGGTTCCCTGGGGGCTCCCACGGCTGGAGAGTCCCCACAACCCCATCTGAGGCCACCATGGATGGCAGTGTAAGAGGTGTAAAAGGTGTAAAAGGTGACCCAATGACTGTGAACAGGATGGAGATACCCAAGATCCTCCCATGTGCCACATATGTCCGTCGGTTGCTGCTGAAACCTGGAAACGGCTGCCCTGCCCTGGGCCACAGCGGGAGTGCAGGGGCCTTGGTGGGAAACAGTAGGTCCCATCTGAAAATGAACCGTGTTCTCAAAGACCACAAATGTCCTTGGCACCAGATGAGACCAGGATGGCCCTACCAAGCAGCTGAGGCCGAGGCAGCTCCTTGTGGGCCACCAAGAGCCTGGCCCCAGGGGTGGGCATGGGGCCCAGGGGCGTGGTGGCAGCTTCCTGACCCGTCACTCAAGATCCCTGTGCACTGCTGCAGGTGGCCATGTGACAACATATTAACATTGGGCCGTGCTAATTTTGAGGGACACTTGGACTGCTGTTTCGGGCTGTCAGGAATGGTCTTCACCTGGCCCTGGTGCAGATGAGCCTCACTTGTCTAGGCTCCACCCTGGGGGCGGGACTGCTGGCCCCAGTGCAGGCTCTCATCCTCAACTTGACCAGATAGTGCCAACCCCTTTCCCCAAATGGCATTCCAGCCTGTGCTCTGCCATATGTGAGTGCTTCCGGCTCTACGTCCACTGTCCACACTTACTACCACTGCAATGCTCAATTTCTATCATTCTTATGGGCATGCAGAGGTGTCTTGATGTTTTTTACTCTGATAACGACACCAAGTATTTTCACCTATAGAAACTGGGCTTCTGCTTGGTGAAGTGCATACTCGAGTTTCTTGCCTGTATTTCCATGGGGTTACCTGCCTTTATATCCTAGATGCTAGTCTTTTGTCAGTTAAATGTTGTGAATGTCTTCTGCCATTGTCTCGCTTGTCTTTTTGTTTTCTTCATCGTACTCTTTGATGAAGTAAACTCTGTTTTGTGGCCTTAGTGGTGGCACAATTTATCAGCCTTCTCCTTTGTGGTTAATGTTTTCTGTATTGTGTAAAAGAAATTCATTGTTCTTAATCATCACAAAGATATAAGCTTATCACCTGAAAGCTTTCTAAATTTTATTCTTCATAAGTAGGTATTTATTATACCCAAAGTTATGATTATTATTTTGTTATGAAGCAGAAATCCAATTTCCTTTTTCTTTGTGAATATACAGTTGTCCCAGCACCATTTACTGGAGACCATTCATTCCTCCTGCTCTCTTAGACTGCCTTAGTCATATATGGTGATCATATAATCTACCGTCTGAGCCAGAAAAAGTTAAGAATAAGAGGGTACTATTCAATTATGTCAGGACAACAGGTACATCCCGGGACTGTCCTGAGCAAACCAGGATGTGTGGCTACCCAGTCATATGACAAATGCTGACATGTGCACGGTGCTGTTTCTGGTCTACTGTCTGTCCCTGCCTGAAGATCACCTGCCTTAATTAGTAGAGCTTTACAGACAGCTGGATGTCTGGTGGAGCAAGTCATTTCACTATGTTCTTAATCTTCCAGAAGTCTTGACAGTTCTTGGCCATATAAATTAGCTTGTGAGATTCCACCAAAAAAGCCTCAGGATTTAGACTGCGGTTGCACACCGGATCTACAGATCTACTGAGGTGGTTAGAACACTGGGTCTCGGGATCTGGGAGCACGGGGAATTGCTCCATTTATCAGAGCTTCTTTGAAGGTGGTGTGCACTAATATTCCTATTACTTTCCTAGTGCGGCCAAGTCGATGAAAACGGTCTTACAAATTCTTTTTTGTAATATTTATTTCTTAAGTATTTGTTATTTTTTGTGCTCTTGTAAATACCAGAAACCGCTAGAAACTCAGAGATGGTTGGCAACTGAGAGGATCACACTAATGCTCCAGCAAGGTTTGACTTTAAATGGAACACATTTCTCTCCTCCTCATTCTTGAAACAACCCATCCCCTTCTCTTGCTTTTCTGTAGAATCCTTTGTTCTAGGAACTTGGCATCGATACTCAGTAATGAGACTCGGATGGCCAGCGCCGACGCTGGTCATGAGACCACTATGGAGACCTGAGGAACCCGGCCGGCAGGATGCACCAGACTCCTATCGAGGCTGCCCGGGCCCTATAGTTTCCTACGAAAGCCCTCAGCCTTTTCCCCCGCGTGGGTCTGCCATTCTGAAGGCATTAGCCTGCTACAGCGTCATGTGCCTGGCGAGGTAATAAACTATTGTTCCTCTTTATCCCCAAACTCCGTCTTCATGTCACATTTTGGCTCCAGAGCAGAGATCGATTTTTGACAATACACCTGCTTGTTGCTGGTATAAAAAACACGATTGAGTTTTGAATCTAATAACTGCTAAATTTTCTTATTAACTCTTTAATCTGGCTGCAGATTCTCTGGGGTTTTCCATGTGGACAGTCACATCACCTGTGGGTGACAGTCATGCCCTCCTTCCCAGAAAGGGAGACAGAAATTACTGTTTGAGCAGAAGCCTGTATTTCTATCAGTCTAAAAGTACATCTGCAATGGGTCATAAACCTCAAACTTCTTTTTAGAAAATTCTTTTTAGAAAATTTTATTTATTTATTTGACAGAGAGAGAAAGCAAGAGAGGGAACACAAGCAGAGGAAGTGGGAGAGGGAGTAGCAGACTTCCCACTGAGCAGAGGGCCTGATGTGGACCTCAATCCTAGGACCCAGGGATCATAACCTGAGCCAAAGGCAGATGTTTAACAACTGAGCCCCCCACCCATGAAAAAGCAGTAAATTTAGAAAAACAGATCGAAGTAATATGGCAACACCGTTGGATCTAGGTAGGAGACACACGGGTGTCTATTTTCTTACTCTTAAATTTCCGAAATGTTTGAAGTTGTTAGTGTTACTAAATGTAAAGGGTGGTTGGTGATTGTAACTGACATAAGAGAAGACTCTGAAATCAAACTCTTCATAAGGCAAACAATTTAGTAGGGATTTAAAGGGATAATTCCAGGGCAAAAAGAAGGGGAAACTCTCTGTTGAAATAAACTCTCTGTTGAAGTTAATTTACACATTATGTTACAAATATCCTACCAGCCACCTGGAATTTACTTTTAGGATAAATACTGACTAACTATATGAAGCTAATTTGCAAAAGAGAAAGACCAACACCAAGCATACCTCTTCTTTTAAAAAAATAATACCAAATAGGAACCATGTATACATACCTTACATATAATTGACAGTTAAAAGACTGCGAGCCTGTTTAGAAACTTTACCTCGGTGCCCCCGGAAGTGAAGATTATGTCCTGAGGTTTCCCACCTATCATCTTCGCGACGTTCTCCCGAGCTGTGTCAATAATGTCCTTGGCCTTCCTACCTTGAGAAACCAGAATGAGAACTCATTAGCATCACTTTACCAAGCCCAGTAAACACATGCTTAAAAGAACAACCAGACAGACATGGGGCGCCTGGCTGGCTTGGTTAGTGGTGGAGACTTTGAGCCTCATACTGGGTATAGATGACTTAAAAATAAAATCTTAAAAAAAAAAAAAAAAAAAAAAGAACCAGACACGCAGGAACAACTCTAAGTGGGCAATTCTAAGATGACCCATTGTCCCGCTAATGTGAACACAATAGGCCACATCCTAGGAATAAGCTGGAGAAGAGGCAGCAGCAAGATAGGAGCAACTCAGTGACACCTACTGAGACTTAGTAAGAAGTGGAAACAGATGGGGGGGGGACGCGCGGGAACCCTAAAATCCCCAAAGACATGGGCTTCCTCTTACCGGATGCTACAGGAGAGGGGAAGCTGGGGCCATCTGCCTTGCTTCCCATTCATCAAGACAGGAGGGTGGAGGGATGAAATAATTTGCTTAAGATCACGCTGCAAAACAACAAAAATAAGCAAAAAGAATGCTGGTGACTCCTCAACACAAGGCACGGTGCTGCGTCTCAGCGCAGGCCCCCGGGGGCCACAGGAGAGGCCCCTCCCACAGGGGCCGATCCGCCGTCCCACGGGGGCCACGCAGCCCAGCTGTGAGCTAGTTCCACCATCTGGCATGGATGAAGGGACCAAACTGTATGTGGCAGAGAAAGGAAGGCGCCAGGACGGGATCTGTGACATGAACTCCGTTCTTACTTGGTCTATGGGCCAAGCGTCTTCGAAGTGTGTTACCATCCAACCCTACTTGGAAGAAAAGAAAGGCACCAAACTACTCACTTTCTCTCTGCGGTTCCGTGCATGTGAATCACACCCCACTAAAGCTGTTGGAGGGGAAGGACGCACAGGGTGTGGACCAACGAGTCCCAGGAACATAAGCTACTGGAACACACAGAATCATGTCCACTGGGGACAGGTCAGAGAACTTCCAGAAACGACCCTATGGTCGCTCTTTTCATTTACTTACAATTTACATTTTCACTAAGATCTAAGGCCACTGGAAACAAAAGTGCCTACTCAAGGAGATTAGAATATCTCATTAGGATGCTAATGAGATGCTGTCATCTAATGTTCCATCTGTGAGTCAGGACAGTGGCCTTGTTCTTAGGTGTTTAGGAGTGAAGCTTCCTGTTTGCAACTTACTTTCATATGATTCAAAGAAATGATAGATCCAGGTAAAGGAAATAAGTGCAGGTGTTCACTATACTATGATTTCAGCTTTTCTGCAGAGGTTACATTCTAAAATAAAACTTTGGCCCTAGGAGTTAAAAAAAAAATAAACCAGCCATGGGATGTTTGCTAGCAATGGCTCTCTCCCCCACCCCAGATACTAATTCAGTCTTTATCTTTTTAGCAAGTAATGTCCTCAGTCCTCAGGACTAAAAAGTCCTCAGCCTTTTTAGCAGGTAATGTCCTTGGAGGAAATTAGCTCCAAGTAATTTCCTCAGGAAATTAGGATATAGCCTGAATGTCAGAGCAGGACCTTCCTGTCATGTTCTCAGGTTTGCTGATGGCACTGTCACGGGAGAAAGTCCCTTCTCTTACACACACACAGGTGCTTCCTTGTGATGGGAAGTATGCCCCTGCCCACAACTCATTCTCCAGGGTTCATGAAAAAGCAATAAATTTAGAAAAACAGAGATCGAGGTAATATGGCAACACCGTTGGATCTAGGTAGGAGACACACGGGTGTCTATTTTCTTACTCTTAAATTTCTGAAATGTTTGAAGTTGTTAGTGTTACTAAATGTAAAGGGTGGTTGGTAATTGTAACTGACACAAGAGAAGACTCTGAAATCTGCCTTTCAGGACATAAGAGGGAGAGTAAGGGGCATGTGTGGGTCCCATGATCCATTAAACCAACCCTCCTTCACTTGGCTGTTCTCACACCAGAGCCCCTCTACTACCTCACAGCAACGGCCCGTTTCTCCTTTCCCATCTCCACCCTATTCTGTTCCCTCTTGAACTCACTGGCAATCAGGTATTCTGGTCCCTGGATTCCCAAACCCACTCTGACCAAGGTCCCCGTGTGCCAAATCCAGCTCTGCGCCTCCTTCCATGCCAGCAGCTCTCCCCCAGGACTGCTCCCTCCTCCTCTATGCATCCCTTTTTGGGCAGGGATCCAGATGGCAGATGGCCCCTGCCCTGGCCAGGTCCTCGAATCCTCTCCAGCTCAGCAACTCAAGACTGATAACCAGCTTGGTGATGCAGACTCTACTCATTCCACCTGGAACCCAGTAGATTATATACATATATCTCCTTAGACATCTGAAACTACACTTGCTCCAAGTTGAATACATGATTTCTTCCCCAGACTTGTTCCTCTTACCCTTTCCTATCTCAGTAAATGGCGACTCAGTCCTTCCAGGGGCCTGGGGCCAAAGGCTTTGGCTCTTACCTTTCTCATACCCTGTTATCCAACCCCACAGTAAATCCTGTAAGGCTCTGTCATCAAAAATACCCAGAAGCTTGCCCCACCTCTGCACTGCCCGACCACCTGCAGAGTCAGGGCCACCGCTGAAATATTCTAGCAGGCTCCCAACTCCACTGACCCCATCGTGGTCCATTCTCCAGGCAGTGGCCCAAGGAATGCCCTGAAAACACCATACACTTTGTACCCTGTGCCTTATCCCTCATCAGAACAGTGCTTGGCATGCAGGAAATACTCAACCAGTATCGGTTGAATCAGCTGTTCTCAAAATGTCATCTGGGGAGCCCTTGGGGCGGGGGCAAGGCACTTTTAGGGGTCCATCAAGTCAAATATAGTTTCATAATAACACGAAAACATCATTTGTCTTTTTATTCTCATTTTCTTGAAAATATAGAGTGAAGCCTTCCAGAGGCTCCCTGATGTGAGTATCACAACAGATAGGATGCAGAAGCCTTCAACCTGCTTGGGTCCTTGTGCTTAAGCTACTGTTACATGGAGGTTTCTGCATCTCATAGCAAAACAATATATTTTCCAGATTTGCTCATACACAATTTTTCTTGAGAGGTGGGTATAAGAACCAAAGAAACCATACTGCGAATCAGGTTTCATAATATGGCTTTCCCCCTTGACCCAGATGCTGCTACTGTGTGTCTCAGTCGTTGCTGTAGTCTGCAGCACGGCTCTGACAGGGCCCGGAATTCCACTCCCGGCTTCAGCCTACTCAATGTGGTCAGTCCTTGACTCACGGACCCTGATGTTATTTCCAGATTTTTACTCTCACAAGCAAGGCTGTGGTAAACATCTTGGGTATCTAAACTCTTTCCATATGTCCTTAACATTTTTCCCTAACTAAATTCTCCCAAAGGAATTATTATCATTATTAAATCATAGTATTGTGAAAATAATTAAATCAATCTATCATAAAGGTGATTTTCTTTCTTTTCTCTTTTTTCCCTCCCCTCCCCTCACTTCTACCTGAGTGTCGACAAGTGAATTGCAGTGCATACTTTAGTTATGGTTCTTAAAGAAATGAAGGCCGTCAGGACAACCAGAAAGACACTGACAGGTTTCATCAGGTCAGGAAGGGGAATTGTTCCTTCAGCATTATTCCTAAAGTTCTTTATAAGAAATGCTTTCTATTAGCATTTACTTGCCCTCTGTATTCTCAAGTTTAACGCATCAGGAAGTACAATTTTCCTAGAGGAAAAATTAGATATGAGGCAATGTCCAGAAGAATGGCCACAACATACATACCAAATAAACCAAGAAATAAGTTAATGAATGACTAGAACCTGATTTTGAAAAAGCTTTTAGTTATGAAGTTGTAAAATTCATACTAAACAGATACGAAAACCCATGAATGTCTGTAAAGTTGTATTTTAAGTACTATTAAATCCTAGGGCTTCGCAACAGTGTCTGAAAGCTCTTTTAGTTCCTCATAATCCATAGTTATGACAGTTTATCTTAATTATCTCTGATAAGCATTAAGAAAGGGATAGCCAGCTGGCCATCTGAAAAACATAATGTAAATGGTGACATAAAACTACTGATTTAAAGTAAATCATTTTCCAAAACTGCCAATTTAATGATCTGTATTAAAACAAGAATAAATGGGAAATAAGAATTTATTTATTATAATGAAAATAAAGAATTTTAAACTAATTTTCACTTAAAAAAAAAGGCCAGGATTATATGCAATCCTGATGATTTCAAAGATCTATTTTGCAAATTTTTCAAGGAACCACTGAGACAGATACATGAAAGGGTTTTAATGGGTACTGTTATTACAAATAGCTCTTAATAAGACATCTTTTTCATCTAGGCAAGGAAGATGGGGCAGTGTATTAAAAACGAAAGGTTATGCTATCAACAGGCTCCATGTTCAAATTTGGACTTCTCTGAAAACTAACCCACAAAAATTTCTACCTAAGGTTTGTATTTACAGAAAATCTATTCAAAAGCAAATGATCACAGGTGGTGTACAATTTCTCTAAGACTGCCTCTGCCCACCACCCCCATATCTCCATATCTGTGAGCACCTTCTAGGATTACCTGCTGGGTAAGGACTGCTGGGATTTCCCCAGGCTTCCCTCATGGCCTCGGTCATGGCCTGGATGACTTCTGGCTCAAGGGGGGTGGTTGCATTACAGTCCATATAAACTTTCCTGCTGGAAAGAAAACACAGATGTGCCTGTTAAGGACAAGGAGATGGAGTATGGGAGCATAGCTGCACTCTGTCAGCTCAAGAGAGCAAATGCCGTCAAGGTCAAGATACTTCTCTGCAGAAACACCACGCAGCCTTCCACAAACTGTACTTGGACATCTCCAAATCTTCATGAATTATGGAAAAAATATGCGTAATTTCCAATAATCTAGTATTTGCTAGTTTCCTTTATATAACTGCTAGACCATCCACTTAGATTTTCTTTTTTTTTTTAAGATTTTATTTATTTATTTGACAGAGAGAAGGAGATCACAAGTAGGCAGAGAGGCAGGCAGAGAGAGAGTGGGAAGCAGGCTCCCTGCTGAGCAGAAAGCCCGATGCGGGGCTCGATCCCAGGACCCAGAGATCATGACCTGAACCAAAGGCAGAGGCTTTGACCCACTGAGCCACCCAAGCGCCCCTCCATTTAGATTTTCAAAAGTCCTTTCCACCCCTTGGTAGGATCAATGGCCCCTGAGCCTCAAAGTCTACCCAAGGGTTCTGAAGGACAGATGGGCTCCTTGCCTCCAGATGGAAGGAGGGGGAAAACATGAGCACCAAGGGAACTGCACCTTCCCGAGGGCTTCCTAACTTCATCGGTAGTTTTTCTTTATTTCTCTGTAATCTCTGGGCTGGCGGAAGGCTCAGGTGATCTAGGCACCCATTCCTGCCCACACCCTCCTCTTTGCTCCCTGACCCTGGGCAAGCCTACTTCTCCTCTCCCACTTTCAGTTTCCAGCACCTGTCATGACCACGCCCCCACCCCACTTTCCTTCTTAGGTCTTTGTTGCATCTTGAATTTCTTGTGAAGCTCCCTGTAGCTCTAAATAAAATTACAGCCCCCAGTCCCCTTCCTCCTTCCTCTGTCTCTCCATGGTACTCCTCATTGTGTGACACACTAGACTCTGGCCCTGTTTACCACTGCTGGCCTTAACAGAAAGTCATACAACAGCTCCGGAAGCTCACAGGCTTTGTTTCCCTCACTGCTCTGTCACTTACACTGAGGACAAGGGCTGGCACACAGCAGGGGCAGGATTTACAAAAGAACAAAGTGTCACAGAAAAGCACAGCTCCTGAAAGATTTTTACCAATATCAAAAACCTTCAGAAACATATATATATATATTAGGAAATCCTGCCTAATACTATTAATTTACCTGATTTTAAAATCAGTAACAATGTTTAAACAGATCCACGTGAAAATTCAAATACAATTACCAACCATGGCTGTTAAAAGTTTTTTTTTCCCCTACCACAGAGTGTTTTATTTATTTTTAAATATTTTACTTATTCATTTGACAGAGAGAGAGCAGAAGCACAAGCAGGCGAAGCAGCAGGCAGAGGGAGAGGCAGATGCAGGCTCCCCACTGAGCAGGGAGCCCAGTGTGGGGCTCGATTCCAGGACCCTGGGATCATCACCTGAGCCTAAGGCAGATGCCTCACTGAGCCACCCAGAGCCTCCAAACTACAGAGTGTTTTTATGTAACACCTTGTTCATAGCTGTCCAAAGTCACCTGATAGGTTTAAGGCTTTGGGAAGTTAGACTGGCCACGGTTGGCCACTCTGGCATTGGGAATCTCCTGGTCCCGCTGTGACTTAAATCTGCATGTTCCCTTAGTCTTGCTTTCACTTCCTATAGCACCCTACATTTCCTCAAGCTACTCGAGTCTGCTCAGTGACTGCAATTTGTCAATCTGCTGGCTGACTGACCCATTTATGGCTTGAATTTCAGATTAACGTTTTATAGATAACTCTGCTCCATGACTTGCTTCCTCCTTAAAATGCTCTCAGTATTGCATGGGAAAGCTCAACTCTACTATGCTCAAAACCAAAATATCATAAAGAGGTATGGTGAATTTCCTCTCCACACCAGTCTCCCTCAGGGGCTTTTGCCCAGCTCCCTTTGCTCAGGCTCAACCAAAGCTGACTGCCTCATCTAAGAAATATTCAGGTTTCGGCCTGGACCCGAATTTTAAAGACACACTCATCGCTCACGTTCAGGCAGAGGGGATTGCCAAAACAGAGGAAGCAACGTCTCAGCAACCAGAAAATGCACAGCTGCAGCGGGCTGAAGACACAGTGTGCACTGAAAGGCCTCCCTGCCTACCTTCCCACTGTCCCCGCGGCTCAGGCCGGAGCCTGGGGGCATCAGCCTCCGTCCCTTTCCCCACACCAGTGCACCAGCCAGACCTGCGGCTTGCGTCCCGGTACCCGCACTGCTCCGGCCAGCACGCCGGGCCACACCACCGCCCTCCTAGATTTTACAAAGATTTCCGGCGTGCCCCTGCTTCCTCACCTGTCCCGCACTCACCCGCCCCTAGAACGCATCCCGAAGTCCGTCCCGAGCTCCGGGGCTCTGCTCCCTGACCGCAGCCCCGCCAAGCCCGGCCGCCCACGTCCGCAGGCTGGGTTCAAGCCCAGGGGCCTGCGCAGCGACTGTTCCCCTGCCCCGGCCGCGCTTCCCCGGACGCCACCTCGGCGGGACCCCTGCCCCGGCCGCGCCCCGGCTCCCACCCGCCGACCCGCACCGCATCCCGGCGCGGGACGCTCAGGCCTGCGGTGACCGCCAGCTGGCAACCCCTCCGGCAGGACCCCTCTTCCGGACAGACCACCAGGCCCCACCGGCCCCCCGCCCCCAGCCTCCCCGAGCCGGGCACCCCTCGCCCCGCGGCGCCTGGAGGGCTTCCCGGAGGAGGGCGCCGGCCGCCTCCCCCTCACGGAGCACACCTGTCTGGCGGGCTCTTCTCTCCGCGGCCGCGGGGATGACTCGCCGCCCGCTCCCGCGCATCCCTGCCGGGCGCCGCCGCCGCCTCCATCCAGACCAGCCCGCGCCCAGTGCCGCGCGGAACTACCGAACACGCGGGTCTCGTCGGGGTGCGCCTCCCCGAGACCCGGAGGGGGGCGGGGCCGCGAGGTCGCCGCGTCCGGATTGGCTGCGCTGTGCACTCTGGCCAATGCCGGGGTCCGGCCCCGGCGGATGGCGATTGGCTGCGCGCGGTCAGGTGACGGGGGCGCGTCACTGGGGGCGAATCACGGAGGCCGGGAGGCGGGCTGCGGCGCGGAGAACGGACTCCCCCGGGAGCCCGGGCTCTCCCCGGAGCCCAGGCCCCGAGCGCTAACGCCCGGGCTACCCGGGGTCGGCCCTGCCGCGGCGTGCTTGCGGCGCCGGGAGGCGGGTCTGCAGAGTTCGGGGCGTGGGGGACGCGTAGTTGGCGGAAGGGGCGCGGGAGCTGAGGAAGGGGTGTCGGGGCCTGGGGCAGGCAGAGGAGAGGGAAGGTGGCGCCGTGACCCGGGCGGCGGGCACGTGGGATGCTGCCGCACGCAGCCGACAGCCGCGAAGTCAGCTGTGCACGGGCCGGCCCTAACGGAGCCCTGAGCACGTGCACCGCAGTGCGCACGTTCACTCTTCCCTAATGTAATCCCGGGAACATCGAGTGCGCGCTGTTAGGAGGACATCGAGGGGCACAAAAGTTGAGCGTCTTGCCCGAGTTCACACGGTAGTGAAGGAGTCGGAATTTGAATTCAGGACTGCTTTGCCAAGAAGTTGAGTTTTATTCGGCTTTTCGAAGACTTTCTCAGTTTGATCCCTTGCTGGGGTCCAGAAGTTGTCTCTTCCAGCTCTGCAAGTCTCTACATTTCTGGGCTCCTTATTTCCTTTCATTCTTGCTTGCAAACTGAGCTCATGTCAAATGTAGCCAGAGCAAAGGACACACTTTTTTTTTTTTTAAGATTTATTTGCTAGAGAGCAGGAGGAGGGGCAGAGGAGAGAATCTCAAGCAGACCCGGTGCTGCGTGCAGAGTCCAAGGTGGGGCTCCATCCCACCGTCCTGCGATCACGACCTGAACCAAAACCAAGAGTCCACACTTAACCCACTAGGCCACCCAGGGCCCCAAGGACACACCAAAATTTAAGAAGCAAAGAGGTACACGGAGCTCAAGAACAATCCAAAAGACGAGGAAAGGGAAAGGAATTAAGAAAGAATGTCCAAGAACAGATGAGAGTGTAAAGTGCAGCTGAGAGGACGTGTGGCAAGTGCCTACCTTATACGAGGATTAGGAGGCACTGATGGATTTAGTTCAAGAAATTTTAGTATGGCAGTGGGGAGAGGGCAGAAGAGTGTGCAGTGAGTTGAGGGATGAATGGAACATGAAAGAATGAAGAATATGCTCAGCCCTTTCCCAAAGGCTGAGAAGGGAAGGAGCCAAAAAGGGGGGTACAAGATTAAGGGAAATATTTGAGGGCCTGAATGTGTTTATATGCTGAAGGGAGGTAGCTGACAAGGACACTGGAGGTAAGAGCCAAAGCCCTGGAAGCATTGAGAAGGCATAAGATTAAGAGCTAAAGTGGGGGGCACCTGGGTGGCTCAGTGGGTTAGAGCCTCTGCCTTCGGCTCAGGTCGTGATTCCAGAGTCCTGGGATGGAGCCCCACATTGGGGGGGGGGGTCTCTGCTCAGCGGGGGGCCTGCTTCCGCCTCTCTCTCTCTCTGCCTGCCTCTCTGCCTACTTGTGATCTCTGTCAAATAAATAAATAAAATCTTAAAAAAAAAAAGGCAAAAGTGGGTGGGGAAATTTGAAAGTAGGGGGCAGGTTTCATTCTCTGAATCTGCAGGGGATGGGAGCTGGAGGGCCCCCAGGGACAGCCGACAAAGTGATTCATCTCAAGCCCTTCTTGGACCAATTGGGCAGTAGTTAGAGGGTCTGTGTTTCAGGGTGGAGATAGTAGTAGTGGAGTCAGAGAGACAGATAGTGCCCACGTGGCTGGTGAGACACCTGGAAAGAACAGAGCACCTGCAAACAGAGGACTGGCTGCGGAGGCAACAACTGTCCTCCTCACTCTGACTAAAAGCAGCATCTGGTGCAACAGGCAGCAGCCACCACCACTATTCCAGGTGGATTGGTCAAACAGGTGCAACAGAGGACTGGAAGGATGTCTTAATTATGGAGATAAGTGCTCAATAAAGACCAAACATTTTGAGGAATGCTATCTCCCTGAAAACAAGATAGTGAGTACAACCAACAGAAATCAGGCCTGAGGGCAAAGACAGTAGCACCAGCAGAGTAAATCTTTAATAGAGGAAACTCCATAAGGAGGTAAATGGCTGCTTTTGTTAAGGTAGTTAGTAAAAAACAAATTTAAAAAACATGTTGGACAAAAACTATAATCAAGTTTTATAAACTCAGTAGAGTTGCTGGGGGTTGGGGGGGAGGGAAGAAGGAATAGAACACAGGATTTTTAGGCTGTGAAACTATTTTGAATCATAGAGGCATACCTTATTTCATTGTTCTTAGATTTATTGTGCTATTCAGATAATGGGTTTTTAACAAATCGAAGGTTTAAGATTTCCTTGGAGGACGTCACTGCAGAGGGGCTGCAAACAGCAGGAGAACTGGAATTCCAAGTGGAGCCTGTAGATGGGACCGAATCGCGGCAATCCTGTGATTGAACCTGAGGGAGGAGGCGTCGCTTCCTGGGGCCGAACAAAGAAAGTGGTTTCCCAAGATGGAATCTAATCCTAGTGACGATGCTGTGAAGACTGTTGAAGAGACACCAGATGGTTTAGGATATCATGTCCGCTCAGGTGCTAAAGTGGCGGCAGGAAATTCTCCTGTGGGTGAAATGCCATCAAACAGCATCACGTGCGACAGAAAAATTGAGAAAGGAAGTCAATTGATGGGCAAATCGTTGTCTTAATTTAGGATCTGACACAGACACCCCAGCCGTCAGCAGCCACCACCCTGATCTGTCCGCGGCCATGGACATCAAGGCGTGACCCTCCTCCAACGAAAGGACTACGACTCAATGAGAGCTCAGGTAATAGGTAGCATTTTTGCAATAAGGTATTTTTTAATTAAGGTATGTACAGTTTTTTTAGACTTAATTCTGTTCCACACCTGATAGACTACAGTACTGTGTAAATGTAACTTTTATATACAGTGGGAAAGCAAAAACTTCATGTGACTCCCTTTATTGTGATACTTGCTCTCTTGTGGCGTTCTGGAACAAAACCAGCAATATCTCGGAGGTATGCCTGTACTATCAAAATGGATACATTTTAGTATCTATTTGTGAAAACAGTTCACACTAAGTGTGAACCCCCAGTGAAAACTACTGACTTCAGGTAATAATGATGTGTCAGTAAAGTTTCATCAGCTATAGCAAATGTTACATTTGTGGGATGTCTACAGTGGGAGAGGTTGTACATATAGGGGGCAGGTTACATGAGAACTCTACTTTCCACTCAGTTTTGCTGTGAACCTAAAAACACTCTAAAAAATAGTCTATTTTGGGAGTGCCTGGGTGGCTCAGTGAGTTAAGCCTCTGCCTTTGGCTCAGGTCATGATCTCAGGGTCCTTCGATCGAGCCCCGCATTGGGCTCTCTGCTCAGGGGGGAGTTTGCTTTTCCCTCTCTCTCTGCCTGCCTCTCTGCCTACTTGTGATTTCTCTCTCTGTCAAAAAAAGAAATAAAATCTTTAAAACAATAATCTATTTTTAAAGGTTATTTATTTATTTATTTATTAGAGAGAGAGCACAAGTGGGGGGCAGGGGCAGAGGGAGAAGCTGAGCAGGGAGCCCCATGTGGGACTCAATCCCAGGACTCTGGGATCAAGACCTGAACTGAAGGCAGATGCTCAACTGATTGAGCTACCCAGGCACCCCAATAAAGTCTATTTAAAAAAAAAGAAAAACAATAAATGGGATGAATAGAATAGGCACAAGGAGAAACTTAGCTGAATGCCTGAGCATAAGAATTCTTTTAGATTATTCCTCAAAAACACAAAGGGATAAAAAATTTGAAAGAAAAGAAAAGTCTATCCAATACAGTGATTTTCAACACAGAGTGACTTTTTCCTCCAGGGCACATTTGACAATGCCTAGAAATAATTCAGTTGTCGTAACTGGGGATAGGTGCTTCTGGGATCTAGTGAGTAGAAGCCACTAACACCCTATGATGCACAGGATTGCCCCCAAATGACAGATTATCTGGCCCACAGTGTCACAGCACTGAGGGTGACACCCTGGTGTGGTTCTACATTGCCATTCTATATTGTATTCCGTCTGAGGACGTCGTTCAGAATTTCTTCTAGTGCTAGGCGGCTGGTGCAACTTTCAGTCTTTGCATGCATGAGGACAGTCTTTATTTTGCCTCCATCTTTCATACTTTCCCTAAAGAATTTTAGCTTGACTATTTTTTTTAAAGATTTTATTTATTTGAGAGAGAAAGCACTTGCTACACAAGCAGAGGGAGGGGGCCGAGGGAGAGAGAGAAGCAGGCCCCCCGCTGAGCAAGGAGCCCAATGAGGGACTCAATCCCAGGACCCCGGGATTGACCTGAGCCAAAGGCAGACCCTTAACCGAGTGGCTCACCTGGGCACCTCTGGAGTTTTTTTTCTTTTAGTAAAGATATTTCTCTGTTTTCTCACTTGCATTGTTTCCAATGAGAAGTCAGCTGTTAACCTTCTTTCTCTTTGTGCCTCTGAGCATCATGTATCTTTATTTCTGGCCCAATTTTCATAGTTCTGCTCTGTCTGATTTAAGCAATTTAGGGTGTGATTTGGTATGAAGAGTGGGTTCCATCTGTGTCCCAGACATTTCATCTTTCATGTTAGGAGATTGTAAGTTCTGTGTAAATTTTTCATTTTAGCAGGCAGAGGTTTGGTGGCCAGAGGTTTTGGGGGCCAGGGGCTCAGTGTGGAATTCCTTTGGCAGGTGCTGTCTGGCTGCCCTGGTGCCTCTGGGCAGGGGATGGGAGTCTCAGACTTACTGAGATAGAGGCTTCTGGGCTGGGCTGCTTGTGGCAAGTTCTGGATTTTTATTTTTTTGTATTTTTATTTTCTAAAGATTTATTTGAGAGAGCTTGCACACGTGTGTGAGCAGGGGAAGGGGCAGAGGGAAAGGGAGAGAATCTTAAGCAGACTCCATGCTAAGTGCAGATCCTGACACAGGGTCCTGTCCCAGGACCCTGTGACTGTGACCTTAGCTGAAATCAAGAGTTGCATGCCTAACCAACTGAGCTACTCAGGTGATCCAGGATCTGGATTTCAAAAATTCCTGTTTGTCTTTGTTCTGGGACACAGTTCATTTGAAATAACTTGATCCTTTTAAGGCTTGCTTTCCAGACACTTGGGTGGGACTAGTGTAGCCGTGAGCATCTATTTTCTCATTACCAAGCTCATCCCTCTCCAGCGCACCGCAGATCACAAATCCATTACGGCTCATGGGAACATGGACTATTCCTGGCCTTCTGTGAACTCCAGGGGTCATTTTCTCTTCTCCTATTGGGTGATGCTCTTCCCCACGCTCAGGCAGTTTCCTCAGGGACACATGCTGGTCAGTCTCCAAGGGATGCTCTGGGAGGAACCCCCTGCAGGTCTCCAGAGCTGGCTCTCTGTGCAGCCCTCTCTGCTGGGAACTCTAGCTCCTCTGGCCTGCCTACATCATTAGTTCCATCTCAAGGTCAGTGCCTGCTGGGTTCCACCTGGGCCTCCCCTTCCCTAGTCCAAGCCAGGCGGGTCTCACTACAGGTCTCACCCAGGGATCGCTGTCCTGCTTTGTGTCTGATGTCAGAAAACTGTAGTTCTGTTTTTTTGCTTTTTGAAATAGGAGGGTTCCCCAGCCCTGTCACCCCATCTTAGGCTAGTACAAGTGTCCCTTCTGTTCTCTTCCTTCTGATGGCTCCTCTTTGTCATTCTCTTCTGCACACTGGAAGAATCCATCAAATTTGTCCCCACACCATCATCTCTTTTTCCAGCATCTGCCCTGCCCTGCGGTGGAGATGTTGCAATGGCTGTTTTCATCCTGTTGTCCTTTCATTGTAGCCTGTCCTTTCATTGTAGCCTGTTGTCCCCTTAAGACTTTCTGATTCCAACTGAAAGGTGCATTTTCCTAAATATGTGGTTTTCTTCCCTGAAGTCTCTTTCAATCCTACACACTCCACTTCCAATGTCCTGTTCATCCTGCTTGATATCATTTCTTCTCTACAGAATCTTTCCAGCTTCCTCAGACTGTTCGGACTTGGCATGTGCAAGCTGACAGACAGAGGTTTGCTCTCCTGTGTGGCAGCAGGTGCCCCCCACAGCTCTTGCCTTGCTGAACGGCATGCCCAGCTCCTGGGGACAGGACTGTCTTGCGCAGACTCACCAGTGTACTTGTACCCCAAAGCTCTTGGAGGATGTACTCCATGTGAGTGATGGCATTGTACTAAGCTCTTCAGTTACTGCGGGATGGCTAAGGTCCTGTGCTCCTCATGCCACCTGACACCTGGGACAGGCAGTACTGCATATGGAAGCCTGGGCAGGACGAGGATGCCCTGGGAACTGCCCATCTGCCTGTAAGATAGGCTTCCCAGTGGCGGCACCACATGACCTGAATGATCTTGAAAGGGCACGCAAGACAGCTGTGGAGCTCATCACAAGGCATGGAAGCACTCTGAGGCCAGGCAGGGCTGTCAGGGCAGGGCTGGCAGAGCGGACAGGTGACCAGTGACAGTGTGCTCCTGCGCTAAACCCTGGGGGCTTATTCTGAAGGCAATGGGAAGATGTGGCTTGGTGAAAGGCTTGGTGAAAGCCCTCTGGGGGCAAGGTGGGGAGGACGTGGAGGCCATCCCACCAGTTTGTTCTGGTCTCACTGGCATGTCGGCCAGGTCTCCCTCCGTCGTGCTGCTCTCCTGCACCAGCTGTGGTGGTTTACACACCTCACTGACTGGTCTGGCAAGGCGCACAGCAACCACAGTGGGACTCCACCTGCTCCCGATGCATCAAGAACCAGCCCAGGGAGACAGGTTGTCTCTTCTCAGACTCACTTGAAGCTGAAACGCCTCAGACACAGGATACCGGCTCTTCTCCCACGGGACGGACCCCACCTTACGGCTCCTCAGCCTCACCCTGGTTGGGAGTGGGGGGGTGGAGGGAAGGACACAGGTGAACAGGGCTCTTGAGGTTGGAATGAATTTTTAAAGAGATGTTTGGGAAGAACAACTGACGAGTACCACGTGGTGTGCATGGGAGCGGAGTGGGGAGCCAGGTCAATGCGGTCTGACCCCAAGAGGATAAAAACCCAACACCGGAAACTGCACAAGACGCATCAATCCTGTGAGGCCAGAGACCGAGCAGACTCCCTCTGAGCGGGGAGAAAACACTGCTGGGTGTGAACTATGGACCAGTGGCTCGACGGGGAGGCCACACAAGGTGCTGTGCCATCCATGGGTAGAGTTTTCCTGGCCAATGGCCCCTGACAAGTAATTACAGCACCCGCCCTACTGTGCTGGGGCCCGGAACCCGGTCTCTCCTCCAGCACTGGGAACACTTGGGCAAGCTCTTCTTCCAGAGGGCCCTGACGTAAGCCAAAAAGTGAACTTACTGAAGAACTCTGGCTCAGTGAACTTGGCAATGAAAATGAATGAGCCCTAAGGTGGATTAAAAAAAAGATTATAATTCAGTCCTTTATACAGCTTAACATGAACAAATGGACATTCTTAACAAAGTGAGGTCCCCAAATACCTTCATCACTGGTTTTTTTTGTTTATCACTGGGCTTTTTGAAGAACTTTTTTTCAAACCACAATTCTTTCAATTCATGTTTTGGTAACCCACGGAAACCCAGGGCATGAGTGGGGCCTTCACTGGGCACCACGGAAGCCTGTGAATTAGCCGCTGTTACTTTGAGGGAGGAAAGGGAGTAACAGATGCTCTCATTTTACAGGTTATTTGGCAAAGGGAGAGGAAAAAACGTTATTTTGCTAAGACTATTAGCATTTTGCTAGACACACTTTCATGAAGAATAATGAACTTATGACAAACCTGACTTTCCAAGGAGAAACATTTTTAAGTGGATGAAGTGAAAACACTCCTGGAATAGACCGTACTTGCTGGGAGAGTTTCGTTAAAGGCTGCAATTGGTGGCTAACCAATTTTACAAATGGAAGTTTACATTAAAAAAATTCTGGTAGATTCTGATAAATCTGCAAGAAGTCTGATTTTGTAGGAATTCGCGATTTTTTTTTTTCTTTCACATCAACTTCTTTAAAGGCTGTGAGAGGTAACAGAGCAACCCTAGAGAACAGCGGGCGTGTCCTTTGAACAAGTTTAACAGATCTTACAGATGGCCACTGCCTGGAGTTTGTTTGCCCTCTGGGATTTTGTTGTTGTTGTTGTTCAACTCCAGAGCCCAGCAGGAGGGCTGTTCCATCTGTTTCCAATGCCATTGGAGGAACACATGCTGGCTCTGCTCCCAGGTGGCCCGGACTCTGTGGACTGGTCTGGCTGCAGCCAGGTCATGACTAGCATGCTTTTGCCTCCCGTACCCACGACGGTGTGGAAGTCTGGCAGACTAAAGGCACAGGAAAAGTGAAACGTTTAAACTAGTAAGTACCAAGGTATATATTCCTTTTAAAGACTGTATGTTCAAACTCTTTTAGCTCCTGCAACTGCTCTGAACCAGCTCTCTACAAAGCTTTCTCATGAACTTCTGTCACACGAGTGCTCTAGCAGGTGCCAAACCCAGCTTCATCTGCAATGGCAGAAATCACGAACAGCCCTCTGAGCCTGTCAGTGCTTGTAAATAATAGTAGATGAATCAGGGGGTCTTGTTAAGCAGAACCCAAGGCACTGCCCCGAGGGAGAGCTCTGCCAACACTCCAAATACAGTGAATGAAAACACAGATGAGCAACAAGGGACACAGACGCGTTAGCACTTGACACTGGAGCCATACACTCGCCCCAGCTTCTTATGAAGACTTCGAAGGGAGGTAATTTGCAGGTGGTGTGCTTGAGGGAAGGGGAGATGTGAGCCTTTCCTTCTGACAGGTCTATCCGGGAACTGCTTCCTCCTGAGTGCGCCCGAAAAACATGCTGCCGACCCATCAAATTCTAAGCAGCAGAATTATGGGGACGCAAGTGGACATTGGAGAAATCTTGGACTTTCACGTCCCAGGGCCTGCTCCACTCCCGTCTGGCTCAGTACACCCACCCTGGGAAAACAAGAAATCTACTGTCACCGGGCTGGTGGAACACATGAACCAGAACCTGAAGTGTTCCGTTGGCCTGAGTGGGGAGGAGACCTCAAGAAACCAAAAAGGCCTGGAAGTCAGGGTTCTGCAGCCACCAAAAGATGCCATGCCACCCCCCGCCCCTCCCCCCGCCCCCCGGCCAAGTAGGCAGCACAGCATCAGTTCTCTGCCTCGATGGGCCAGGCTGGGTGGTGTTCTTAACAAGATGGGGTAAGGGGCAGGGTCCTGAGGGATTTCCATTGGACAAAGAGGGATGATTCTGTCAAGCAGAGAGGTCATTTTTGAAGAATTACTGGATCTCTGATCCAGAACAGCTGTCCCTTCCATTCCTTTACCTATAACACCCGTTATTTCCATTCACCTGTGGGCGCTGACGTCCCTTCTTCACCTACATCTGCGCAGCCTGGGAGCTGCCCCAACAGCTGTGAGGGGCGTCAGGACTCAGGTGTGTGGGCAGGCCAGCTGCTGGCTGCAGACCTACCGAGCAAAGGCCAGCCCTGGGTCCAGCTGACCAGGTTCCTGGGACACCGGCCAGAGCTCCAATTAAAAGTAAGTTACAATACCTCTCACAGGCTTTAGGAGGGGAGATTACTGTTGTCTTCTCACAGGCCCTGAGCCTCCAAGAGGCCAGTGTGCCCTCAATGCAGCCCCACTCTTTCTGCTCCGTGCACCAGTGTGGCCCATCAATCAGCCCCCCACCCCAATCTAATGGGTACAATTCCTGACTACAAATGGGAAGCACAGCATATATTCCTTCCCTGCCAATCTCCAGGAAGACTGACCTCATAATTAGACTGTATTATAAATTAAGAACAACAATCCAGACTGGGCAGATGGAAGACGGGGGAATCCAGAGGTCAAAGGAGGCTGTCAGTGAACTTGAGTGTGCCAGGCAGGCAGCAGGTGAAAACCATACAAACATTTATTTTGCATTTGATTTCACTCGTCCAGATGTCTAAATGCTGGAGTAATCCATCTGCCTCCTTAGTGTTCTTACCCAGCATGGGCCTGCTGGAATACAGACGGCTACGTGCTGCTGCTGCTTCTGATTCCCGGCCCCCAGACCGCCCGGAAGCACAGCAGTCTCAGAAAGCCACAGGTACTGTCTCAGTGACTTCACACACTGGTGGCTGATTGCTGAGGTACCCCTCCTGTCCCTCAATACATGAGGCTCTGACTCTCTGGCATTGCCCACTGGCTCACAACCACAAGACTGCTGTGCAAACACCAAGTCCCTGGCTGGTCTGGGCTCCCACCAGTTTCCTCTGGGCAGCATGTGAGAAAGGGCTCCCTGCCTTTTTCCTTTCCTTTCTCTTTTTCAGTTATCATCCAGATCTAGCTTCCAAGAGTTCCAAGACTTCCTCATCCCATCTGGACCCAAAAGCAAGAGCTGATTTTTAAAAGCCAAATTCTTGTTTCATTTGGACAGAAGGAATAATGTGTCTTTCATATTTTCTTTGTATTTCTCTTCAATAGTTGCTTGACCCAACATCTTTCTGTCTGCTCTATACAATGAAAATACAAACTAAATGAGAATAGAAAAAAATAATTAAAGCATTAAATTGTACAAATTACAAATCTGTTCCAAAATATACTTACATTAAATAAAATACGCATTTCAGTAAGAGATCTACAGTGAATGACTATGCATTCTGGGAAGCTTCACAACATCTAGGCAGGGCCAACATCCGTGGGAGGAGCTAAGAGAATGTGCATCCAATCACAGTATGTAGCGGGTTTCTTATTGCCCCTCTTCGAGCTACACTGAGCACATCATCAGCATCACTTGTGCAGGGAAGGACTTTGAGAAAAGGGGGAGAAGCAAGCGCTAGCCTCAATTCTGAGTTCGTTACAACTTTTCAGGAATCTCATCAATAGCCTATACAGTACAGTTTCCAAAAAGTAAACATGTTAAGGGAAGCAGACAACTCTTTAGAACCCCAAACACATTTTCTTGCTGTATTTATGTGGGACTCTCCATCTACAATGGGCAGTCGTGAAGAGGTTCTTCCTCGGGACAGCATGGTCACAGGATGTGGATGACCCTGTGGGTCTGAGGGGAGCACGAGGACTGGGGAGGGGGAGCTCCCTCTTGGTTGAGGTTGGAGACAAGCCTACAACACACAGTCCACAGCCCCACCGTCTCCTCCTCCTATCATCTGGCATAACGCTTCATGTAGTCTTCCACTTTATTCCGGAAGTCCTCCTGCAGAGCGAGAGGGATCAGAGAGAGAAGAAGGGAGAGCGAGTTAGCGAGGGAAACACAACAGAACAAGTGGGACCCGCCCAAGTCAAGAAGCCACTGTGAGCTCTCCAGAGCATAGGAAGGACTTGGCCTCCAACTCCCACCCCACCTCCGGCCCCCCAGCCACCAAGGCTGCAGGATAATCAGAAGCCCAAAGAGCAGGATGCCCTCTCCCTACGACTCCAGGGGCCTGCTATGTGCAGGAGGCTGTGGGCACGCCATGGGGGCCACTGTGCTGGGAGGGCTGTGGGTGGGGACCCAAACACAGAAGCTCTGAGTGGAAGGCAGTCTAAAACCCTTTGTTTTGCAAATGGGGAAAGTGAGGGCCAGAGTATGGTCAAGGTGGCAGTGTAGGTCAAGACAAGGCTCTTGACCTCAAATGCAGATGAGACAGAGTTGCTGTTCTCCGAGGACGCGTGCCCAGATCTGTCTTCCTAAAACCAGCCCCCAGACCCTGCTGCCTATTTAAAACGTGCCCACTTTTCATGGCGTGAGTGAAGCCCACCATCCGAGTGACTACTGTACCCAGAAGAGCAACCCCCACCCCCCGCCAGGCATCAAGCAGAGGCCACCTGGGCACCTGGCCTGATTCCCTGGTGAAAAGAGGACAGTGTGGCCCTTGGTGTCCCCAGGCCAGTATGGGCAGGAAAGTGCCCAAGGTGTGCCCCTCAGGTCTAATGTTAAGACCAGAGTTCCTTGGCCTTGTAGGACTGAGCAAGGGCCCCCCGGGGCCACACATGCCATGAGGGACTTGGAGCTTGCCCACCCCAGAACACATGCCTTCGGTATTCAAGACACTGTGATCTGACAGGTGGAACTCAACCCTCTTACTCCCAAACACGGCTACTAGGTGTTGTAGGATTGCCATGGGGTCACACTGCTTCAGCCGCATCACATGACAGATAAGGCCACAGGCCACAGAGCCCCTGGTAGGCGCTGTGCTGGCTGCACCCTCTTGTGGCCAGTCCTTGCCTGGAGCGGTGTCTAGAAGGGGGCAGAACAAGGAGGAGGCCTCCTCTTCTGCCACACTTAATTCACATGGTGACCCTTTCAAAGTCAGGGTGGGTTCCTGGTTTTAAGGTCTGAAAATGGTTTGGTGGCTTGTCTGCCATCTCAGGTGAGGAAATGGAGAGCTGCTGAGCCTGCACTTGTGGAAAGGACTCCCACGAGCCCTGACTTGGCCATTCCCACAGCACCCAGAAGCCAACAGCACCATCAGCCGCTAGGGAGCCATAGTCACAGCTCGTGGGATGTGCAGACCGCACAGGCACTGCTCCCCCACCGTCCTGCCCTCAGGTGCTCAGTGTCACCCCCTCTGCTCTCTCCTGGTCCCGGACAAAGCCCAGAGCTCATGGCCTCCAGAAGCCCTCTGTGCTCAGCCTCTGCTGCTTTCCTCTCCTTCCTCTGCCTGAGGGCCCACAGAGCAGAGGCCACAGGAAGACTACAGACTCTGGAGCCAGACTGCCTGCATTCACATCTTGGGTTCTGCCCCTTCCTGGCAAGTCTGTTACCTCCATGGTGGCTCTGATTCCTTAGCAGATCAGGGATAACGAGAGTCCCTCCCTTGTGGAGATGTCAGGAGAATAAATGCTCTCTAGGATGTGGGTGGGATAGGGCTTGGGAGGGCCACCCGAGGAAGCTGCTGCTGTCAAATCACCGCTGTCCTGCCCCCAGCTCTAGTCACGCCAGTCTGTGTCCTCCTCCCTCAACATTCCTAGCACATTCCTACCTCAGGGCCCTTACACTACTGTAACATTCTCCAGAATACTCTTGCCTGATACCCATTTGGTTCACATCTGATCTCTACTCACATCTTGTCAGAAAGGCCTTCTCTGAGCACGCTACATAAAACAGCAAGACCTACCACTGTCCCCCGCCCCCAGGCCTCCATCCGCCACATGCTTAGGTTTCCTCATCTATGCTCTGCCTCTGCTAGCATGTCCACTCTGTGGGGACAGGGACTGTCCGTTCATGAGTTGATCCTGAGCATCAGCCCCTCCCCTGGCACTTCAGTGGCCACCAATCCAACTCGGGGTGAACAATAAGCACAAAATAAAGCAGCAAGTTCAATAGCTGTCGTCATGACTCAGCATGAGGACGGGGCTGAGGTCTGGGGACTCATGTGGAGGCATCACTGTCTGGAGGATTTTAGGTCCACCATACTGTGGCTAACAGTTCATAAATACAAGTCTTCCCCTTATTTCACACAAAGAGCAGGAAGCAACCTTTGAAGAAAATAAAATGATAGACCATTTATAACTGGTCTTTCTCCACCTGGCCCTGTAAATGTTCCCATCATTATCGATTTCTCTTCCTGACTCGGCCTGTAAGACAGTGCTCAGCGGGGAAGTCCATGTCAGGGACAGTGACAGGTAGAGCTCCAATGTGAACGGAGTCGCCTGAAAAGGTGCAGGGGTGCGGGGGGTAGCGGGCAGGAGCACACCTGCAAGGGCTCGTCATCGCAGTGGACAAACCAAGGCTTTGCCAGGCAGTGAAAGCCAGCATAGGCGGTATGGAGGACTGACTGCTGTGGCTGGGGGTGGGCGAGGCCATGGGAATGGGGGGGGGGGGGGGGGGCGGGACGCCCATGCCCAGGGCCGCCTGATGCCATGGCACACCTGCTGAAGGCCTCTGCTGTTCCCAGCCTCCTCTGCCTGAGCAGAAGCACCCACTGACCCTGCACGGCTCACGGCTTCCCTGCTGTGCCTGCTGGTTTGGTGAGCCCCAGCCAGGGTATGTGCCCAGCAGTCCGGCTCTGGCGGTGCCCGCTCTTCGGTACTAGCAAACATCACGCATGGCACATTTAAAATGCCCCCTGCTCTGGCCCGTCACAGGTCTCCCAGAGACAGAGGCCCCTGCTCTTCAGCACTGTATTTAGAACAAAGCTGATGGCATTTAGAACTTTCTAGACTCCAGGCAGGTGTTGGGTAACAGCCTCGGGTGGCTGATTCTAGGGTGGCAAGGATTCACGGGGAAGCCGGTTCAGAAAATGAAATTTGAGGCCCTAGGACTAAACCAGGTTAGCCCTGCAGGGTTGTCTGCTGAGGCCTTAATGGCTAAAGAGCCTGGCCCCAAGTGAAGCTGCGCAACCTCAAACAGCCTTGTTCCGATCCCACAGCCATTCCCAGACTCCTACTCCTGCTCCCAACTCCTCGTCCATGCACTTCTAAGGATGTGCACAAGAGGGATGCTGACTGCATTATCACCTGTAGTTGGGGGAAAACCTGAGCGCCCACCACTCAGAGAATGGTTGAAAAATGTACGGGAGAGCCACTTTATGGACTATTAGCTCCTAGAATGGGTAAGGGTTTATGCACTGATTTGGAAGAAAAAAGTTAAAAAAAAAAAAAGGAACTGATGATTAGAAATAATTAACAGGACCTCATTATTTTGGACGGAAACGCATTGGGCACCGCAGTGCACAGGCACGCTGGAGGACCGGGCAGTGTGAACGCTGTATCCCCATACCGTCAATCCAGTGAAGTAACAGTGGCCTATTTTAAATCCCTCAGACTGAATTCTACTAGGAAATCACATCTAATAGGAACACTTCTGTCTGACCTTGGGTCAAGCACTTTACTCACATTGATCACAACACGTTACTTATCAATCAACTGCTTGAAATTCCAGGCATGGACCTACCATTCCCAGCCTCCTACTTATCTGAGCAAGAGCCGCTAATCATCTTTTTGGCAAATCCATCAACCTCGATCACTATCACTAGCTTACCTTGTCCCTCAAATGATGTTCTGCAGCCTCAATATTCAGTGGATCATCAAAATTCAAAAGATCCTTAAAAAGAGAGAAACCCAAAGTAAACAACGGAAAGAATCTGTTTTTCTGCTGTCACAAGTCTTCATTTTCTGAGCCAGATGACAGAAGTCTACTCAGCAAACAGGAGAAGCTGGAGTAGAGCGATCCCATTATGGATCCCAGGTCCTGTGATGGACACCCATGGTCTACGAGGTGCTTTCTGAACGTCGGTGAACTGCTGACTGAAAGATCACGATGTTTACATACAACTGTCCAAAGTTTGGTGAAAATGAAGGATAATGATCACATTAAGTTCTAAGGCTCTTTTTGATGTAAAGAACCACTCTCATTATGAGCATTTCCAAATAAAAGTCCCATTTTTTCCTCCAAAATTCATTTCTTTTAATTTGTGACAAACATCTTTGCTTCTCTAAGTTTGTGGCTTCTACACTGACCTTAACCAGATCTTCCCTTTATCTTTTTATTCCCCTTCACAGCATGACACTCATACCCAACAGAGATGGGGTGTGGAGCCTGAAGGCAGGATAGCGCCAGGAGGACCCTGTCCCCAGGCATTAGAAAACCCTGAGGTAGGGTTTGGAGCATGAGACTCTTGATCTTGGGGTTATGAGTTTGAGCCCCATGTTGGGTATAGAAAGTACTTAAAAAAAATAAAATCTTAAGAAGAAAACCCTGGAATGGCTACTCCCCTCTCCCCATGAGAAACAACATGGATTTCAAATTGGAGGCCATGTCTTATCTTTATACTGCCTACTCCCCTTCTTAAAAACCAAGGTAGTGAGATTTGTTCTTATGATAAGTCACTGCTTTCCAGAGTCGTCATCGATGGTCACTGTAAAGACAACTGTACTTCTCCCTCAGGAGAAATGTTTAATTTGGGGGCTATATTTCTGATTTGGCAATAAATATGAGATATGACCAATATGTTACAAATATAGCAAGGAAAACTCTTAAGTCTCTATGATCACTTGTAAAGTTGAACAATTAGACTTCAAGTCCTAGAAACAGGGAAAAATATAAAGCACATAGATGAGATGCCCAGGGCATATGAAAACCACCAGACACACCACAAACTCTCCATCTTCCTTACCACGTATCTGACCTAAGATGAACATATTGGCTGGAACAACCACTACAGGCTTAATCAGCAATTTCGGTTGGCCCTCTAGAATGTGTAGCACTGGAGAGACAGGGACTGCGTCAGATTAGAGGCTCAATCAATGAAAAAGCAGTGTGACCTGCTGGGAAGATTTTAAATCCTCCTGCAGCCTTCATGGCTCTAGAAGTAAAACTGTGCACATCCATGAAAAAGCCAAACCAGGACCACAACAGAATGATAGCACTACCTTCCCCGGGGGTGAAGGGAGGGCAGAAGACAGAAGTGCTGGGCTTGCTGCTTCTGCTACAGGGATCACCTGGGACAACAGATGAGAAGGCAGAGGGAGGCAGGGCCCTGGGGGGTCTAATTTTGAGGCTCTGCTGCTTTTTACTTTGCTGCTGGTAAGAGAAGAGCTCAGTGACCTAGGACAGCAGCTTGGCCCCAGATGCCGGTGTCGTGTCAGCACACCTGCCATGGGCCAGGAAGCTGCCCCTCCAATGACCCACCCGTTCTGAGGGCTGGACGGGGTGGGCTCGTTTTCATGGAGGGTCAAGTTTTATCAAAAGCAGCACAGCTTCTCGCCCCACCCCACAGACAGATCCCTGAGGCTCCTTTCTTCTAAAGCTCTTTTATGATCAAAGAGCAGTAACTCAAAAGAATACTATTATATTAAAAAAAAAATCCAAAGAGCAGCTTTTAGCTTCTCCCTGACGCCCTCCTGCCCTCCAGCCCCTGCCTGTGACGGGCTGTTTTCTGCAGACAGCAAACTTCAGCAGCTCATCACTGAGGAGAGAATGGTTCTAAGGTTCCGGGTTTGTGAAAAGCCTAGAGGTCAGGTGACCACACTCCTTCACCCAAACCAGGACACCTGGGAGGGCAGAGGGATGATGGCGAGGGCAGACATGGAGCAGGGTGGGCCCAGCTCCCACAGAGGAAGAGCCGCCTCCGTGAAGGAGGCCGTGGTCCCGGCCCTTCCCTCCCTGACAACCTCCCCAGGTGCCACCCCAAAGCCCCCTTGGTTCCCATCTCACTGTTCCTCTGTCTCCTATAAATCCTACAGAAAGAAGGAGTTCAGTGTCTACAGGGTGCTGTTTTTAATCTCTCCAGGTTATCCTTAGTGTGATGTTTAAAAGCAGTAGTCAGAGGACTCAAGAAAAACTTGGGATTCTGGTCAATATACTTACAGTAAACAAAGAGTTTAATCCCCAAACAACATCCTGGAATGAGAAAGAAAGAAGAAAACAAGTTTCAGGCTCCTGTGCACTTAGTGTTTCAAACCCTTGACCGAGAAATATAGACTGTGGTAGGTCAGAATTTATCTTTAGTGTGCTGTTTTTCCTAAAGACAGAAATTTAAAACAACTTCTCTCCAATATGACAACAGACTTGGGAAATCTGGAGGGGGCAGTCACAGGAAGTATATTACTGAATCAAAGTACCCTCGAGACCCAGCCCAGGGAGCCCACAGGCTGCGTCTGCTCAGGAGAACCCCCCTTCCATCACCTCCTCACCTTCCAGTACAGTGTGGGACTTCTGAAGAGTCATCTTTACAACAAAATCTGTTGTTTTTGTGCCCTCTTGGGGACTAGAGATAAGCTCATTACCCACAGTCCCACAGGCCTCTAACCATTTTATTGTAATTACTTAAAAAAAAAAAAAAGTGATAAACACTTCCTAACATTCAAAGGTCAGAAATTCTCATTAAAATAAGGTGGAAAACCAATGTGTTCTCTCTGGACTGACTTATCATCTGTGATTCAACTGCAAATTCCCTCTCAGCCTTCCCTGTCACCAGCTTGAGTCTTGTCTTCTAAATCAGGCCAATTCTCAGCCCCAGCTGATACTCTGCTAGTTGGCAATTTTAATTGCCGCCTCTGCTTTGGCTCAGCCATCCACCCGTGTCCTTTTGGGGTGAGCTGAACCTGGGGCTGGAGCGGGGAGTGAGCACACATTCTCTGTCTGGTGGAGAGGATGGACAGACAGGCGTGTCAGCAGAACTTCCACAGACATGTTCCCATAGAGGACCCAGCAGGGAGGAGACACTTCCCAGAGGAAGTGGGGCCTGCCGGGTAGAAAAATGGCAGGAGGGAACACCTTCCAGGTGGAGGGACCCCTGTGCCAAAGCTAAGTCCTGAGTAGGCAGGACATGTCCGGGGTACGGCGAGAAGACAGACCAGGCCCTGTGGCAGTAGAGACCACACCTGGGGAGGACCCAGAGTCAGGCCTGTAGGAAGTGTGCAGTGTCCTCTGAGAGCAGCCCCCAAACTCCTTCCCTGTGTTCTTCCCCCAAAGCGCCTACTTGGTGATACACAGTAACACTGCCTACACACCAGAGTTGGCAGCTGTCGCCCACGAGGTGTGGTCATGGACAGAAAGAGACCTGGCCCAGGACTGGGGCAGTCACTGGTGGGCCGCTGTGAACAATGCATACCTCTCCGGGCCTCAGTGTCCTCCTCTAAAAGCAGTGGAGCTGCCTGGGAGCAGGGGTGGGAATGAAGATGGTCTCTAAGTGGTGAACCAGGAAGCTGGCATATACGGAATGAGGTCAGTGTATCCGCAGCAGCTCTGTTCAAAGGCAGGGCCTACAGAGTTAAAGTATGAAGGACGCTGGGGAGAGAAAGCCCAGCACCTGTGTGCAGAGCAGGGCCCAGGCCTGTCTAGTTCCAATCAGGCTTCCCTGGGGGCCCAAAGGACAGTAACCGATGCAGCATCTGAAGTGCCAGCCACGCTTATGTTATGTGTTTGGCGCAGAGTTCGCCTTACAAATAGTTTTAGCTGGGACGACTTTCGTAATCCATACGTCACTGGGCCTAAGTTAACACACGTGCAACAATGCTGCTCTTGAAAGAGAGAGATGGGGAGTGGGGAGACAGAGAGGAAGATGGCATCGTGCGACGTGTCAGGCAGTCTGTGAGTGCCACAAACATGCTACTCTGACACCCATAACCCTTTCAGGTTGACCTGGCACAACTGTCAGCCGCAGAGGAGGAGGACACAGTCACCAGGAACACAGGCCGGGTGCGGATGACGACACCTTCGTGCTGAGCCCCGGGCTAAAGAGACGCACAGGCTGGGAACCCAGTTGGCCCTCTGAGCCCAGGAGCAGGAGGGCACTCTTTTGGGCAGCATGGATCTGGCACGAGAAGGGCCAAGGTTATGATGACTGCATGGATGGCTTCATTAGCCAGCAGAAACCATGGCCGGAGTCAGGCACTGTTCACTACAAAGTGAACACCAGCCAGAAGCCCTGGCTGCCTCTGACGAGAAGCTCAGGCAACAGGAGAAAACTGTAGGTTTCCTACAGATACCACGGCAGAGAAGCCCTAAGCTGAAGCCATAGCCGGTGGCCTCATGGAGCACCCACAGAGTGCATCCCCAGAACCAACCAGAGCCTACACCACAGAAGCAGCTGGGGCCACTTGTTCAGGCCCAGCAGCGGCCCTCTCCAACGCCCTCCCCTGGATGGGGTCCTCCCTCAGGGCACTCCTGGCTTCTGGGTTGCCATCCATCTGTCCAGGCTAGCTCAGGGGAACTCAGAGCAGATGGAGGGCACACCTGCCCTTTCCCTCCTCCCCCTCGCCCCACCCTGGCAGCTCTGGTCTCCTCTGAGAGTGAGGCACCACACAAGACTGGGGGACAGAGGAAGGGAAGAATAGAAATCACATGATCTGAAACACACAGAGTAAAGGGCAGAGGGGAGAGATGGTAACTTGAACCCCCCAATGCCCCGAGACGAACTGGGGGCAGAGAACTGACTGAGGCAAGGGCTTGGCCAAGCAGCCCCAGGTGGGCAGGTGGCAGCAGGGTGTGCCCGGCCATCTGGGTGGACGGGACGGCGAGGAGACTGGTTCCTGGAGGGAGAGGCCTCCAGGCCAGGGCTGTGCTCAAGCGCACTGCACTCTACCTTTAATGTCCTTGTGGGAGCCCAGCCAGTGCCGTCGATCGAATGTTCTCTCAGTAAACTGAAACAGACAGAAAGGCACAGCAGTCAGCAGGTCAGTCAGCCTCCAGTCGCACGAGCTGCAGGTGTGCCAAGCTGCTGCTGCCAAGCCCGTGGGCCCGCGTCTCCTCTTCAGGACATCTGCTTTCCCCGGGCCCCACCTCTCTTCCAGTGCCCATCTCCCTGTACAAGGCCACCTCTACCCCCAAGTCTAATCTCTTGTGCCACGTTTATTGCTCATACACCCAGGTCTTTAATCCTGCATGCACATGAAGTTTTAAGCAGGAAGTAAGGATGCTTAAAATAATGTACAAAGAGCACTTGTCAACTTGATATTCAGAAAATGACAACTGATGCTTAGAGCTTCTTACGTGTTTCAGCACGATCCTAACCTCACCTAACGCCTCAACGACCCATGAGGGTGGTGCTGCCATCTCTCTAATGGAGGAAAGCAAACAGGGCACAAAGCAGCAAGGGCACAGGCCTGGGGGACAGTCCTTCAAACTCAGGTAGCTTCCCTGGAGCTGCAGGTGAACAAGAATGACAGCTCCTAGCACATGTTCTAATACTCTGTTTTTGTTTTTTTAAAAAAGTTCAAAAGGGAAAAATGAAGGATAAAGGTAGATTAGCAAAAAATTCTGGTTGTTCTTCCCCAGTGGGTGGGAGGACCGTGTTCAGGGAAGGTGCACATGCGTTTTGGAGGTATTGTGAGGTCCTGTTTCCTAAGCTGGACCCAAGGGTCATTTCCATCACTGTTCCATCAGCTGTACGTGCACATTACATACTCTCACAGAAATGACTATTCCACATTTTGAAAAACTACAATTTACTGCCCAGTTCCCTTCTGGGGAAAAATTAGTTTGGCACTGTCGAGCTGTATCTTGCTGCTGCTTTAATGTGTATGGAACCGTTCCTAAGCTCACACGGCAGTATCAGGCCCTCTGTGCCTTAGAGACGTTCTGGACCAGAGCATGTTCAAGTTCACATAAGTCAGTTAAAATCAGGAGAAAATATAACTGTGCTATAATCTTGATTGCCAGTGAAGCTCAGTTAGAATAAATAAAATCTTAAGTTGACCACTATCACTTACTTACAGACATCCCCCCCGCTGCCAAGGGGCAGGCCTTATTGCCACGAAAGCTCTGCAGCTTCTGAGTAACTGTTCAGGAGCCACGTGTCAGGTCTAGGGGTCCATATGACCCAGCGAGAGGTCTCCTCACTGAGGCAGGGACAGGAGTCAGTTCTGATTGTCTTTGTCCTTTTGACATACCTTGTCACAATCCTTAGCCATCTACTGGCTCACTCGTTCAATGCCTGTCTCCCCAGCAGCTGGCAAGCCCCACAAAGCAAAGAATACCAACTGCCCCCACTGCGTCTGGGCGCGACCACCATTAGCTGATGGTGGGGTGGGTGGGGTGGGTGGGACAGCTTCACTGGCTGAGCAGGCAGTATCCTCCGACCTCTGTCAACAGCATAGCCAGAGCAGGAGGGCTCTGAACCTGGAAGCCAGCTGTGCCCACCCAGGGCGATAGCAGGTAAGGGGCAGATAAGATGCCCATAATCAGGCAGGCTGTGCTCAAGTCTACAGGCCACAGGTCTGGGCAGAGTGACACTGTGGAGGGAACACACCATCACTGTGCAAGTTCCAGCCCAGCCTCAGCAGGCAGGAATCCTGCGGGAGCTCAGGTAACAGGCCCTCAGAGAGGGCACCAGGCAGGGGATCAGACAGTGCCTCAGGGGCTACACTGGAAGCACGGAGCCCAGGAGAAAAAGTCTCAAGTGCAACCACCAGGGTCCTGGCTCAGGGCCCTCGAATCCCATAGACACATCTGTCCCGAAGCCCAAAGCAGGCAAGGGCCCCTGGTGTCAGGGCAAGCCTCACAAAGAGAGCTAAGTGGCCGGTGTACTAGACAAGGCTCCACAGAGCGCTAGGCACTGGTCAGAGCCGCTGAGTGAGGAATCCAGGTAGATGCCACTGGGCGTCACTGTGGACCAGGAGGGGCTGGCCCAGGCTCGTCTTTCTCTTTGTTCAGGAGATGCCACGAGTCAGTGTTACATTAAGCCCCTGCTGGACACTGTCTAGTTTTTTCATAAACAATGACAAGGTCTTTGCATTTTAATCTGACACATTCTTTCCCACCAATAAACCCCTACAAGTGTAGCTGACAAATCCAAGGGTAAATACAAGTTAAATGTAGACCTTAAAGCTGAAGGACCAACAGAGGTATATCTGCCGTGATGAGAGAGAGCCCGTTCTTCCCCTTTCTCTTCTCTCTCTCACAGCTCCCCACTCCCCCGGTCCGGGTATTTGCTTTTGCACCAGGGCAATGTGAGGAGTGGTGAGCGGCATCTTGTTTCCACAAGCCTCTCTCTGGCTACTGCGGAGACTGAACACCCCTCAGGTGCTTACCACCCACCCAAAACTCTCCTGTGAGTCGCTACTTGTAGCGGGTGCTTGCTTTTCCCAGTGGCTATGTCTTTTTTATCCTAATTGGCAAAGACCTTTACACATGAAGGATGTAACCCAGCTGGTCTTTTGTGTTTTGTGTTTTTAATTTTAATGTGGCTAAATCTATCAATGATCTTCCTTTAAGGTTTCTGGCCTTTGCTGCTGGCAACTGCCCGCTGAGTTCTCCTCATACTTCCCTAACAACCTGATTTCTCAGAGAGAACAAAAGTGACAAGAGAAATTCCTGCTCTGGTATTAACTCTGGTGGAGGGCAGGGTGTGACAGGGAGGTGGTGTGCAGTGGGCTCTCGGGAGAGCAAGCACCAGCGATGGCCTCACGGGAGGAGGCTGGAGAGGATGCCATCTATGGCCTGAAGCTGGAGGAGTCAGATTTTGTAAGTGTGATACTTCAGGGACAGAAGGGGAAAAGGTGGCCTGTTGAAAGTGCATTTGTAACTGTCTATGGAAAAAGAGGCAGACAGGAGAACAGGGGCACTGCACACAAGCTGCATGGGGAGCCGAGTGCTAACTGCTTTTAAGAAGGACAAGGGGGGGCGCCTGGGTGGTACAGTCTGTTTAGCATCTGACTCTTGATTTTGGATCCGGTCATGATCTCCGTCCTGGGATCAAGCCCCATGTGGGGCCTGACGCTCGGCAGGTAGGTTGCTTGTTGCTCTCCCTCTGCTCCTCTCCCAGCTTGCGTGTTCTCTCTCAAATAAATACATAACCCTTAAAAAAAGAAAAAAGAGGAGGGGGAGGAGAAAGAGGAGGAAAAAGAGGGGTCCAGCTTTGCCGGTACTACGGGCAGTGTGTAGACCCCCATCACAGGCAGGGCTGGTGTTCCTGGGGTGGGGATGGACATGACAGGGCACCGACTTTGTCACAGGAGGAAAGTAGAACAAGGCGCTAATGCTAATGTCGACTCTGCGTGGGGCTGAAAGTTATATAACCTGCCCAAGTTCCCCGCTGTTGGCGCTGCTGCTGCTGGCAGAGGCACCGGGTTCCAGCCCAGGCCGTCTGGCACCACAGCCTCACAGCCCCACTGCCGTCTTACTAGATAAAGTGACGAGACACAGGAAGATAAAGCCCAAGGGCTAAGCTTACTTAAGAATGACAAACCACACACCTTCCCCAGTTCCCTACATTAGTGACCAGCAGCCTCGAGAAGCAGGAGTCGCAGATCCCTGATCATCTGCCACTGCAGTGGGGGTGGGGGGAACACAGAGGCCACAACCGACATGAAGCTCTGGGAGAGCTTTCCTGCTTTACGCACTTCAAGACAATTTCGGTAAAGAGAGGCCATCTTAAATACAAACACCCAGGTCTTAAACTTGCCATCTATATCCCCTATCCCCGGATTTTATAAATCCTACTTTTCCTTCTTAGCTAAAATCAGCCATGTGGAGAGATTGCAGTCTCTCATTACAACAGGAGGGGAAAAGGATAAGGAGCCCTAGAGGGAGCACCAGCAGGGGTCTTGGCCATTGGAGGGCCCAGGAGGATGTGGGTCTGGAGGTGGCGGCAGGCTGGGGGGTGGGGTGGGAATGGGAGATCGTCCAGTCACTGGAGTGCAGCCCAAAGGCCTGAGGACGGTTTGGGGAACCCTAATCGGGGCCCAGCCTCAAAATTTCCTCTCAGTGAGACTATGTGTTAGAAAGCCCAATGTTCACACACAGTGCTCACAAACACAGAAGATGGGAAAGAAGAAAAACCCACCTTAGACATATTTCGCCTGTCTCTGTGATGTTGGGGTGCCAGATCCTGGTCAGGCATTTCACTTTGGGAGGCTGCAACAGAGAGAGAAAGAGATAACAGGCTCTCCAAATCGTGCCTGCTGCCACAGACCCATCTAGCCCCCCATTCCACGGCTTACTTGGCACTCAGCTAGACTGGTCCCAACCAGCACTCAATTCTGGCCTCCTGCCCCCCAGTGCATTAGTGTCCTCACACTGCAACCACATGTGCTACTCTGCCCATACCCCTAACATGACCCTTCTACAAATCCCAGGGCTGGAAGGTGTGTGGTGCTGGTGGCGGGACCTCGGCCTCCTCTGACCCTCTCGGCCAGGGCTGCAGAGGAGCCCACGGTGCACTCCAGGCCCCATTCCCACCGAGAGCCTGCAGATGCGATGTTGTGCGCTATGCTGCTGAGCTGTGGCTGAAGTTACTGCTCCTCATGGTGGTAGCTGGGTCCCTGCGCACGTGTTTCTGAAGATGCGGCTGCCATGTACATTGTCCTACCTCCAAGTCTAAGTCTGCTCTATGCTTATAGGAGGGAGAGAGAACGAAAGCAAGCACGTGGGAATGAGGCACACTGACATCGCTGATGACCAGGCATATTTGAATAAAGGTGTTCTTTTAAAGTGACTCTATGATACAAGCAATCCATACTCATGTAAGACAAAAAGACAATGAAAACAAAAGGCAAGATCTCTCTCTTTCCTTTTGTTATGTATGATAATGCCACCCAGAAATAATCTAATACCCGGTATACACCTGTGAGCCTCTTTTCTAGGCGCCGCACAGAGATGTGTGTGTACACGTTCATTTTTCTTTATAGAAGGGGGGACATGGGCTCTCTATCTTTTCACATTCCTTTCTGTCACCATTTCAGATGGCATTGGGCTTTCTCGCCCTCCATGGTACTAGTTCTAGCATTTCACAAGCCAGTTCCTATTACTGGACATTTAGGCTGCCTCCCACCTCTACCACGGACTGTGCTAAATCACTGTGCTCGTCTCTGTTCACGTCTGTAGGAAAGGTCTACCTGGAAGGAAGCCCAGGTAGAGGTACTGCTGGTAAGAGCACGAAGTGTTGTCTGGCCGAGTCTCACAGACACGTCATCTTGTAGACATTTATGTGTCAGCCCTTTGTCACGGGGGGCCATGCTTTCCATGTTTATCATTTGGTATTAATTTGCATTTGGGATGCTACTCTTTTGTAAAGTCTTTGTAATCAGATTTTTGCCTTTGTTACTGACCACCCAAATACTCTTGGTACTTCTCCTAGTACTTGAATTGTTCCATCATCTTATCTGTACAAAACAGACATACTTTTCCGGCACTCCTGTAAGTTTTCCTACTGACTTTAAAACAGCATGACATCAAGAAGCTCCCCCAGATAATTAATCCAAATATGTAAATGTAGGTGTCCAAGGTTAGGATTTAGATTCAGAGTGAGTTTCAATCAATTTAATATGCTCTAACTTGGTTTCCTGCAAGTAAATGTGAGAGCATTTGACAGAAAGTATGCTAGTTGTCGTGCCACTTCCAGAAAGGCCTTCAGGCTGAGGGAAGGCCGGCATTGTGGGGCTGTATGAATCTAAGTGATAATACAGTTTCCATACTGGATAGACTGAATCACCAACTTGGCATTGGAGGGAACCTACAGGCTCTATCTCCCTCCCTTCTAGAGAGTCCATGACATATCTGTTACCCTGCCTAGTGTTGTTCACTAGATCTCCAAGTGTCTGGCTGTATTTGCCCCTCCCCTCCTTGTCCCTTCACATCGTCCATAGTTAAATGTTAGCACAGACACCTCCCCTGCCAGCGGTCCTCCTAACTGCGGTCCCCAGACAAGAGAACAAATCAAAACTGTGGACCCACATTCTGACACACACTTTCCCAACAGATCTTCTAGACCGGACCCCATCCCTAAAGCCAGACAAACAGGAAATACCCAGTTCCACCTCCTACTTGGCATTGCCACCTGCCCCATCACAGGCTGAGAGCTTAATATGTGACAGCCACTGCACTGTAGACCAACGGGGAAAAGGGATTGTTCAGGGCAAGACCGGCTAGCCATCTGCAAAAACATATCTAGACCCCCACTGAAGAGCTGTACTCTAGATCCAGTGAACACACCTGGTACAGAACCGTAAGAGCACTGAAGAGAATGCAGCTGAGTTACCCTGGGCTCTGGCATGGAAAAACTCGTGAAAAAAAAAAAAGCAGATTTTAATACAGTGGTGAAGCAAAACAAAACAATTCTCTCCCCACAAAAAACCCCCGAAGTTTTACAGAATAAAAACAATAAAAAACAAGGGAAAAACAGAAAAATCTTTACAGTACAACTAAGCAAACTAGGTTTAGTATGTGCCATGGTGAGCGCTGTGAATTGTGTAAGGCTGATGACTCACAGACCTGTACCCCTGAAGCAAATAACACATTATGTGTTAACAAAAAAATAAAACTCTAGCTGAGAAATCTTATAAGGAAACACCTGTGGCCACAGTTTCTTAATTTCCTACAAAGTATACATTACCTACAAGAGGAGAATGGAAGTTTAGTTCACTTTCAGTATCTCTGGTTCCCCCTTACCCTCTCTGGGGCTGGTCATGGCCATGTCTCTTGATTTGGTTATGTTATCAAATATGTGTATGGGGGGGCACCTGGGTGGCTCAGTAGGCTGAGCGTCAGACTCTTGGTTTCAGCTCAGGTCGTGACCTCGGGGTCCTGAGATCAAAGCCCCACATCAGGCTCCACACTCAGTATGGAGTCTGCTTATCCCTTCTCCCTCTGCTCCTCCCCCTGCTCTCTCTCATAAACAAATAAAATCTCAAAAAAAAAAAAAAGTGTGTGGGACAGAACATGTGTCCCTTCTAGAGGAAACTGGAGGCAAAGAATGAAAAGTCGTGTCCCCTTTTCCTGCTTCAGTGCATAGTCTCCGCGACAGACCACGATCCAACCATGATTGACATGCCACGGGGGCACCGTAGGACGTGGGTGGGGGCTGTGACACCACACTGAGCCCTGCTCCTTCTCTGGGCTTCCTGATCGCCCAGGGATCCCCAGTGCTATGTCACCACCCTGGCTCATCACCATCTGTGCTGCCTCCCAGGAGACCAGGCTTCTTAAAAAGCTAGTGTCTGACAAAGAACCTTGCACATTTTAAAAGCTTATTTCATGTCACTAAATACTTTCAGCCAATACAGAGAGATCACAAGGAGGGCTTGAGACTGTGAGATAAAGTTCAGGGACAAAAGGACAAAGAACCAAAGGAAACTATGAACTTTAGCTGCTGGGGTGTGGGGGATTTTAGGGGGTAGGGAAACCAAATAGAATTTTCTTTCTTTTAAAAGTTTACTCTGAAATAATGACCTGTTTTACTGACTAGAAGTTTTTCAGAATGACAATCTTAATAAGTGACTTCAACTGAAGAAGCTGTAAGTGTCACAGGTTTTTAAAAAGTCCTTACCAAGCACAAACATCATATAAAGTCATGGAATAAAGGCAAATGAGCCAAGCCTGCTCCACGGAAGTCTCCTAGGCTGCCTACAAGCTGGCTGTGTCCTCATCCAAATAAAACACAGGTACCTGACATTTACTCTCACATACTCTGCCCCAAATGCCTGTAACCCGTGTATCCTCAGACGCTGCTTTCGTCTTCCACACAGTATGTCTGTAGGGGCAGAGAGCGCCAACCGCTGGATAAATGTGAACCGTGTGCTCTCACAGAGCCCTGGAGATACAGCGTAAGCCACTCCCACTCTAGTGGACAGAGACACTACGGAGTGATATAAGCAAAGATTAACTACAAAACAAGTAATCCCAAATACCTGTCTCAGTTGGGCACTAAATCACAGGGTCTCCTGGGGATGGTGTCATCCCCACTCCCTGTCCTGAGCTAGTAGTGACAGTCGCCAGCCTGTTGGTAAGGCTGTAGCCCGAGCCTGGACGTGGAGGCAGAGAGGACATGCAGGGGCAGAGGAAGTGTAGAGCAGAAGAGGCCCTGCTGGCAGCAGGGCAGGGTCTGGGTCCACCCTGAGGGGCTGGCCTCTCAGGGCCCTTGGCTAGAGAACATGGGTTTCATTCCTGATGAAATCAAACCAGTCCATCATTCAGAAATTTCTCAAAGGAGAAAGAAACTAAATATAATGTAAAACCATCATAAGTCACCAATTAATGTAAGAGACATGTCCTTGAGGCTCAGTGGTTTTCTATCCTGTGTATTCCATATCCTATATCTCTGTTTCTTGAAGAGGCCACATAGGGACAGGACAAGATGACAAACATTTTCTCACACCGAGTGGCCACTGGGTTTGTGGGAAGGGCACACATCCTGTGGCTGGGCAGGTTGGACAAGAATCTGCTTTAGCAATGGAGCCTTTTATTCTGGCAAAGCTAACGAGGTATATCCTTAACTTTACCTCTCTGGGCCCCACAGGGGAAGTGAATGGGGGCACCTGGTACATAAAAGCTCAACAAAAATCGGTTCCCTTGTGTCTTCTCATGCTCTGCTCTCTTCTGATACTGGGACTGAGAAGCTCAGCCACTAAATGAAACCTGATGTTCCTGAAACAGTGATCCTTAGACTGGCAGGCCTTGTCTGAAAAGTCCGCCAGCTCATGCTAAGCCCCTCCTCACGCCATCCTCCTCCTCAAACACTCACTGCCTCTCTGAAGAAAAGACTGTGTCACATACCACCCTTTAGCATTCCCCCGACAAGGAGTCCTTAGAAATGACAAATGTCCAGACAACTAAAAGGTCCAGATTTAGGTGCCATATGCCTGGCTATTTCCAGAAAACATCACTAGCCTCTGGAATTCTAAACATCTGTACTTCAACCAAACTTCTCCAACTGCATCTCACCTGGGGGGAGTCCAGTGTCCTGTCAAGCCAGACTCCTCAGTGTGTGATGAGGAAAACAGAGGAAGTCAGCAGGGAGATGGATGGACAAAGACCTGAGATGCACATTTTCCTGTCTTTGATTAAAAATTATTTTTTTTCTTCTTACACTGCCAACTCTTTCCCATCCTCATAAACTACATTCAGAAAGAACTTTTAATGTAGTAGCCTAGTAAAGACCAATTCCTTAGATAAAGGTTTGGCTTCAAATAAAAAAGTGTGCCAGCCACTGAACTGTACCTCGGTGGTAGGGCCAGGGCCTGGGGCAGGAGGCCTAAATCCCACATGTCAGGTAGTAGGACAATCACTGCTGGCAAACTAACAGGGCACATGGGGTCCCCCGTACCCACAGGCTCAAATTAACAAGAGACATAATTTCACCATCAAATTTTTTTTTTTCCCTATTTGATACACCTGGAGAGGTCTAGGAAACATTAGGGGGATGTTTACATATACATATATCTACACACACACACACACACACACACACACACACAGAACTGTGGAGCTGTTCAGAACTGTCACTGGTTTCTCACTGCCAAAGTGAAAATGCCCCCAAAATCCTCAAAACTGAGATTCTCGTTTGTCCTCACTTCTCCCCAAACCCGATTCTTCCTTCAAGTTGACCTGGTCAATCCACCACACACAGCTGCTTGTTCTCACTTCTGTACCTAACACGGTTCCAGAGATTTTGACATCACACAGACCACCCACCCTTGGGTTAAAGGTCAACCCAAGTCAGGACAACTCCAGTCCTATTTTTCCTGAAAAACTCAACTGGCCAGACAACTTTGCCAAAGCGATCCTCTCCTTTCCTTCTCAGAATTCCCATGCATGTGTTTCCTGGCTCTGCTCCAGCTCTGTTATCTGCTACTTATGGCTTTTATCATTTTATGGTCACTTTCTACACTTTTTCTCACCTTCCTAATTGTTAAGTTCCTTAAGAGCAAGGACAGAATGTGACAATACTTGGTATAATTATTACCTAGGTGGGGTCTTTGAGAGATTAACATATAGCTCTGGGGGCGCATGGGTGGCTCAGTGGGTTAAGCCTCTGCCTTTGGTTCAGGTCATGATCCCAGGGTTCTGGGATCAAGTTCCACATCGGGCTCTCTGCTCAGCAGGGAAGCTGCTTCCCTTCCTCCCTCTCTGCCTGCTTCTCTGCCTACTTGTGATCTCTGTCCTATCAAATAAATAATAAAATCTTTAAAAAAAATATAGCTCTGGGCATAAACTACTTATGGTTTAAAACTATGAGTCATTTCTCTTTTCTAAAATTCTAAAATACATGTTTCCTACACCCTGGGAATTTTGGTATTATACCATAAACAAAACTCCAGTTTTAAATAAAATGCTTTCTTTTTCCATGCCAGAATTTAACAAGTAAGACTGGTGCGAACCACACAGGCGGCTCACAGCGAAGGTGCCAGTCTCAGGACAGTCTCGGCTGCGCTGTGGCCCCGGTGTGCCCCGCCTGACACAGCACTCACAAGTGCTAATCGAAAAACAAATCTCTCTCCTAGGGCTCTGAATGCTGCTGCTGAGCAACATTAGTCACAGAAATATCAGCTGTTTTGTACTCAGCTCTGGGACCGGGGGTGGGGGGGTGAGGGGCCGGGGACCCAATGCTGGGGGTGGGGTGGGGCGGGGCCCCTGAGGACCACCAGACCACACCAAGGGGTTAGGACAGCTCAGACGCAGGCTACTCACCACCATGTTGTATGCATCAGGAACTTCAGTTTCAAACTGAAATTTTCCACCCTGGTAGTAACCCTCATCTATCAAAAACACAAAACAAAACAAAAAATCCTTTAAATTAAAAAAAAGGAAACAAAAAGCAAACACCATGTTAGGATATGGCAAATACAGAGAATTAAGAGTTAAACAACAGGACTGCAGGGCTCCTTGTTACTTCACCAAATCCTGCCCCTGCTCTAAAGATGAGCCCCAATCAGCGCCCTGCCGATCTCTGTCGCCCACTAGCTGTGCCCCCTCAGAGGAGACACAGGCACCCCCCCTCCCCCGGGGACTGGTTCCTCTTCCTCAGTCTCCCAGGACCCATCCAAGGAACCCTGTTCTCACCTCGGTCCACCCAACTCTACATTCCAGCACCCATGGGCTCACGTCATGACAGGTAACCATCCTGTTTGAGCTGCAGGGTCGTCTGTTTGCTGCTGGTCGCCCTATGAGAATGTCAGTTCCAAGGGTACCCCAGGGCAGGGGGACAAGCAGCGAGGCATACGGACAGAATCCCTGCCTGAGAGAGAGTGCACAGGCGACACTTCCGGGCTGGCTGGCTGAGGGCTGGCTGCAGGTTTCTGAACAGAGCACACCCTCTGGAAGGGGGCTAATGGGCATGCAGGGGGAAGTCTGAAATCAGGGCAGCACTGGGTCAGACCCCAGGATACAGTCTCAACTCTCACAATGGTGTCAGCCACCTCCCAGTCTCCTGTAGGGTCCAGCCCGGGGTGAGCCGGGCCTGCGCGTGCATTGTAAATGCTGCTGGGGCGGCTGCTAGAAGAGGGCACTCCACCACGAAGGTGCTCGAGCCTGAAAAAACTGCCCCCTCCCTGCTGCCCCACTGGGGCAAATTACTCTGAGCTCCACAACTTGACAAAATTCATACCATCTTTAAAATGAAAGTTCAACTTCCCCCCAAATATTTATCACTGTGAACAAATCAGCAATAGTACATTTCATTGCTTCCCTCAGCTATTTATGTAAAACGAACATTTAATAGGAAGTTGTTAGTTTCCAATAAATCATCACTAAAACGTTTTTTGGGAATGCGTCAATATTTATGTTGTCCAGCAGGTAAAACTAACATTACCTGGACCCCAACATTTTCATTCTTTGCCAGTATGACAGAAGAGAAAGACTCTGTTTCATTTTACATTCATCTGAAGAAAAGTGGCGAGGCTGAAATTTATTTCATTTTGAGTCCTTTTTTCATAAGGATGGAATGACTGATGTTCCATAAGTAGCCTTGTATTACTGAGGTACCCATGTTTTAATTACAATATAAAAAAGCTCTGAAGAAGATTAACCTTTGCCTTTTATATTTGTTATAATGTTTCTTAGTCTGCTGCTTGTCTTTTGGTTTTGTGGTTCAACTAGTTTTCACTTTTGAGAAGCTATTCTTTCTGTGGTTTCTGTCTTTGGTATTACCCTTAAAAAGATCTTTCCCAACCAAGATCACAGAAACACTTGATCTCTGTTTTCTCTTAGTGATCCTGTGGTTTCACATGTTCCATCCGCTCATCCACTCATCTAGAACAAGGTGGTGTGTTTTTTCTCTTTGCCTGCCTAATCTATCACACAGCATTTTTGGTTCTGCCCTCCCCACTGATCTGATGCGTCTACTTCTAGTGTTTCCAAGTGTACCTGGATTCATGACTGACACTACCAAGTCTTTGGAAAAGACTGGGGAAAAATTTTACCTCCAGATACAAGAACTTTCCTAACAAGTGGCATCTCAGATATAAAATAATCAGAGGACACCCTTGCCCACCAGAGGTTCCGTGTTGCACAGCGGTCACTGCAGAGTGGCCTAGTGCTGGGCTATGTAAACGACACCAGAACCCCAGCTTCAGGTGCAGAGCTCCATCTGCTCTCCTCTCTTCTTGCTCCCCAAGGCTGTGCCCCAGCCACTCCATCCTGCCACACCACTGTGGTTTTTCTCTCGCTGGCTTTCCGTGCCACGATTATATAGTTTCAACTCTCTACCAGTTTCAAAGAAAGTATTATTTGGTCTGATGGGGTTTTGGTTTTACCATATTCCTCTGTCCTAGTCAAGCTCTCGATTAGTAATTATTAGAATTATATAATCTCCGAACCCACTGAAAATCGAGAGCAAACAGACAGTTCTAATTTTTGTTCTATTTCATGAACTATGCTTTCAGGAAAGATTGCCAACTCCGGAGCCAGTACTTGGTTTTTCCTCTTCTAAGGTATGTAGCTCTCCCAATCCACCCTGGTTATGAATTTGCCTAGAAACGCCATACTCCCACTTAGGCTGAGGAACAGACCAGACTGAGAGGAGACTCAAGAGCATCTCTTGTTTCCTGTGATTTTTCTTGACAAAAGGCCCCAGGGAAGAGTTCCTGCAGATCCACCTTCTGGGTCTGGCTCCCAAGCTGGCACTTTGCAGGGCAGAGGCTGAGAATGGCCTACGTGGCTCTGGAGCCAGCGGGCAGAGGGGTCATTGAAAGCATCCGCAACCCAGTGTGGACCACATCCAAGTCTGGGACCGGCCCACTACGGCCAGGACTATCCATGGCTGCTGCGGCTGAAAACGTCCTTCTTCTCAGATAACTGGACCTTCAGGTACAACAATGAAATGCAGGAGGAAAGTCCTGGCATCCAGCTCTCACTGGGCTGGCCTATCCCTGCCACCCAGGGTTACAACGACAGGAATCCTCTTTCCCTCCTCTTGTATCCTGGAGCCCAACCCACTCCCTCCTGCCTTCCAAAAATCATATACACTATCTCTGAGCCAGGCGAGGGGTATTCCTGGGAGAAGACTGTCCAAGGCGTAGGTGGGTAAAGTCTCAGGACAGTCCACTTCTAGGTGCTCAGCGTCCAAGTGCATTCTCTCCTAAAATGACGCTGCCTGATAGTCTCAAGAGGGCAGAAGTCCTGCAGGCCTCCCCTTCCCTTTTCCTTCTCACAGCTCCTCCCACTTAGAGCAGAAGGCTGATGTCTCAGCTCTTCTCTTACCAGGACATACTGCCCTCAAGGTCCAAACGTCCCAGAGGACAAAGGTCACAGGAAAGCCCTTTGAATGGAGGCACATGGCAGGGCTGTACTTATCCTACATCCAGTTCTGTTAAGGGCAAAATAGGGCGTTATAAATAAAATATCCCAGTTCATACTGGAATGCCTTAAATTCAGACACATCGTAGAGTTTGATGGCAGGGATGATTAGAATTTCACTTGGCACCTTCAATCCCTAGACTACTATCAAAGAACACATTATCCTCACGAGAAGCAAGCAAACAGGGAGCTAACAAGCCACAGGCACAGCATCTTCTTCCACCCCAGTGACTGGCTCCATGCCTCACCTAACTGCTAGGATTTAAGCTCAGAAAAGAGGTGGCTGATGGTACATCTTAGAAATAAGTAAGACTTCTGCGAGTGAGTCTGACCGATGACTAGGCTGACGATTAGAACTGGTTCTGCCTATTTATGCACTGGAGATAATTCTGATAAACTGAATGAGCTAATCTGCAGTTTCAAGCTTTTGAGAAAATATAAAGCATACATTTTTATATTGATAAAGGTATAACAAAATCAATATCACAAAATTCTCAACTCTTGCTGAGAATTTCAGGTAAAATAACATGTTTCTAAGTGAAGACAGGTCTAATGGTCAGTTGACAGGTCTTGGGAAAGTGGTTTTGGTAAATGCCTCAGAAACCGTGATGCTAAGGGACTCTGACGACTGTGCTTGGAAAGCCTTCTCCAAGTCAGGTGGGTTCCAATTCTCTGCTTTCAACAAAATGTAAGGACCCTAGTCAGTAATCAGCAAAAAGATCAACAAAATATCTTTTATGATATTTTTGGCCTCTAACTTTGAAGTCCAAGGATGGAATGTCATAGCTATAACAAAACACCTTCCAGGCCTGTCTGAACAAGCAGTCCTCAGTGTCTACATCTACAGAAACAAAAAGAAAGAAAACGGATACTGAACCCTTTTTTCTAACATAAAGTCATTCATTCACAAATACATCAACTAAACCAGAGGAACATGCTAATAACTCCATCATTCCCAGATACATGAAATGCTATTTTATGTTTAATAACCATCAAAGCTTGCAACATATTATTTAAAGTCATTATTCATTCAACAATTATTTGATGAGTGCTTATGATGTGCCAGACACTGGTGACATGCCCTTACAAAGCTTACATTCTAGTGGAAGAGAGACAAAATAAATAAGGAAATCATATAATAGAAGGCAAAAGAGCTAAGGGAGTAGGAGCTGTGATTTTAAATAGGGCGGTCAGAGAGCGCAAAGGCCTGAAGAAAGAAGGCCACTGGGGTGAAGAACACTCCAGGTGGGGGGCTGCGGGTGGGGGGGAGCTGAGGCTCAAGAGGCCACTGTGAGAGTGCTAGCTTTTATGCAGAGGGAGACAGGGAGCCATGGGAGGGGTCTGAGCAGAGGAGGGACAGGCTGGAGGCCCTGTGAGGCTATTTGCTACCATGACCCTGGTGAGACAATAAGCTGTTAGGACCAGGGTGGAAGCAGTGAAATGGGAATACTCTGATGGGAGACACACCAGAGTTTGCTGACAGATTAGGTGAGGGGTGAGGAACAAGGAGCCACAGAAGAGCTGAGCTCTCTGACCTTGCAATGCCAAGGGCAGGGTTGCCACCAGAAGATAAAAAGGCTATGAGGGGCACCTCTGCACCAAGTTCCACGTCAGACATGTGAATCTGAGGTTTCATGTCAACACTCAAGCGGAGGTGTCCATCGGCAGCAGAAACATCATTCTGGAGTGTGGGGGAGGTTGGGGCTGGTTGAGGTCGTTTGGGAGCTGTTCAGTAGACAGAAGCACTCAGATTTCATGAGTGGACTATGGAGGTCCAAGGACAGGACAGAGTCTGAAGGGCCCCCATCTGGAAGGGTGAGGAGAGGAGCCAGGAGGAGCAGCTGGCACCATTAGAGGAAGACCAGGAGCCAGGACTGGTGCAAACAATGACTAACAACCATTCAAAAGAAAATGCTTAAGGCCTAAGAGTCTTAAAGAAACTTTCAAAATAATTTTTAAATAT